GAGTCTGCACATGCAGAGGACTGACTGACATTATCCAGTGGATTTTTTATTGTGGGGGGAGGAGCACGTCTAACCCCCACATTGTTCAAGGGTCAACTGTACTTTTTCCTTGTAATACCTGAAGTTTCCATTTTCATTATTGTGATGGGTCTCTTCCTACAAAGAAGACACGGGCTTCTGTGCCTATCCAGTGTAGTACTTGGCAGTTCCTGGCCCAGCGGCTCCGTCTTGGGTGGGCCTTGAAGCTCTCCATCTGCTCCCACAGCCATGGAGCCGTCAGTCATCATTTCATGCTGCAGCCGTGTTCTCTGCCTCTGCTGTGTTGCCTTCCGGCGTGCGGCTTCTCGTCTGCTTTGGTCTGAGACTCAGGTTCCCAGTTAGAACTGGGTGTGAAGCAGGCAGGAAGAAGCCCAGAGCAGGACTCCGAGGCAGGGTTTCTCAAATGGACCCCTGATAGCAGAACCACTTGGAGTGTGTGTTTACACACAGAGTCCCCGATCTCCTGAACCAGAATCTTGGGGGAAGGCTCTGAAGCTGAGGTTTGGGCGAGCTCTTACACAGGAGCATTGGAGAAGCATGGGTGGGGGACTATGACAGCTACTTCTCCAGTTTTGAGGCCTTTCTGGCTTTTTTCTAGTTCCTTTGGTAAAGGGACATGTTACCCTATCTCATTTCTTTTCCCGTCATGTTCTTTCGCATCCTACATCTTATGTGGTTCCTCACCCCAGACTCATTTCTAAGTCTGGGAGGCTGACCGGTGCTGCCCCAGGTGGACCTGAGCCTGTGTGTGACCCTGAACACAGCCACAAGGCTGAGGACTGTCTCCAGAGCTGGCTCCTTGGCAAGGAAGCAGCCAGGGCAATGTGGTCAGAGGGCCCTTCTTACTGCTCTTGGCAACAGGGTGCCTCTGCCAACAGAACATACTTCTGAACAGAGGTTCTTAGGACCCAAAAAAGCAGAAGGACCGTGGCAGCTAGAGGACAGCAGTCTTCCAGCCCAAGTCCAGACAGTGGGCTCCGCCTCTTGACCACTCTGATTCCTACACATCCCACAAGGTCCAAAGCTACTTCCTCTTTAAAGACCACCCTGTCTACTCTGGCCCTCTGCAGTTATTCCCATCATCATAACAGCTCCTGTTTAGGGAGGGGGTCACAACCTTTCAGGCACTGTCTTAGCTTTTTTTTTTTTTAATTTTTTTTTTTCCTTTATTGATATTAGAGAGAGAGAGAGGAAGGGAGAGGGAGAAAGAGATAGAAACATCGATGAGAGAGAACATCGATTGGCTGCCTCCTGCATGCCCCCACTGGGGATTGGGCCCACAACCTGGCCATGTGCCCTGACCAGGAATCTAACCGGCGACCTCTTGGTCCATGGGTCAGTGCTCAACCACTGAGCCACACTGGCCAGGCCTATCTTAGCTCTTTACCCACCTCCTCACATGGGATTTTTATGGCCCCGTGAGGGGGTATTATTGTCCTATCTTACGGATGAGAAAACCAAGGCTCTGAGAGGTGCAGTGACTTGCTCAGGGTCACGTGCTAGCAAGGGGCCCTACTGGAATCTGACTCCAGCCACCTGCCTCCTGAGCCTGCCCTCTTACCACCATGCTGCTGACTGCAACCACCTGCCTAGAAAGGTCTGGGGACCCTGGAGCCAGGGGACCTGGGTTCCAGCTAGAGTGAGAGGCAGGCACCCTTGTTTCTTTCTTTCTTTTTTTTTTTTTATCCTCACCCGAGGACATTTTTTCCCATTTTTTGCACAGATAAAGTGGGAGGGAGAGAGAGGAAGAGAGAGAGAGAGAGAGAAACATCGACGTGAAAGGGACACATCAAGTGACTGCCAACCGCACGACCAACCAGGGCCGGGGACAAACTGCAACCGAGGTATATGCCCTTAGCGGGAACCGAACCTGGGTCTCTCCGGACCGCAGGTCAATGCTCTAACCGCTGAGCCAAACCGGCCAGGGCACCCTTGTTTCTTTATCTGGGAGAAAATGAAAAGGTTGGAACAGATCTCCAAGAACCCCTCTGTTTTAAAGCTTGTCTTATTGGACCACACTCATCTCCACTCACACTGGGGTGACCCAAGGCATGTCACGCACGTGTCTTGGCCTTGATGGCCTCATTTCTCAACCTGAGTAAGTGCCTTCCATGATTTGATTTGGGGAGCAAGATCAGGTGATCCCGTCAAGGTCTTCCTTATAGTTTATGTGTCCCTCCGACGTGCTGGGCCCTGCCTCCTCAATTTCACCAACTCATTCATGCAATTCCCACTGACTGAAGTGTTTCAGAAGAATTTCTGGACCTAGTGAGCTGAAACGGGCTGGCCAGTAGGTCAGTGTCACAAGCACAGAAGGGCAACACACGAGTGCGCGGGTACATGCGTGTGTGTGTGTGTGTGTGTGTGTGAGGGTTGGGGAGAAAGGCGGGCCACGTCATTCTATTTCATAGGTGAGGAAACAGGCTCGAGAGACAGAACTATCCCTAGTTGTCACAGCTAAGAAATGGCAGGGCTGGACGTCAAACCCTGGTCCTCTTGGGCCCAAGCCCCGTTTTTCTCTCCCCCAAGGAATGGCTATTCGCGTCTCTGCGTCTGCGTGTTTGCAATACGCACTCACACACCCCGAGGGCCGGGCTCTGCACCTGGGCAGCAGGGATGGAGGGAGGTGGGCAGGAATGAGGAACAGGCAGGAGGGATATGTGGGAGGACTGGGTGATGATGGAGGGGGAGGACTGAGTCCGAGTCCCAGATTCTGGCTTGGACAAGTGGGTGGAGGGAGGTACTGGTCAGAGAGGGGAGAAAGGCAGGGGGAGCTGGGGTTCGAGGGCATGTCTCAGGCCCGGCTCTGAGGATAGTGACCCGGCATTCTAACTTGTCAGTTGCCTCTTCTTCCACCAAGTCATTCTCTGGGCCTTCTTCTGCTGAGTCGTCTTTGCAAGAGGGAAGAGGGCAGGGGCGACTGCTGGCCTCACACGCAGGCTACTGGGATCTCAGCTCACAGTGAACGGGATCCTGGCCTGGGACTGTGCGAGCAGCCACTGAATGTATTGCCTGTTGGCTGCAAGTCCTTTCACATACATCTATCTTCTGATCCTCCAATCACCCTGGGAAACAGCCTCCCCATGTATAACTGAAGGATAGTGATGCTTAGAAAGGGGCAAAGATTTTTTTTTATCTTCACCCAAGGACATTTTTGCATTTATTTTCAGATAGAGCAGGAGGGAGAGAGGGAGGGAGAGAGAGAGAAACATTGACATGAGACGCATCAACTGGTTGCCACCCACACGACCCCAACCGGGGCCAGGGACAAACTGCAACCGAGGTATGTGCCCCTAGCGGGAACTGAACCTGGGACTCTCTGGTCTGCGGGCTGACGCTCTAACCGCTGAGCCAAACCCGCCAGGGCAAAAGAAGCAAAGATTTGTCTGAGGGAAGGGAAGATGAAAAGGGAAAAGAAAATGGATTTTTATCAAGAACTTGCTCCACCCCAGTAATCAACCTATACACATTCATACATCTTAACAGACCTGTTCTCAAAATCTGCACGCAGCATCAATAGCTAAAGAAGAAACAGCCTCCACTAAGTAACTTGGGAACCCAGCTGGGGAGAGATTCAGATGTAACACCCAGTGCCCGGCCCTCAAGCTCAGAGTTCACTCATTCAATCCACCCATTCAGCCAGCAACCACTTTTCCACCATCTGCACATTCAGAAACAGAGATAAATGCAATAGGCACGCTTCTGCCACGCTTAGTGTCAATGTGCCGAGCGCTGTGGGAGAAGGTGCTGTGGGGAGATGTCACAGGGCATCCCACTGTGCCTCTCTGGAGAAGTGACGTGAGCTAAGAGCCGACGGACGACGAGCAGGGGTCAGCAAGCGTGGAGAGGAGTGTTCTAGCAGAGGGAACAGTGTGTGCAAGGCGCTGAGCAGCTACCGCGTTTGCAGATCCCGGTGGCTGGAGAAACGGCCAAGAACCAGATTGTGCGAGACATTGTCTAAGATTTTTGAATTTCAAGCCACCAAAGGGTTCTAAATAAGTGGCGGGTTTTTCAAAAAGATGCTGACTGCCAAGTGGGGAATGGCCTGGAGTGAAAGCGGAGCCCAACTGAGAGGCCCTCCCAGCCACGCAGGAGGAAGCTGAGGACCAAAGAGGTCTGGGCTGAGAGTGGCAGCCAAGGGCCTGGGAAGAAGCAGATGGATTCACAAGCTTTATTATTATTATTTTTGATCCTCACCTGAGGACATTTTTGCGGAGAGAGAGGGAGAAACATCGATGTGAGAGAGACACACACACTGGCTGCCACCCACACGACCCAACCAGGGCCGGGGACAAACTGCAACCAAGGTACGTGCCCTTAGCAGTAACCGAACCCGGGTCTTTCTGGACCACGGGCTGACGCTCTAACTGCTGAGCCAAACCAGCCAGGGCGATTCCCAAGCTAGTAAGGTCAGTCATCAGGGCTTGTGAGCGTGTGGAGATGGGGAAGAAGTGTTGGTAACTGCCGGGTTCCCCTCTGGCTGGCAGCCCCACCCCACCCCACCCCACCCCCGAAGGTTAGGGCGGGCCGCTAAGGCTGAGGCACCAGGCTGAGTCTTGCCCTGTTAAGCAGTGGGCCCTAAACCTTGGTCAGCATTAAGCGTGGCTTTCCTTTGATTTTTCTCTGAATGTCATGCATGAAGTCTGAGTGGCCCAGTTGGGATCATCCTCTTAGCAAGATGCACCTGTGACCGTAGAAGCCCGCAGTTCCCTAGGGCTGTGTGTCCTCCAGGCCTGGCTGAACTTTCCTGCTCTGGCCCATGGGCCTGTGGAAAGACATCTTTCAGCAGACCCACAGCCAGACCCTCCAGGACGGTAAATTCTAAACTCCTCGCCATCCGTGGCTGCTCACTGGCCACTACAGCCCCAGAGACAGGGCACAACTGTCCACTGAGGATGGGACAGCTGCTGCCAGAAACCAGGCTGGGGACAGGGATGCCACATATGGCACTTTATTCCAGCTTCTGCTATGTACAGGTATATACAGTTGGTGTGAGCCTATGGTACATTATTTCACAAAATTATCTTACATCCTGTGCACAGTTCTAGTGGGAAATGGCAGATTCTGCTCTGAGTAGCCCATGGATGGCAGAGGAAAAGGGTGCTCAAAGAAGCCGCCCCCTCTCTGAGGACATTCATGGGGGCTGCCTGTCCCCTTCCCCAGTACTGAAGCCCTCCCACGGGCCATCTGAGTCTCCCACCGCTCTGGGCGCTAGCTGCTCCCAAAATCTTTCTCCTCGAGTGGAAGAAAGCTAGTGGGGAAGAAGCAGCACAGCGGCCCCCACTCACTGACAGTGGCAAACTGCCACCTGATGCCCAGAGCCTGACTGATCCTATTGAATATCAATAGCAAGACGGGAACCCTCCCCACGCTCTGACTCCAGTGCAGCCTGGTCTCATGGGGCGCTGGCATGCATCTTCTCTAGGCAACTCATCCAGAACGCGACCAGCCGGTTGTCACGGTTGATGCAGAAGTCCGTGAAGTCCTTCAGCAGCCGATCGGCAAACTTCTCATCCCCCGTGGCACTGGAGCGCCACGTCTTGGTCAGCATGGTGTTGTAGGCCCAGTTGTAGCCGATCCGCTCCTCACAGAACATGTTCTGGTTGGTGGAGCTGGTGGAGTTCCGCCGCCGCCGCTGCTGCCCCGAGAACTTGCGTTTGGAATAGGGCAACTGCAGGAACACTGTTCCTGAAAAGAAAAGGGGGTTGTGTCACAGCCCCAGGGGGCACCCGGGGCTGGCCGGGGGGGGGGGTCTGCAGCCACAGGCTTGGTATGAGGGAAGAACCCTGTGCATAGGGCCCAGCTCCTCCTGCCACAGGGCCCACCCACCCACGCTCTGCCTGGAGCGCCTCACCTGTAACGTGGATGTACTGAGGTTTGTTCTCAGCCGGGAAGTTAAAAGCAGATGCAGAATATTTATCTTGTACAAACCCAAACCTAAGGGAAAGAAAGGAAGACAGACTGATTAGGGCCTCTAAGGGTCAAGGGGAGTGTGGCTACGGGGCTCTGACAGCTGGGTCTAAAGGGATCTGGAAAGATCTCTTTCAAGGTGGAACATCCAGGCTGCTTACTTTTGTCCTTGCTTGCTGCATCTCAACCTTCACCTCGTCGTGGCTCACCAGATCCCCCCCAAGCCGCCTTTCATCCCTGAGGTGGGTGAAAGCCCTCACCTGCTGCATTCTTTCTCATCCGGCCTTGACCTCTGCCCCCTTCTCGGCACACCCCCAGTCTCGTCAGACCTTCCCACGGTGCCCACCCAGTGTCCTCCAGAAAATGGTCCTAATCTTTATTTTCTTTAGCTACACCTTTCTCCCTTTCCTCATCGTCTCCCACCCCAAGCACATAGTAAGTTCTCAATAAAGGTTCTGAAGTGAAATGAGGTATCTTAATTGAAATCCTTTTCTTAAACACGAGGAGCACCAATCTGGGGCTCTCTGCTTCGCTACGCTCTGGAATGGGCAGGAGGGGTCATTTTTCATCTATGGCTGTTCTATTCCTGGCTCTATTTCCATAAAGCCCATTTATTACACTCTCCCTGCTAAGTGCTGCAAAGGACATGTTCATAGCTGTGGCTCCTGCCCTGAGTCTGAGGGGTTTATGAAGGCAGGGGTACAAGCAGAACAACAGGAGGTAAAATGCCTCTCTCCACTCAGGGAGGTGCTGTGTCACAGGGCCTAAGCTGCCAGCTTTACACTGGCATGTGGTGATTACTGACTGAAGAACACATCAAGCCAGATACGCACATTAAATGGACAGGCCAACATGCACCGCAAGCTCCATCATCTAGGCTTCGGTCCTGTGTAAGAACAGTCCTGGGTTTTGCTTTCTTCCTCTCTACTTTCAATCAAGGTCATTTCCTGACCAGATTCTTGCCTCGTTTCTTCCTTAAGTCACACAGGGAGGACCTTTCATTTTAAAAAGGCAATTTAACCACATGGTCCTCAGCCCCCTCACTGTCCACTCAGGATCAAAGTGAGGACAGGGGGCTCCAGACCCTGGGAAGGGGATGTATTAATTTCATGCCAACAGCCCACACAGAGATGGAGGGAGAGTTGGGAGCTGGCCACTTTTCTAGCTCCTTCTGAGATGGAGGCTAATGTTTCATCTCAGAGCCACATTCCCCCTAGAGCATCACCCTATGCAAAAAGTGACATGTTGAACAACTCTTCTGGGCAAGGCACTTTGCTAGGCCAGGTGGAGGGAACAAAAATGAGAAAAATGCATGCCCTTGCTCTCCAGGGGCCCTAAGTTAGTGTGATACATGGACAGGGTGTACTGGGAAAATGGAAGGAGGGATTCAGAGTGGGGAGACCTGGGATCCCTGTGAAGCAAGACTGACAGGTGTAGAAGGGGGTGGGTCTTAGGTGGGAAGGTGCGGGAGAGGGTCTAGATGGGGAAGGAGGAGGATTAGATGAAGGGACACAGCAGTCTGGAGCAGCGATACATGGGGACTGGGCAGGAGCTACATGAGGAAACTGGAGGCTGGAAAAGCAGACTGAGGAGGAAAGGGTGCTAGTTTACAGAAGACCTCACTGGGATCTGGACTAAGGTGGGTCTGGAGGAGGATGCTGTGAAAAACAGCAGATTTGACAAATAAAGGCCACATCCCAAGTGACATCCAGCCAACAAGGTGCAGTGGCTGCCCAATGACACAGGTGAGTGGTGTCAGACTTGACAGTCAACTTGTCAGCCGACTAGAGTCCTCCTAATAGGAACTTCTGTCTACTGAGGGCTCACTAGGTGCCAGGAAGATGAGAGAACCTTCCCAACAGCCCTGTGAGGAGGGAGAAGATGAAGGTGGAGCAGTTCCAGGACTTGTTCAAGGTTCCCCAGCCAGATGCTGGTGGAGGCAGAGGTGACCCAGGCCTGTCTGCTTCCCACATCAGTGCCCTTTCCACCAACCACTGTTCCCCCGACCTCCTTCCCCAAATCGGCACCCTTCCCACTGGAAGGAGAAAACCAGCTTCCCTGGCCCTCATTCCACAGCTTTTACTGAGCATCAGAGCAAGGTCTAAGAAGAAAGGGTCAGCATGAGGTCTAAGGCGGGGGCCGACTTGGGTGAGGGAAGGACGGGGAGTCTGGGCTTCATCCTGTGGTGTGCAGAGTGGGCGCGGTGGTAGCTGAAGGTGCTTGAATAAGGAGACAAGACACTGAAGGCTGCAGCAGGAGCATCTGAAGCAGGAGGCTTCGCTTACACCAGGACTAACAAGGAGCAACAACTGGACACCGAGTTAGCAGTATTCTGGAGAAGGAAACTGTACTGGCCTGAGAGATGGACAGCTAAGCCTAGGAAAGGCTTTCCCTGGAATACGTAAGTGCCAGTGAATACCTACTGTCTTATCTATCACTTTTTAACCACTGAATGTCTTTTCAACATGTTTCAAGGGACTCTTGACAAATTTCAGTTTTTCATTTCATGTCATCTCCTGGATGGCTTGTCTCAGGGTCTTGTTGGAGGCTAAGGAGGGAGCTCTCTGCTCTCCCCTCAACTGGAAGACGACAGATATCAGGTCTGAAAAACAACAGCCACAGGAATTGGAGAGCTAATGCTTATCTTTGAAACCAAGGCCAGGGTTCTACTGGAGATAAGCAGCAAATTTGTCATTGGTGGACAAGACCTGTTTCCCCACAAGTGAAACAAACTGGGTTTTGCTTTGGTAACCGCTATTCAAGACAAACGAGAATGCCTTGCCACTATTCTCCATTGCTAAGGGACAAACCTGTGTGCAATCGCTTCCTGGAACAGGTGCATTCGATCCCAGTATGTTTCCGGTTCAAAGCCTGAAAGGAAAAAGAATAAATGCTCAGTTGTGATCCCAAGGTAGGTAGTTCTCCTGGGTCTGGCCTTCTGCACCCTTCTCTACTCTAGACAGTTCTTACCCCTTGGTCATAGGCTCTGCTTTTCCATACTACCTACTTCTGGAAAGACCAGCCTCAACCCCAAGAAGGGCCATCCTAAAGAAAAGGACAGTCATACAGTCTCACCATCCCTTCCCCTAAGCCCTATCAGGATCTAGAAGGGGGATGAATATGAGTCCTCTGAAACCAGCGTGGGCTACCGAACGCGATAAAGCCTCATTCTAGCCCTGGCCAGTTTGGCTCAGCTATTAGAGTGTCGGCCTGTGGAACAAAGGGTCATGAGTTCGATTCCTGGTCAAGGGCATGTCCCTGGGTTACAGGTTCGATCTTTGGCCCTGGTTGGGGTTGTGCGGAAGGCAAACAACCGATGTCTCTCTCTCATATTGATGTCCCCCTCCCAACTCTATCTAAAAAATCAACGAAAAAATATCCTTGGGTGAGGATTAACAACAACAACAAAAAGACTCCAATGACCTCCTATGACAAAAGCAGGAAGTCGCATGATATTCAAGTGCAAACAGAAGAGAGGCTTTAAATGCATGTTGTCTACTCCTAAGGATCAAATAAAAAATATACATACATATACCTACACAAACTTATAATCCTCACCAGAAGGTATTTTTCCATTTATCTTCAGATAGAGGGGGAGGGAGAGAGAGAGACATCGACTGGCTGCTTTGCACATGACCCTGACCAGGGCCGGGGACAAACTGCAACCGAGGCACGTGCCCTTGACCGGAATTGAACCCACAACTCTTTGGTCTGTGGGCTGATGCTCTAAGCTCTGAGCCAAACCAGCCAGGGCAAAAAAAAAAAAAATAGTTTTTATTATCGCTGATCTTCCATTTCCCTATAAAGAAAGGTAATATTATACGCTCCATTTTAGGGGTAGGGAAAATGAAGCAAATAATACAAAAATTATTTTGGAAAAGTGATCAGCTAGGGTAGGGCAGGAACACACCCTCCCCCAGTGCCCACTTCATTGCTCCAGCCTCGCTCCTTCTGTTCCTCCTGCTGGGCTGCTGTGAGGACCAAGGAGGCGGTGGGAGGGCTGGGCAGCCTGTCACACAGCAACAGGCCATGGGCCTGGGCTACTTTTGGGACAGAGGTGCCGAGGGCTAGAGCAACAACTGTACAATACATCCCAAAGGCCATGGGTGCCTGCAGTGTCCTCGTTACTCCTTCTACACTTGACATCTTCTATGTAGGACAGATATGAGGATTCTGGGCAATGAAAGAGCAAGGGAGAAAATGACTTTGGCTTTAATAGAAAAACATACACACACAGCAGATTCTTGTCAGATTTTTAAGGTTTTAAATTCATTGTTATCAGAAGGGGAATAACTGGAAGAGAAACAGCAGAGAAGCGAGAAAATCGATTTTTAGATTCAAGTCCTCATTCCTTGAAGCTAAGACTCCTGTTCAACTGTAACCATGGTAACCAACAGAGGATGCTGGTCTTGATGACTGGGTTATAACTGGCAGGGAACATGATCAGCTCACATAAAAATGTCCTACAATGCCAGTCCCTTGAGCAATCCTGTGCTATTACCGTGAAGGTAGAAAACCCCAGAAGAGTCTCTGATGGTGTGGGGATGATCTCTCTATCCCCTCACCATATTAAAAACAGCACTAAGAGACTGTGCCTGGCTTAAAATCATCAGATATAAACATAATCATCTGGCATTTCAGAGCTGCAAAAAGGGTCCTGTATCAGCCACACTGTGAGGTCACACAAGAATGTGTGTGTGTGTGTGTGTGTGTGTGTGTGTGAGAGAGAGAGAGAGAGAGAGAGAGAGAGGGAGAGAGAGAGAGAAGTACTTTATAAACTCTAAGGATAAAGAGTGGGGCCAGCATCGGCCTGCGATCCAGACAGACCCGGGTTCAGTTCCCGCTAAGGGCATGTACCTTGGTTGCAGTTTGTCCCCAGCCCTGGTTGGTCGTGCGGGTGGCAGCCACTCGATGTGTCCCTTTCACGTCGATGTTTCTCTCTCTCTCTCTCTTCCCCTCTCTCCCTCCCACTCTAGCTGTACAAAAAATGGAAAAATGTCCTCGGGTGAGGATAAAAAAAAAAAAAAAAGAGTGGGGCTTGCCTGAATCCTAACTGTCACTTAAAACATTGTCTCTATAACAAAACGTCTTCCAAGATACAACCAAAGAATATACAAGCGGGCCTTTGGAACAAAAGCTGTTTCTACCCTGGGTGCAGCCTGCCACAGGGAAAGCACAGGGACACTTAGCTTGGTCTCCCCGACCCTCTGGGCCACTAACCATGACACAGACTTACAAGGGCAGAGGAAGAAAGCATCTCTCTTACATTTGAAGTTTTTTCTTTCACGTTGTTAATTTCAACATCTAAGAAACGAAAAGGCGCTCCTAATAGATTAGCAGCAACTCTAGCTTTTTGGATTTAAAAAGTCCATCTGTGAGCTCACCCAGAGCTCTGGAGGAGCTACTTATACGTTCATTGCAATGAACCCTTGGTGATAAAAAGTTTGGTGCTGTGTGAAAATGCCTCCTTCCATCTGTCCTGCACCTACCCTCAAAGTTCTGGTGGATTAGGGGTGAACAGCAACCGACAACCCTGTTCCAAGGGAAGGGCTCTGTCTGGCTCCTGATGTCCTCCTACAAGCTCCTCCTGTTCCATCTGCCTTGAGATGCAGGGCACAAGCCACGTGCAGTGTCCCAGGTGCTGACACCCCACAGCTCTGCACAGTAGGTCACTGTTTCCTGTTTTGCTTTCAATGTCTCCCTTTTTTAGCATTTCTGCATGGAACAGCAGATTCGAGCCTCCTGTGAGGTTCAAATTCCTGCAGCCCAAACCAGTTAGGCCAGAGCATAGACAGGACAGTGTGGGGAGAGTACCTGGGCCACTTGTGACGTACAGAGTATCACACCCTCTCCCATCTGCTATTCTGTTCCAGGCCTTCTGAGGGTCTTCCTGAGTTGCAAAACAGCTCTAGCCACCCTCATTTTAGGAACTTGAGGCTCAGAGACATTAAGTGACTTGTCCAGGATTACCCAGCCACTAAGTGAAGAATGAGAATTAAAATCCAGATCCTTTGGCCCCTTGTCCAAAGGCTCCCTCAACACAGTCGTTTATGTGGATTAGACACCTAGAGGTGCCCTTGGGGGAAGAGGAGGTCTCACTCGTGGAGACAGAACCCCAGGGGGAGTATCTCTTACTATCAAACAGGTGCTCGCTGCCTTCCTTGAGCAGACAGCTGACGTTGAGTGGGATGAAGAGCTGGGCTCGAAGCGGATCGCCATACAGGTAACTGGGCAGCGCAAAGGGACCCTCCAAAACCGGGACCAACAAAAAGCCACAAGAGGTGGCTTTTCGATGCCAACCTTGGACCTGGTGGAAAGCAAAGAAACAGTATCACTGCCAACTTGGTTCAGACAAGAGAAAATACTGCTCAAGGAGCAAAGCAGCCAGGATGACCTTATGCATGTTGATTGGCATGTTCATTTATTAATGTTCACTGCTCCAAGCTGGTCCTGGGCAGGAAAACACACAGTCTAACCTGATGAATACCCGAAAATCTGTGAGTTTAAGCACACAGTTCCTCTTCATTGCCCAAGCTTCTGCAATTTCCCTATTTCTTTTGGGAGGAAGAGACTGGAAAGAGCTATTTCTTGCCTCCTAAAACCCCTTCTCATTCTATAAGATGTTGGAAGAAGGTCACAGGATAGAGGTTAAGTCCTAATTTTGTCCTTTATAAAATATTTACTAAGTCCAGAGTATTGAGTAGGAAAACAATGCACTCAAGCCGGCTGAGTGGGTCATGACGCAGGGTGCAAGATGAGTGTGGTGGCCTCTGGCCAGAAGCGATAAGCCTGGACCTGGCGGAATGCGAGCTGCTCCCAGGCGAACTCCCAAAGACTGTCTGTCTGCAGGCTGACCGAGAATGAAAGTTACTAGGGCGTAAAGGAAACTCTTCCCATTAATAACATTTTCTTAGGAAACAGTGACAATGTTCTTAAGATACTTTTAATCATAAACCTGATATATTTAAAAGCTGATGAGTGTGGCTCTGCATACAGATGAGATTTGTGTCCAATGCTCTCTCAAAAACCTACAAATACAATTGTTTACAACCGAAGGGGACCAGTCTTAGTTTCCCAGGAATACTCATAACTACAGTATAACAACAACACAAAAACCAAGCTCTCTGTTTGACCAAAATAATTTCTAAGATTTAGTCAATGATGCTTTTATTTTATGCAATATTTATCCTAATGAAGTCTAATTCATAACAATTTTGGACACTGCCTCAAAATAATAATTAATATGCAGTAGAGACTTCTGGGCATCTTTTTAAACTTGGTCCTTAAGAATGCTTCCCTGGTGAGAATCTCTCCAGGGGAGTAGTGCACAAGATATTCATGCTCCCACTCCCGGGGGATTAGTGGCAATATCTAGAGATACTTTTGGCTGTCCCAGGTGGGTGATCTCCTGACATTTAGTGGGTAAAGGCCAGGGATGTTGTTCAACATCCTAAAAGGACAGCCCCCCACAACAGAGTTATATGTTCCTAGATGTTAGTAGTGCCAAGGTTGAGAAGTTCTGAGTCACACCCATTCTGGCTGCTTGAATTTGTTATTATGCCTGAATGTTTTTAAAAAGGTAATTTCAATAATCTAGATGAAAGGTAATAGAAGTATGAACTTTAAAAAAAAAACAAAGGACACGAATTGCTACTAAGCATCCACTGTGCCCCTCTGCCAGGTGAGCCAAGGCCCCACCCACAAGCGGAGGTGCTCACCATCTCAAAGAGGACTGCAGCCGTCACCGCCATCCAGTGGAGCTTGATCTCAAACGCTGCATTCAAGGAGAAGTTGCCATGGTAATAACAACTGCACCACTCCAGCCGGTCTGTTCGGTTGTTCACATCCACGTCCAGGGTCACAGTCCTCTGCTCCGGGACAGTGGCAGCTATGTCAGCACAGAGGGACCCCAAGAGAGAGGGAAAAGGAGTGGGATGAGGAGGAAGAACAAATACCCAGAAATGAAACTGCAGAATCACCTAATAGGAAAAAATCACAGATTCTAGAAGCTTCTGGGAAATCATCTAGTCCAGGGGTCGCAAACTTCTGTAAAGGTCCAGATAATAAACAGTTTAGCTTTTGCAGGCTATCTGGTCTCCTATAGAGACTTTCAACTGCTCAACTCTGCCTTTATAGTGCAAAAGCAGTCATAGACATCACGCAAACGATGGGCTTGGCTGTGGTCCAATAAGACTTTATTTATAAAAACAGATGGATTTTTATTGATTTCTTAGAGATAGGAAGAGAGAGATAGCTAGAAATATCAATGTGAGAGAGAAACATCGATCGACTGCCTCCTATATGCCCCCCACTGGGGATCAACCCCAAAACTCAGTCTTGTGCCCTGACCCTGAATCCACTCTGCCACACTGGCAAAAACAGGTGGATTTTTAGGGTGGTGAAACTGTTCCATATGACACTGTAATGGTGGACACATGTCATTATACATTTGTCAAAACCCTAGGTAAACCACAGACTTTGGGTGATAATAATGTCAATGTAAGTTCATCAATTGTAACAATTTTCCCACTCTGGTGGGAGATGTTGATAATAAAGGAGGCTGTGTGTGTGATGGGGCAGGGAGTACATAGAAAGTATACTTTCTGGTCAATTTTGCTGGGAGCCTAAAAGTGCTCTAAAAATAAAATTTATTATAAAACAAATAAATAACAAAGAGATGGTAGGCCAGATTTGACCAGTTAAGCCATAGGAGGTAAACCCCTTCATTTACAGATGAGGAAACAGCAGCCAAGGAGGAAAATCCTTGGTCAAGATCTTAGAGTCAGAACCTCAGCCAGCTGACCCCTGATCTGACTCCAGGGACCCATGAATGGGGACAACTGGACCAGCAGCCTAGACCACAGTCTGGAGGAAGTCTTGCTTTTCTGGTCTCAACACAGGAAGGCAACAGTTCTATAATCTTTCCTCAAGAAATGAAACCTCATAATGAAGCTTAATGCCCTGTTCCATCAACCGTGTGTTGCTCAAAACTTCCAGGTCAGAAGATGGTGGCGTAGGTAAGCATGGTATCGTGTCCTCCCACAACCACATCAAAGTTACAACTCAACTACAGAACAACCATCATTCAAAACTGCCAAAAATCAGGCTGAATGGAAATCCTACAACTATGGAATTAAAGAAGAAGCCGCATGGAGACTGGTAGGAGGGGTGGAGGGGCAACAGGCTGGTCCCACACCCACGTGTGGTGGAAAAAGAAGGACACCTCAGCTGGAAAGGTCCTTCCTGAGGACTGAGGGGTCCCCGTCCCACACCAGGCACCCTGCTCAGGGTTCCAGAGCCAGGAAGAGAATCCCCATCACTTCTGGCTGGAAAAACCAGCAGGAACTGAGGCTCAGAGAGGCTGAGGAGGCTGCAGCCCCAGGCAGCTCCTTAAAGGGCCCACGCACGGACTTATTGGACTCACTCCCTCTAAGCTTGGAGGGGAGGCAGCTTGAAAGGCACCAGAGACATATGGGGAAGAACTGAGTTGTCTGGCACTGGAGCGAGAGCTGGAAAGGATGCTTTCTCCTGAACAGACCTGCTGTCAGAGGCCTTTGTTCCTTTGGTGAGCCCTTCCTGGGGGCGGCAGACAGCCCCAGAGCTGGAACTCCAGCAACCTGGCTCACACTGGTTGCCCCACCCTGCTGACTCCCTGAGGCCCCGTCCCACCCATCTTTCAGGTCCACCCAAGCTGTTGCCAGTTTCTTTACCATAGGATTGGCCTGTCTTGGATCCTGCTTCAGGTTTTCCTAAAGTCTTTCAAACAAGAAGCGTCTGGTCTCAGGGAGCCCCATACCTCTCGTTAAGTAATACACAAAAACAAACACAGGGAGGCGGCCAAAATGAGGAGACAAAAAAACAGGTCCTAAATAAAAGAACAGACTAAAACTCCAGGAAAAGAACTAAGTGAAATGGAGATAAGCAACCTAACAGATGCTGAGTTCAAAATACTGCTTATAAAGATGCTCAATGAACTTAGTGAGAACCTCAGTGAACTTAGTGAGGGCCTCAAGAGCATAAAAAAGGACCATTCAGAAATGAAGGAGGCACTAACTGAAATAAAGAATAATTTATACAGATTCAATAGTAGAGCAGGTAAAGCCAAGCAGCAAACCATCAATTTGGAATATAAAGAAGCAAAATACCCAATCAGAACAGCAAAAAGAAAAAAGAATCAAAAAAAAAAAAAAAAATGAGGATAGTGTAAGGAGCCTCTGGGACAACTTTAAGCGTGCCAACATTTGCATCTTGGGGGTGCCAGAAGGAGAAGAGAGAACAAGAAATTGAAAACCTATTTGAAACAATAATGGCAGAAAACTTCCCTAACTTTGTGAAGGAAACAGACAAGTCCAGGAAGCACAGAGAGTCCCAAACAAGATGAACCCCAGGAGGCCCACACCAAGACACACCATCATCAAAATGCAAAAGGTTCAAGACAAAGAGAGAATCTTAAAAGCAGCAAGAGAAAAGCAGTTAGTTACCTACAAGGGAGTTCCCATAAGACTGTCAGCTGATTTTTCAAAAGAAACTTTGCAGGCCAGAAGGGAGTGGCAAGAAATATTCAGAGTGATGAAAAGCAAGAACCTACAACCAAGATTACTCTATCCTGCAAAGCTGTCATTTAGAATCAATGCCATATAAAGAGTTTCCCAGACAAGGAAAAGCTAAAGTTGTTCATCACCACCAAACCATTATTTTATGAAATGTTGAAGGGTCTTCTTGAAGAAAAAGATAAAAAATATGAACAAACAAAATGGCAATGAATACATATCTATCAACAATTGAATCTACAAACAAAATGAACAAGCAGAACAGAAACATTCTCATAGATACAGAGAAATTTTGTTGGTTGCCAGATGGGAGGGGGGTTGGGGGAATGGGTGAAAAAGGTGAAGGGATTAAGAAGTACAAATTGGTTGTTAGAATGACAAACCTCAAAGGGAAGGGAGGGTGGAGGGTGGGAAGAGAGAAACCAAAGAACTTATATGTATATATGCATAACCAATGGACACAGACAACAGTGTGGGGAAAGGCAGAAGGGGGGCAGGAGTGGGGAGGAGGGGGTCAATAGGGGGAAAATGAGAAACATCTGTAATACATTCAACAATAAAGATAAATTAAAAAAACAAACAAAAAAACTTCCAGGTCAATTTCAAACTAGCTCATCCTATCTGGGTCTCCTGCTCAGAAATTCTACATGGCCAAGAGATGGATGTTTTAGAGACTGATCAGATAATCAAGTTTCTGACCAGACTAAGGACCTAAATGGGCTTAGAAGTAAAGACAAGATTATGGCCAGACTTCGGGTTTCTAGAAACTATTATCAGTCTCTCATTCTCCCCTGGCTCCCCTGAGTCCAATGGTATTTCTTTATCTGAAGGAGTCAGCTTAGTTCTGAGTTCTGCAGGTAGAAGTCCTGAGTGGCTTTTATCACTGATGAGGATGAAATGGCATCTGAGTCAGCAATTCTAATGAACTATTGTTGGGAGGCAAGAGAGCTACAGCTGGGACACTGAATGCACCCAGGCAGAAGGCACCCAGCTGCCTGGTGTACAGCTTACCATTCTCTCCAAACCAGAACACTCAAAATGAAAAATGTTCTTGATTTGCAGTCAGAATCCAACTCTGTTCTTTACTATGTACCCCTGAAAATACTGCCTCACCTTTCCTGGTTTAGTTCCTCATCTGCTAACTGAGATGGTACCTGCCCAGCTGCTTCATGTGGAAGAGAATCACAGACGCCCCCCCCTTCCCTTCTCCTCTATCCACCCTCACTTGTAACTCTTCTTTCCTCCTGTTCCTGTTCATCCTTCCTCCCAGCTTATTTATTTTTTTAATATTTTATTTTTTATTTTTATTTTTTTTGTATGTGCCCCTAGCAGGAACCGAACCTGGGACACTATGGTCCGCAGGCCAATGCTCCAACCGCTGAACCACACTGGCCAGGGCCTTCCTCCCAGTTTAAGCCATGAGCTCACCCATGCTCAACATGAGGCCTGTCCATAACTCCCACAGACTCTGCTTAGCTGTCTATGATACTCAAGGCAAGATAATTTGGTGCCTCTGATGCTAAAAGTTTCATTTAAACTGGTTTCTGTCTCTGTCTGGTGTTCCGGATTCATGACACCGCCAAAGTAACCATTTACTTAGCCAAAATCAAAGGAAGAAAGTTTTGCTCTCTGGTCCTGGACACTGCATTTCTCTGCAGGTAGAAAGCCTCTGGTCACAATAGAAAGGACACTCAAAACACCAGCAGTGACCTCACACATCTCTTCTCTTCCATCTGGCATGTCAAGTTCAGAACAGGCTGGTCTGCGGAAGCCCAAGACAGGGTGTTGCTCAGCCAAGTGCTTAAGATGCCACCGGCTTCCTGCTCAGGAGCCAGACTGGACAGTGCGGATGCTGCCGGCAGCTTATAATGCTGACCGAAGTGTAAGCCCAGCTGAGTTGCAGCTTTCAGTGAGTTCTCTGAATCACTACTTGAGCCCTAGGAGAACTGACTGATTCACCTTAGGACAGTGAGATAGGGAGAGCCCAATAAATACATGCAAACCCAGAGGAGGAGCAGGATGAGTCATAGTGAGGGGACTATTAATGAGCAGAGAAGGGGATCAGTGTCACCGGAGGACAGAAAGGAACCAGGGAGGCGACTGAGGCTCGATGTAACAACCAGAGCTGTCCAGTGATGGAACAAGTGGTCTCAGGAGTGAGTGCTGTGTTGGCAGGAATTTTCAAAGAGCATCTGGCTCCTCACTTATCAGAAGTGCATGGAAAATGTGCAAGCATCAGGGTTTGGATAGAGGTGCCTCTTCTGACCCTGAGATCCAGTGGGTTGTCCAGAAAAGGCTGAGAAGTAAAAGGTGTGTGAGCACGCTTGACAGATGCAGTGCCACTTCTTCCAGGATCTCAGATGCCCCTGCAGCATCACAGCTCAGCGGCACAGGATGACAAGGGTGGGGAAGTGGGAGCCACCACGGGAGCAGCCAGACAGGACCCTGCCCCACGTCAGCTATTTTAAAATAGCTTTCCGCTGCCTACCTCCAACTGAGAATCAGAAATACTTAAAAGGGAACATGTCAAAACAAATACACACAAAAAGGGAGCAGGTCATAAAAGATACACAGGCCTTCTTCCCTCTAAAATCATGTTAAATTTGCCCTGGCCGGTTTGGCTCAGCGGTTAGAGTGCTGGCCCGTGGACCAGAGAGTCTCAGGTTCAGTTCCCACTAAGGGCACGTACCTCGGTTGCAGTTTGTCCCCAGCCCCGGTTGGGGTTGTGTGGGTGGCAACCAGTCGATGTGTCTCTCTCATGTGGATGTTTCTCTCTCTCTCTCTCCCTCCCTCTCTCCCTCCTGCTCTATCTAAGGATAAATGCAAAAATGTCCTTGGGTGAGGATAAAAATTTTTTAAAAATAATATTAAATTTTTTTCTGAGAAATAAACTCAACATTGAAGATAGCCCCATTTATAGAAAACTGATCTTTCTCACTTAAGTAAATGACATAGTAAAAGTTTATATTCTAACCTGAAAAAAATGCTGGGGAGAAGTATCTCATATCCTAACACAAAGGTCTGGGGGATGTTACTGGACAGAATTAGCTGTCAGAGTCATGTCAAGTTTCAAAGGAAAAGAAACCCACTTCCTGTGGGAGGGGTGATTGGAAAGGAAGCAGATGGAGTGAAATTCTGCGATAACAATCATGGGAGCCACTGAAAAGCTAACAGAAGGGTGCCTTCCCAAAAAACGTGCACACGCAGGATTCTGCCTCATTTCAGAACCACTGAACCTAACGCCCATGCAGACTCCATGAAGCATGATGGCTAATAAACTACCTGCTGAAGACATACATCCTCTCTTCTCCCCTACCCAAGCATGTATGTGCCTCCCAGTGCAGGCGGCAGTATGGTCACCTTTCTGCAAAGCAGGTGTGAGTCTTCATTCAAGCCTAATGTTAGGCTCATCAGGAAAGTTTTGTACTTGTCCATTGTATATTGATTCTGCAATCACATCTATACTTGAAGTTTACTAAGAAGGTTGTTGTTTTTCATTAAGAAAGTGTTTATGGCCCACCCGGTATGGCTCAGTGGTTGAGCATCAACCCACGGACCAAGAAGTCACTGGTTCGATTCCCGGTCATAGGGCCCAGCGGGTGTGGCTCAATGGTTGAGCATCAACCCATGGACCAAGAAGTCACTGGTTTGATCCCCAGTCAGGGTACACACCCAGGTTGTGAGCCAAATCCCCAGTGGGTGGTATGCATCAGGTGGCCAATCAATATTCTCTCTCATTGATGTTTCTATCTCTCCCTTCCTCTCTCTCTAAAAATCAATAAAGAAAAAAAAAAAAGAGAAACATTGATGTGAGAGAGACACATCAATTGGCTGCCTTCCACACGACCCCAACCAGGGCCAGGGATCAAACTTGAAACCAAAGTACACGCCCTTGATCGGAAATCAAACCTGTGACCCTTCCCTTTGGTTCGCGAGCTAATGCTCTAATGGCTGAGCCAGACCGGCAAGGGCAAGGATGCATTTTTTTTCCTCACCCGAGGACATTTTTTGTATTTATCTTCAGACAGAGTGGGAGGAAGAGAGGGGGGGAAAAGAGAGAGAGAGAAACATCGATGTGAGACACATCGTTTGGTTGCCACCCACACGACCCCAACTGGGGCTGGGGACAAACTGCAACGGAGGTACGTGCCCTTAGTGCGAACCAAACCCAGGCCTCTCTGGTCCATGGGCCAACGCTCTAACCGCTCAGCCAAACTGGCCAGGGCAAGGATGCATTTTTGAAAGATGCTCACATCTCAACCCTCATTCCCTCCTTGAGAGTAGCATTCCCCATTTCCTGTTTGAGGTTACCACCATTCAATAAGCAGGTGTTCACCCTTATCTTATAGCTGCAGGAAATGAGGAAAGGAGGGACAAGTCCCAGTTTACAGCCCTCAATGGGGTAAGCATATTTGGGGGGGAAAGACAAAGGGAGGTTCATGCTCAGAATGAGTGTTTGGAATGGACCACCTTTAAGGTCCCTTTCTCTCCTGAGGTTCTAGGATGCTCTAGTCTCAGGGAAGGCCTCTGACAGGAATTAAACCAGCAGTGAGCACCAGCTCACATCCTCTGAATCCTGAAGGCCTCTTGAGAAAAGTGGCCACACTGTCTACTCTGTCCTGTTTGTGCAGGTTTTGTATTATGTCCTGATGTGAGAATTGCTAAACACTGTTGGCTGGGATAATAATAAGCTTGGCCCACTCAGAAAGTAGAAGCTAGCACAGGAACCTACAGCACCGACAGACAGACAGAATGGCCAGTGTGATGGCCACGGCAGCTCTAATCCTGGTCCCTGTGGCATTGTTCCCCTGGCTGGCTGCCACTCTCCCTCAGCCACCCACCAGCACATCCCCAGGCCCTGTGTGGGTTGGACACCTACCTAGAAGGGCTGCTGCCTGGCTCCGCCCTCCAAAGCTGCGACTGAAGGAGCTGTGCCTGCTTGCATAGGAGGCTGGCCGGCTGGGCAGCCAGGGCAGGAGGAAGGCCGGGATCTCGGAGTGCAAGAGCTCTTCAGCCACAAATGCCACCTCAAACCACTTGCGCTGGAAGCTGGCGAAGTCATCTACCGCTGTCGTGTGCCAGGTGGTGGGCTGCTGCATGGCCACTGGGAAAAGCAGAAGGGAGAAAAGCACCTTCAGCACGAATGTTTACTTTCTTACTGATGCACGCTACAACAAGGGTAAACCCTGAAAACATTATACTAAGTAAAAAAAGCCAGACACAAAAGGCCAAATATTGTATGATGCCACCTAAATGAAATGGCCAGAATAGACCAATATTTAGAGACAGACAGCAGATTGGTGGTGGCCAGGACATGGAGGGAGGAGGAGTTTGGGACTGGCTGCTGATGGGTACAAGGTTTCGTATGGGGGATGGAAATGGTCTGGAACTAGATAGAGTGGTGGCTGCACACCATTGTGAATGCGGCAAATGCCATTGAATTGTTCACTTAAAATGGTTGATTTTAGCCCTGGCCGGTTTGGCTAAACGGTTAGAGCGTCGGCCTGTGGACCAGAGGGTCCCAGGTTCGGTTCCCGCTAAGGGCACGTACCTCGGTTGCAGTTTGTTCCCGGCCCCGGTTGGGATTGTGTGGGTGGCAACTACTCGATGTGTCTCTCTCACATCAATGTTTCTCTCTCTCTTCCTCCCTCTCTCCCTCCCACTCTATCTGAAAATAAATGCAAAAGGTCCTCGGGTGAGGATAAAAAATAAAATAAAATAAAATAAAATAAAATAAAATAAAATAAAATAAAATAAAATAAAATAAAATAAAATAAAATAAAATAAAATAAATAAAATAAAATAAAATAAAATAAAATAAAATAAAATAAAAAAATAAAATAAAATAAAATGGTTGATTTTATGTTATGTGAACTTTACTTCAAATTAAAAAATATTTCATTCTCAGTTTCAGACCTTTCATTTCACAGCATGTAACAGTAATTGGGACGTCTTCAACTTGAAGGTAACACAGGTCAAACTCAGAGCTGAAGAGGTGGTGTGGGAACACCAGTGGCTACAAGGGCAGAAACCTGCGCAGACCCACTCCTGACACATCCTTGCACGATTATCTGATGCACGATTCCTGAAACCCTGAGGCCAGGAAGCCTTTCCTCTGCAGAATGGGAGTCATTTCCAGCCCTGTGTGCTCTAGGGGGACTAGAGATGTTTGTCCAGTGCTACGAGACCCAGCTCTGACTGTGCTGGAAATTGCTCCCCTCTTGGGGATTACTTTTTCTCATTAAAAAGAAAAAACCTTAAAATATATCTTGGAAAATCTTTAGAACCTGATAGTCTCTCTGGAGGAAGAAATGGAGTCTGTAGGCCCAGCAGGTAGAAAGTGCTGTTATAGGTTAGAGCCCATCATGTCATACTCAGAAGCACCTGCACTGGGGTGGGTGAGTGGGTGGATGGGGGCTATGAAAAAGCAGCTACCAAAACATGACCCATGAGAATTTCCTCTCACTAGGTCCTCTGGCCTCTTTTAGGGTTATCTTCTATCCACACTGTTCTCACCAAGAACATACTGTAGCTTTAAGAAATAGCTGTCAATCTAGTTATGCTTAAATTAAATACAAATGCTCAAAGAAGTTAACATATCCATCAACTTGGAATACAAAGTGACATAAGAAGCTCAAGAAGCAGTGTCATTTGAAGGAGCAAGTCACCACGCAGAACACAAGCCCCTGTGGGCAACAGCATCTGCCTCATCTCTGACCTCGGTCGGGCTCTTTGTCCATGACTATCTTGTAGAAATAGAAGCCGTAGATGAAGGTCCGCCAGACTTCACCAGATGCGTGTGTGATGAGCTGCTCTTCCAGCATTTTCTAGAGAGAGAGACATTGAAACTCTGAAATTCCTACAGAGGGACATCTTAGAGGTGCAGCCCTCAGTGATATGCTGGAGTCAAGAGAAGGACGAGGGCACTGAGGAGATCTTACTCTTCACCCCCATCCACCATAACTGCACTGTGCAAAGTGTTGTGCCTGGTGCAGGTAATATTATAAAGTAGAAATGCATAGTACAATATCATCAAATATTTCAAACATACAGGAAAGTATAAAGAAAATCCAGGTACACCACCATCTGACATCAACAAATTTAATATTTTACTATACTGACTTCAGATCTTTTTTATTTTTTAATCTTATTTTTTATTTTATTTTTTCTTTATTAATCTTAGAGAGAGAGGAAGGGAGAGGGAGAGAGAGACAACCTGGGCATGTGCCCTGACCGGAATCGAACCATCGACCTCTTGGTGCATGGGTCGATGCTCGACCACTGAGCCACACCAGCTGGGCTAAAAAAAAAAAAAATCTTTATGAACTCTCCAATGTCCCAATCCTTTTCCTCTCTGTCCAGAGATAAATGGTGAGTATAATAGTATTCTCATACATGCTTTAAATAATTTTATTATATAGACATGCACTGATAAAGAATATGAGGTGTTTGCATAGGCTTTTAAATCCTGAGTGAAGTATATAATACTATTATCATGTTGTAAATTGGACTGTCACTCAACATCATGCTTGTGACATTTATCCGTGTTGATACGTGTACCTCCAGATTGTTTATGTTAATGCTCTAATACATTCATTGCATGAACAAGGAAATACAATTCTCAGGGAGATGGGAATATAAAGTAATCAGGCAAAGGCCAGGCACAACAGCCTACTGAGACCTTCAAAAAGAAAACTGAAGATCATGTGCTTATTCAAATCAGTTACTGATTTTACATTTCAGTGATGGCAACCCAGCTGGTCAGCAAGTGGTACTGATTCCCAGCAGGGGCCTCTGTGTGGCCAACTTGACTTTGCCATTCCTCTTCTCCCGAGTTTAATTCCAGCTCTGAACATTGTAATTAAATCCGGCAAACATGTGCCAAGTGCTGACCATGTGCAAAACAACATGGCAGACACTGGTGATGTGGAAATGCACCGTGGGAGGTGGCCCCGCTCGCAAGAAGCCTGGGCAAGGTGGGAGATGTGTGTTAAGGGCTGACACAGGGCCTTCCCTCCAGCCTCAAATACTGAGCGAGCTGGGGAAAATGGGGGCTCAAGGTCAGAGGGAGGGCATCCCAGGGAATCTTTCACAGAGATTCCTCTCAGGTTCAAAAGTGCAGATTCCTTTCAGAATGCTTCATTTCAGACAATAAATTCCACCAGATTTTTAAGTCAAAGTATGGTGTCTTTCAAAGCAAGACACACTCCTTCATCAATTCCACAGTCCTCACTTACTAAAAACAGTTCCTCACCTCAACCTACAGACCTTGTTACTGGAGAGGGTGGCTCCTTCAGGGACAGGATCTGGCTGTGTGGCTGCTCACCTGCATGATGTCGATGGCCATCGCGGGCGTCTGGACCCCCTCCACGTTGTTCACCAGCCAGTGCACCACCTCCGCGCTGATGAAGCAGCACGGCGAGAGGCCCTTCTGTTCAGAGAGCAGCTGGACTCCTGTCCTGAGATCCAACACGGCGGGCAGGGAGCAGGGGGTGTGTGCACACAACGGCAACAAGCGGAAAGAGAAGATGACAGAGATGGGACTCCTGCTAAGGCACTTAGTATCTGAAGTGAGGATCCCTGTAGTGGAATTTCTCTACACTATTTGTAGACCCAGAGAAACCTCCGTGACAGAACAAAAATGGTGCAATAGGGAGAAAAGAAGAAGGGGAAGGAAAAAGGACTTGATATTTAGAGAATATCTATACTTGTCAGGCATTATACTAGGTAAATTACATAATTATTTTATTTAATCCATATGTCAAACCTGTGACCTATCCCATTATCCTATTTTACAAACAAGGTAACAGGATCAGAGGTCAGAAAGGTCAAGTAACTTGCCCAAGGTCTTGCAGCTAGTGAGAAAAAAAGGCAGGCATGAATCCACCAAACTACACTGCCTGAGCATTGCCCCGGCCTGGGCCTGCAGGATCCTCCCACCCCCGCACTTATGCATGCCCCGAACACTTACGAGGGGTGCTTCATGGCTTCCAGGATCTCTGCCAGAGTGGAGGACGATGTCAAGGAGCTTGCCACCAGTTGCTGAGAGCTGTAACACAGAGCATCTGGTCAGCAAAGCAAGAGGTCACACACCGTCAAGAGCACAAACCCTAGGAACTTCTTACAGAGCTGGGAACTTGGACAACACTGACTCTAAAGGTGTTCCAGCATATTCTGGAGAGTTACATCCTAGGAGAGTTACGGAGGTGTGTGTGTGTGTGTGTGTGTGTGTGTTCTACTTCCAAAGTATATATGCTAAAAAAAAAAGACTTCAAAGTGGTTTTGTTTTATTTTATTTTTCTTTATTGATTTTAGAGAGAGAAGAAGGGAGAGGGAGAGATAGAAACATCGATAAGAAAGAACATTGATTGGCCACCTCCTGCATGTCCCCCCCCACTAGGGATTGGGCCCACAACCTAGGCATGTGCCCTGACCAAGAATCAAACCAGTGACCTCTTGGTGCATGGGTCGAGGCTCAACCACTGAGCCACACCGGCCAGGCTCAAAGTGGTTTTATATCCACACTTGCTTATTATTATTATTATTATTTTATTAATCCCCATCCGAGGATATTTCTCCATCTATCTTCAGATAGAGTGGAAGGGAGGGACAGAGAGAGAAACATTGATGTGAGAGAGACACATCCATTGGCTGCCCCCTGCAGGGCTGGGGACCTAACCACAACCAAGGTGCGTGCCCCTGACTGGAATAGAACCTTCGACTCCCGGCCCAAAGGCCATCACTCCAACAGCTGAGCCAATCCAGCTAGGGCAACACATTTGCTTGTTCTTTTTTTTTAATCCTTGCCTGAGGATATTTTTCTATTTATTGTCATACAGAGTGGGAGGGCGGGAGAGAGAAACATCTACGTGAGAGGGGTACATCAACTGGTTGCCTCCTGCATGACCCGGACCAGGGATGGGGATGAACCGCAACCGAGGTATGTGCCCCTGACTGGAATCGAACCCACCTCTTTGGTCCGAGGGCTAACACTCTAACCTGAGCCAAACCGGCCAGGGCCACTTGCTTATTCTTAATAAGCACTTCCCCTTTGAATAATCTGCCTCAGGCCCGACCACTTCCAAGAACTCTCCCTGGAATGCTGGAATGCTGTGGGTTTGCCCCAAAGGCCTTTTACCTGTCATATCATTTCATCTTAGCAGAGAGCACTAGATCATGTGTAAGAACTTAGAACACAGTATCCCAGAACCATTACCTACCGGCTGCAAGGCCTCTCTCTAGCTTTGCTCAGCCTTAGTTTCCTCATCTGAAAAATGGGGATCATACTACTCCTGTCTTTCAGGGTTGCTGTGAGGTTAATGTGTGTAAAATATCACACATAGGACTGATACCCACAAAGTCCAAAACAGTAAACAATACTAAACATAACACCAATAGTATCAACCCTTTGAAACTCAGAGGTTAAAGGAGCTGGTGAAGGTCAAAGAGCTGGGAAGCATCAGGGTCCAGATCTGAATCCAGGTCTGTTGATGCCAGAGCCCAGATCTTTCTATCACTTGCTCCCCGAGTTTTTTCTCAGTGGTATGATGGTTCCTTGAAACACAGTTAATACTCAGCGACTGAGCCCAGGTCACTGGGCATGGGACACAAGTGGCCACCCTCCATACCAAATCAGGTTTATCCAGACGCTCCTCAAGCCTTAAAACCTCTCCCTTTCCAGTACCCACCAGCACGTTTCAGAATCTCAGGGTTAAAAAAGCCTCTACAGCCCTGGCCAGTTTGGCTCAGTGGTTAGAGCATCGGCTGGTGGACTGAAGAGTCCCAGGTTTGGTTACTGCTAAGGGCACATACCTCGGTTGCAGTTTGTCCCCGGCCCCATTTGGGGTCGTGTGGGTGGCAACCACTCGATGTCTCTCTCTCACATCGACGTTTCTCTTTCTCTTCCTCCCTCCCACTCTATCTGAACAAAAAATGGGAAAATGTCCTCCGGTGGAGATTGAAAAAAAAAAAAAGCCTTTATAGACCCTGGAAGTGCACTTTCCTCTAATGCCTGAGTCCCCACTACGAGGGTCAGACAGGAGGCAGTCCCACCGCATGAACACCTTCAGTGGCACAGAACTCGACCCCTCCAAGGCCACCCAGTGTACTGTGGCTCACCCAACTGTGAGTAAGTCCTTCATCATGAAACGGAATCTGTTCTAATTTTCAGTCCATCCTGATTCCTGTCATTTTTGGCCTTCTTGTCTCCAGCCTAGACATCCCCAGTTTCTCTTTGCTCCCCAAAGCAGAAGAAAACCTGCTACCCTAGCCTCGTAAGCAATAAGAAATGCATTCTGTCCCTATGAGCCAGGCAGCCCCTCCAATCTCCTCCACAGCAGCGCCCGAAAGTCAGCCAGGCTAGTGGAGGAGTTGAGCCTGGGAAGATGACAGACTAGAGAAGTGCGGGCCTTCTTGTGCCTCTGCACGGATCATCACCTCTACTGGCCAGAGTATGAGCTGCAGTGCATGGAGCGTGGGAGAAACCGGCACCGAGCGTGTGACAAAAGGAAGCGGAGTAACTGCTGACAGTGGCCAGCCAGGCAAGCTGCCCCAGAGGCCCTTCTGCTCTCGGGTGAAGGGATGCAAAAGTCAAGTTTTTCAGACCACTTAGCCAAGGGCTGCTCAGTCAGTACAGTGAGGCAACAAGAACAGACTGGACAGATTATTATACAGCTTTATAAAGTAAAGGAAATGAAAAAGAAGTTTCTCTGCTTTGTCAACAGTATAAAAAGCTGAAGCACTTCCTCAAGCAAATGAGGTCCTAGCAGTTCCTTTTTCCTCTGGATGCTCAGGAATAGGATCCGAGGTTAGACCATCCCCACTGCCCAGGAGGACAAGTCAGCCATTCTGAATCTCACCTGCTGTCACTGGGGTTTGCAGAGGTGAAGCCCTGTTCCCCTGAGTTCTGGGAGTTCCCGAAGGTCTGACTGTTGCCTCTGTCCACGGATTGGCCTGTGCTTACCCCCAAACTGGTGCCATCCAAAACCGGGACGGCTGTCTGGTCCACAGACACCTGTAGGAGATTTAAAAATTAACACCAAAAATAAAACATCCTTTAAGGCTATTTACATTTGCGGTCCTTTTTTGTTCCTCTCTCACTCCCAATCCTGCTGGTCCCTGGTGGAAGAGCTCAAGGAACAGGGACCACACCAGTCTTGTGTAGGCTGCCTTCTTGCAGAGCCATGGGCATCCAAACCTAAGCTGACAGACCTCATTCATAGTAAATCCCCAGGACCAGAGAAATAGCTCCCGCACCTGACTCAAACTGAAAGATGTACGCTAAAGAAAAACCTCCATAGAAAGTAAAGAAGTCAAAACCATCCCTTATAATGAGACGAGGAGGAGGGAGGGAGGATACAATTAGAGACAAATGGATAAGTACTGCAGCAGACACCCTCTAGTTACCATGGCTCACCCTTTCCCACCCACTCCTCCAACTGCCCAGGTTCAAACCTCAGGACATCTGATAACTCTTCTACAGCTTCACTTTAAAGAGAGGCCTCATCCTATGGCCTCCCCTCTGCCAACTCTCCAAGTCATTCCCACCCCACCACTCTCTCCAGGCCCACACTTTCCCCCACCTCAGAGGGCTGTACCAGCCTCTCCCTGACTCCCCTGACGGGCAGCCTTTCCCTGAAAACCCTACCTGGGATCCACTTCCATTTCCATCTTTCTAAAGGACAGTTCTAATCTCATTGCTCCGTTACTCTGTATCTCTCAAGTCTCCCACGAAAACCAACTCACAGGACACTGGCATCTTGCATATTTAATTCTGTCTATGTGCCCTGCCACCCTGAGACTCCTTTCCCCTAAACCACAGGCTAAAAACCCATCCATCTCAAAGGGTCATTTCAAATGCTGCTCCCTTAGCAAAATGCTTCCTTGATCTCTCCACTGCAGCCCCAAACAGAAGCCATCTTTCTCTCTACTTTGGACCTCTATGACCTTCTCCTGGTAGCTGCCAGATTTTGGTGTCATATCTGTCTCATTCTCTTTACAGGTCCTAGAGGGTAGGACTAGGACCTGCTTACCTGGAAAGGTTGTGCCCATAACAAATACCTGGAGAGACTGGTGAGCTTTCCAGAGCATACCTAGAAAAATGTAAGACTCCTAGTCCCTCTTACATAGAGTACATGAGAACTTCCAAAGTGGAGCCTTATATTATCAGATATTTTGTTAAATGATGTAAAAAGTACTCCTTCGAAGACAGGGTGTCTCAACCTCGACACTCGTCTCTTGGGGACAGGTAAGTCTGTGGTGGGGCTGTCCTGTGTAAGATGTCCTGCAGCATCCCTGGCTTCCACGCACTAGATGCCAGTCCTTAACACTCCTCTTTTCATCTCCCCCCACCCTAGTTGTGACGAATAAAAATGTCTCCAGATACCACCAAGTGTCCCTTGGGAGTCATAATTGCCCTTAATTCTGAAAGAATCATTTTGCTCTCCTGCAGCAAGCTCAATGATTTGGAAAAACAAAACAAAACAACAAAAGCATATATAAACTCTGCTAGCACCATAAATACACAGAGAAATGCAGCAAGAGGCAGCCTGCAATTACCAATCACCATCTGGTTCTAACCAGCAAGATTCAGGAATGGGCACCACACTGTAATTTTAAATTAGAAGCTAATGGAGGACTAGACCCAGCTCTTAGCACAAAAGAGCGGCTCCTCTGTGCTGCCTTTTCAATCCCTGTAATGGGGTTCTCTCTCACCTCCTGCACTCTGAGAACTGCCCCACCAGCCTAAACTGAAGGATGTTACAAAAATTTACATAATTCCTGCAGTTTTATTTTAGTAGAGGTGTGGTTAAGGAGTTATCCTCTTAATCAGAAATTGGCAAACATTTTTTGTAAAGGACTAGACAATAAATATTTTAGGCTTTGTGGGCCATATGGCCTGTGGCAACTACTCAACTCTGCACCGAAAAAGCACAAAAGCAGCCCTGGCTGGTTTGGCTCAGCGGTCAGAGCGGCAGCCTGCGGTCCAGAGACCCAGATTCGGTTCCTGCTAAGCGCATGTACCTTGGCTGCAGTTTGTCCCCGGCCCTGGTTGGTCGTGCGGGTGGCGGCCACTCGTGTCCCTTTCACGTCGATGTTTCTCTCTCTCTCTCTTCCTCTTTCTCCCTCCCGCTCTATCTGAATAAAAAATGGGGAAAAAAAAATGTCCTCAGGTGAGGATTAAAAAAGAAAAAGCACAAAAGCAGCCACAATGTAAACAAGCAGGCATGGCTTTGTTCCAATAAAACTTTATTTATAAAAGCAGCTGGTGAGCCAGATTTACCCATTTCCTGACCCCTGCTCTTTACCACACAATGTTTATCCTTCAAGAGCTGCAAAGAAAAGCATTTTGCTCAGATCTTAATACCAGAAAAAGTTATATTTTTCCTGAGAAATTGATCTGTCTTTTTTTTTTAAGATTTTTTTTTTCTTTATTGATTTTAGAGAGAGAGAAAGGGAGAGGGAAAGGGATAGAAACATTGATGAGAGAGAACATCGACTGGCCACTTCCTGCATGCCCCCCCACTGGGGATCAGGCCCACAACCTGGGCATGTGTCCTGACTGGAAATCGAACCGGCGACCTCTTGGTGCATGGGTCGACACTCAACCACTGAGCCACACCGGCCGGGCTGATCTCTCTTTATCTTATAACCATGTTGAATCTTGCAACAAATGCTTCCCACTTTCCTCTGGCTACCAGGAAGTTCAGGGCAAATTCGGCATGAAGCTCTAGGTACTTTATAAGCCCTCACATTATGTCCTATCATATTTTTTCTTGTCCTGAAATTCCCCCGAATGTGAAAATCTCGTCACATTTTTATTCTGGAGGTTGTGTTTATTTCCATAATCCACCTGAAGTAAGTTTTTGGAATAAGACCAACGGAAAACAAAAAGACAAGGAAGGCTCGTTGGAAAGAATGGTTGCCTTCTCACACAGGGGCCTGGAAAGAGCCAAGCGGAGGGAGGTGTTTGGTCTAGAATGCATTTCCTCTTAGAACCTTATTCAAAACCTTCCTCAGAGGATTCCATTTAACCTGTGCAGATACTCCTTCTCCCAGGAGGTGGAGTTTCAGCTCCTCCTCCTCTTTTAAGCAGGCTAGATTTAGTGACTTGTTTCAAAAAATCGAGTACAGCAAAGAGAAACACAGTAACTTTCCAGGCAGCCAGCTGGCAAACACGGCATCACTGAGCGATGAAGATTTCTGCCACCAGTGATGCTGTGTGAGCTTTGTAGCCCCTCCATACCCCATGCTACCTATTAAAAAACAAAACAAGGAGATTTTATGTTATGTATATTTTAATACAGAAATAAAGTGCAATTTAATTGTAAGTTTAGAACTCCCTTACTATATATCTGATATGAGTAGGGATAATTTTCTAAAAAAATTATGTATCTTCTTAACAACATACCTGGTGGGTAATATAAATTTTATTCATGTGCAACTCTATTTGTTATTTCCCATTGTGGATACTCATCCAAGTTTGTTCTACTGGTGAATTCTACCATGTGAAGCTGTGTGGGCTATCATAGGATTTACAACACAATTATTTTCTTCTATGATTTTTCTTTTGTTAAATTCTAATCTAAGTCCAAGAGGCTCTCTTGCTATAAAGTAAAAGGTTAAAAAGTCCAATCTGAGTCTGTTTTAAACCAAAAATGCAGTGTGCCCTCCACAGTTAGAGATCAGAGATTCCTGGAGTAGAACACAGAGGTCCTAGCAGGGCTGTGACCCGGGTCAAGCAGCTCACTTGGGAAGAGGTAGGTGCTGACCTCTGAAGACCTGCACAGACAGGTGCAGCACCCTCTGGACCCCTCAGTGTGGTGGGCAGGATGGTACAGGGGTTCCGCCACTCACTAGTTGTATGCATTTTGACTAGGTAACATCTTCAAGCCTCAGTTTCCTCGTTTGGAAAGTGGGGTGATAATACCTGTACCTCACACGCTGTTGTGAAGATCATATTTGCAGAGCCCACACTGCACAGTAGCTAGCAGTATAGGTACTTAATCAGCGTTGGTTTTCTGACTTCTATCAGATAAGAATCCTTTAACCTTTACCTGGAAACCTCCCAAGTCCCATCCTCCTTAGCTTGCCTTCTCTGCATAAACCTTCTCAGCTCTTTCCAATCTCTGTATCCAAGCCAATTTCATATACTTAGGGGTCTTGGGAGCCCAGTTTGTCTTCACCTAGCACCTATCAGAACAGTAATTGCCAATGTTGATTACAGAGCAGGAGGGTCATGAGTCAAGCCTGTTGGTCCTGGATTTAAATCCCAGGCCAATACCATACTGTAAAAAGCACAACTTCTTTCCCCTTCAGTGTCTCCATTTGTAAACTTGCTATAAAGCATCTCCCATAGGTTAACTCATAGTTTATGGTGTGAGGATGAAAAGAGATAATACAATGTGTTTGGTGCATGGTAACTGGAGAATGTTAAGGCTTGGAAGGCCCTTGGAGAGCTGGTCCAAACCCTTTATTTGACAAATGTGTTAAGGGAAGACCAGTGGCCAGACGAGCTGCCCTGGGTCGCACACCATTGGCCTCTGACAAAGCACAAGCTTATTAGTAAATGTCTGCTTGTTTTTCTCCACTTCCTGCTTTTCAGCACACTATTATAAATTTACCCAGTTGCATTAGGATGAAAAAAACAAATGTTCTGTCCTTAAGTAAGCATATTTCATGTTGCTTATATTATATGAAAAAAAAAAAGAACACCTCAAAGGGAAGATGCTGCCACTTGGCAAAGAATCACTGGCAACTATGTGAAAAAGAGAGGCGTGAGACAGGAAACATGTGAATCAACACTGATGTGATCATTTGTTCTCTGACATTAATCTTTTCCATCCCCCTTTGCCATGGCCAAGATCATGGATGGGCATGTACACCTCTGAGACCAAATTCAATGTCAACTGCCCTTGAAACTCAGCTGCAGCCCAATCCCATCTGTTCAGAGCTGAGCAGAGGCTTCTGCTCACAGGACAGGCATGCATGGGCTGCAGAGTTTGACTGACCTGCGGGTAAAAGGCTGCGCGTGTGCTGCGGACAAACTCCACAAAGAAGGCCCCGTCCTGAAGTCAGAGGAGGAGGAAGCAGTGGCAGCAGCAGGTGCAAGAGAGTGAAGGAACGGAATGTGGACCAGTGGTGATCCATCAGGGAAAGGAGATGGGTATGAAAGAAAAAAAATAAAAACAAGGAGGAAAGGAGAGAAACAAGGGTACATGACGAGAATGGGGGGAAAGAGAGAAAGGGAGATCCACCCAGGAAGACAATATCCAAATGCAAAGCATGAGCAGGAACTCAAACCTTCTTGGGCAGAATATCCCAGCAAGTGGGAGCAAGCTCCTGGGGTAGAAGGTAGGTCCAAGCTCCCTCAGAGCCTGGCTTGGATGCTTACATTCACCCACATAGCTCTGAACTTCCTTCAGACCTATGCCAAGAGGCAAGGAAAAGGCCACAGAGTGGCTTGGAGGGGGTGGCAGGGAAAATGCTTCAGTGGATACTTCCTGGCCTCCACCTGCTGGAGGTTTTCAATTCTGTCTGTCCCTAAACATGACAGTCAGTTGGGAGAAGAAGATTCAATGCAGGAAAAGTTCCTGCTTAATTTTCTGAGCAAACAGGGAATACAGAAGCAGCAATACCTTCTCCACAGGTTGTATAACATAATGTCAGATGCATATGCATTCATGGGGAGCTTCCTGAAGCTGTCTTCCTCTCCTCAACCTATTCTTCTGGGGTTCAAGTTGTCATGTATGTGAAACAAAACTGACATAGAGGACTTTTCCAAAGACCCCTCCATCTTTCTTAAGGCCAAGAAGGTCTCTCTTGTCCCGTCAAAATGTTTTTGTTTTTTATGCATTATCACTGAAATTCAGAAATGGCACTTGATAAATCTGAAGGTCTCTGCTTTCCTACAACTTTTCTTCAATTCTGTAAGTAGAATCACTGAACTCTTTGGCTGTCAATTTGATCAATACCACTGTCATTTTCCACAAACCTCTAGAAACTCAAGTAACAAACCATGAAAACATGTGGCTGTGGAGATGCAAACTCAGGTACCCTTCTATGCATCCCACACAGAGGTTGACTGAAGACACTGTCAAGCATTTCTTAGAATGTCTGCCAGGGTTCACTTTGGCCATCGCATCACACCTTTGCTGCTCCTTGACTACGTGAGAATCTACATCCGGCATGACTGATGGCCATCCACCTGCATTTTAGTGCTCACTTGGAAGATTAGGAGGGTGTTCTAAATAGCAATCGAATAGTTGGTTGTTGGCACATTTTAATCTGGATGCTTGTGGCTCTATAATATCTCTACTTTCCAGTCCTGTCCCTGGCACTGTTTCTAATCCTCAAAGATGGCAATGAACAAAGGTCAAAGCCAGGGTACTTATGGGTTCTCATTATTCCATCTGGGTCCCTTCTCTGCCAGAACATACAGAAGCAGAGGTGCTAATCCTCTTCCTTGACCAACAGATTATTCCTTATACACAGACTAACCTTAGAATCTGGCCAGTGCCGGGTCAGCAAACCACAGCTGCTAGCCAAATCCATCCACTGGTTTATTATAGCCTGTGAGCTAAGAGTGAATTTTAAATGGCTATGGAAGTACCTACACAAAAGCCTTGATCTTGCCTCTTGGCTCACAAAGCCTGTATTTATCAAGGTTTGCCAATCCCTGATCTATATAAACTGCCTACAGCCTCCATTATACTTTTCCTCAGATTTTAATCCCTCCATCCTTGTAGTCTAATTCTAGTAGTTAATCCTAAAAAAGATAATCAGAGATGTGATCAAATAATTATCTGCAAAGATGTTATTTGCAGTATTATTGATCACTGTAATACATTACAGAATTATAAAAATTTATGGAAGAATTATCAAAAGTTGTTTTTAAAAATCAGACACCATCTACATTTTGAACAATAAAAAAATAAGTTATAAATGAAGGTCCATCCGTATGATGAAATGTAATTATTATTTTTTTATATAATTATTTTTTAAAATTATTTTTTTGAAAAATATTTAATGATATGGGAAAATTTTCATGATGTGGAAGTAAAGTAAATAAACACATAGGTGATAATATACAATTTGACCATGATTTTGAAAAAAAATATATCCATTAAATCTCCTTCATTTCTTATTAAAAGAGATCAGATAATAGACACGATCAGCTCACCTACCACACATCAGAATGATCTCAGATTCTGAATTTCCCAGAAGGAGTTGAGAGAGAGCGAAGGCTATTGGTCTTAAAAGATATAAAAGAGTTTTCAGTTTCTCTACTGTACCTCCTATTCTATATAGAGGCCCAAAGCCTCAGGTTTGGTTTTGTTTCTATCAGGGGTCTAAGTAAACTGTTGGAAATTTCATTATCACAGAGTGAGCTCTCTGATCCTGAACTTTTGCATGCAGGTAATTTAAAAAAAATAAAAGTGAGCTCTCATGGAACACGCTTCAGTAGCTTTCTACCTACCCTCTGGGAGAGCCAAAGATATGGCTAAAGGAAAACCAGCGGGCTAATTTCAAAGCTCAAGTCAGATCCTGGACCTTGACCAATATTGTTTAGCTGGATTGTTTTATATCTGCAGTTATCTAGCAGTTAGCTTCCTTATAATTGTAAACAGGAAAGTTCACAAAAATATTAATGCTTAAAAGGGCTCAGGGTAGAATTCATCCAAATCCTCAGCACATTCAGTCCTGGACTCTGCCCCGCACATCAGGTCTCCAAGAGCATGTTCCCTGTTGGAATGGCCTCCTTTACCTTTCGTGGGCTGTCCACGTAGGTGGGAGTCATGGCAACGCCGCTGCTCTCGGCTGGCTGGGCAGAGCTCTTGCCACCATGCACAGCTGCCTGCTGTTCTCCCAGACACCTGAAGGGAGGAAAAACACATGCCTGTGGCTTGCTCAGAGCCCCCTGATGAAGAACCCACGTTAGCCAAGACAACATGTAGACAGCTCTGTTGCTGTCATCTTTGAAACACACAATCTTGCTTTGTTTCTCCTTTGGGCATTACACGATACCCTTCATTTCATTCGCGGTCCTGAACAATCACCAGCCCTCTACAGCAAATCAGAAAATGGCCCAATTTAAAAAGCATCTTGAGCCAGGCTGGTGTGGCTCAGTGGATTGAACATTGTCTCATGGACCGAGAGGTCCTGGTTCAATGCCCAGGTTGTGGGCTCAATCCCCACCCAGTATGGGGCATGCAGGAGGCAGCCAATTGATGTTTCTCTCTCTCTCTCCTTCTCCCTTCCTCCCTCTCTGAAGTCAATAAAGAAAAAATTAAAAAACAAAACATTTTCATTGATTTATTAGAAAGAAACATTGATGAGAGAGAACATCGATTGGCCGCTTCCTGCATTCCCCACTCTGGGGATTTGGCCCACAACCTGGGCATGTGCCCTGACCAGGAATTAAAGAGGCAACCTCTTGGTGCATGGGTCAATGCTCAACCACTGAGCCACACTGGCCGGGCTTAAATAAAAAAAAAATGTATTAGTGTACATAATTTTTTAAAAAAATTTTAATAAAATAAAAATAAAAAGCATCTTGCCCTGGCCCATTTTTCTCAGTGGTTAGAGCATCAGCCCACAGACCAATGAGTCGTGGGTTCAGTTCTGGTCAAGGGTACATACCTCAGTTGCAGTTCACCCCAGCCCTGGTCAGGTCATGCGGGAGGCAGTCGATGTGGCTCTATCGCATCAATGTTTTTCTCTGTCTTTCTCTCTCCCTCCCTCCCACTCTATCTGATAATAAGTAGAAAAATATCTCAGGTGAGGAATACATAAATAAATAAAATAAAAAGCATCTTGGCAGCATCTGGTGCATGCCTATTATTCTGAAAAGACAAGTAACACAGTTTGAGTGACTCCATCCATAAATACCTTTTTTTTCTTAATCCTCACCAGAGGATATTTTTCTATTTATCTTTAGATAGCATGGGAGGGAGAGAGTGGGAGAGAGAGAAACATTGACATAAGAGGGACACACTGACCAGCTGCCTCCCTCGTGACCCTGACCAGGGCCAGGGACGAATTGCAATCCAGGTATGTGCCCTTGACTGAAACTGAACCCATGACTCATTGGTCCACAGGTCAATGTTCTAACCACTGAGTAAAACCAGCCAGGGCCATCTTTTTTTTTAGAGAATAATTTATTGATGTTTAGAGAGGAAGAGAGAAAAGAGAAACATCAATGTGAGAGTATAATATGGATCAGATGCCTCCTGCACAACCTCCACAACCCAGGCATGTGCCCTGACTGGAAACAACTGGCAACCTTTCAGTGCATGGGACAATGCCCAACTACTGAGCCACACCAGCCAGGGCAATACCATCTTTTTAATCATCTGGGAAAGACTTTTTCTCAGTTTTTAGTATACCAACAGAAGCATATTCTGAAAATTGGGGCTGCACTGATATGTGGCATAAACTAAACAGGGGAAGTGTTGACTCTATACATTTTGAAGGCTTATATGTTAATATTTCAAATATACATATTTTTATCCCTCCCTGACAAAGAAAACCACAAAGATCTAACGGACATTATCTCATAACACAAGACAACAATGGTTTTCTTATGATATCTCATCCCATCCTTGTTCTGATGTGCATAAATGCACACTCTCATGTTTATTTTCCTAATTTTTTTCTATACTAAAATTAATTATGAACTATTATCATTTAAATACTCCCCCAAATTAGACTGTTGTACTATATCACTGAATTTTGATTTGGTAATTTTCAGAAGGCTCACATTATAGTCTTAAATGCTCCATTATGATTTTAACATATACTTCTTGTGGTGGACACAGCCAGGCGCCACCCAGATCCCTCTGCAGCAGCCTTGTTGCCACAGTAGCTAGGCCTGTTCTCCAGGTGGCTCTGCTGTTAGCCCCTTCAGGGACTGTAGCCCCATCTTCGGAGCAGCCTCTGCTAAGTTCTCACCCCTCCCCGGGCTGCCCACAGACAAGGAGTGATCAGTGGGGAGTGGCAAGGCCTGGCCATGTTGGTCCCACCTGGTCATCTGAAGGCTGGTCCAGCTCCAGAACTCAGTGAGGTGGCCTGAGGCTGTGAGTGGGTTTTCATGACATCTCAGCTTCTCCTTCTGTCCACTCCTGCTTCTTCCCTACCCTCCCACAGGTGCTGAGCCCATGACTTTCCTTAATAAACATCCTACATGTTCAAGTCTGTCTCTGTCTGCTTCCCCAGGAACCCAATCTGTGACATTTCTCTAGTCTTAAATTCTGACATTTGTATTAGGGCGAAGTAATGTCATTTGAGAGATTAAACATCGGTTGCCACAGTGCCTGTTATACTCTCTTTTTTAAATTTGTTATAAAAAAGTTGCAAACATACAAAAGTAAAGAGGATAATATAATCAAACCCTAACTGCCCAGACCCCAAAATTATTTAGAGCCAATCTTGTTTTGTCTCTACCTCTCTACCTTAGTTATTTTGAGGCAAAATTCATGCATGATATTATTTCACCCATAAACACTTCAGGATGTACTGTATCTCTAAAATAGAACATATTTAAAGAAAAACAGCCAATTTCATCACCATGCTCACATTTTTTTTAAGGTTTCTAATATCAAAAATTTCTCTAATCATCTCCAAAAATTTCTTTGTAGTTTGTTTGTTCAAAACAGGATTCAACTAAGGCCCCTACATTGTAATACGCTGTGTCTCTTAAGTCTCTTTTAAGCTATAAACTCTTTTTTCTCCTTATCCCTGCAATTTATTTGTTGAAGAAAGAAGCTCCTTTGTCCTATAAATTTACACAATCTAGATAAGCTGATTATATCCCTTCATTGCTTATCATGTTCCTCTGTGCTCTGCACTTCCTGAGGACTGGAAATTATAATGAAAGGTTTGAGCATATTTATATTCAATCGGGACAAGAATTCTTCCTAAGTGTGTTGTGTATTTCTGTCTGGAGGCCCATAGTGTCTGGCAGTCCCTCTCTGGTGATGTTAGTTGCCACTCATAATCTCTGTTAGATCTACTAGTTCATTAGAGACCACACATGGTAATATTCTATCACCCTTCTGTACCTGTTAGCTGGCATACTGAAAAAAGAAAAACTTCCCCACACCAATTATTCAGTTACTCTGAGGTGTAATTCATATAGGAAAAGCAGAATAAATGCTTGATTCCTTTCCTTGTCCACTTACACCACTGGCTGCCTCCTCCCCCGGCCCCATCACTGTGTGGTTTCCTCTGAGCCCCATGCACAATCGCATGCTGTGACATTCTGTTGCATACCCCGAAGGCTGAGTGGGCAGGCCATGGCTGGGATTCCAGTGGCAGGAAGTCTTGGTTACCCCCAGATGTGTCACCTGATGAACACATCAATCCTCATTTACTGAGATGCCTTCTGACCCGTGGACTAGGAATCAGGGATTCAGAGACCCTGGCCTTGCCCTTGGAGGCTCCTTGTCTAATGGCTCAGGGGAGGGGACTGCCACAAAATGACCAGTTATACATATTGTACACATACATATGTGAGAACACAGATAAGAGCACACTACCTTCTGCTGGGAGGGGGTCACCAGAGGCAGTAACCTCTGCCATGAGGGGGTCTCTCTGCTCTGACTCAGCTGTCATCGGGTCATCCTCATCTAAAGGAGCAGACTGCTCACGGCCAAGCTGTTAATTGGCACAAGGCCAGCCTCTCCCACTATCTTCTGGGAGAGGCCAACTGAATGTATATGCTACAGAGAAAGACCAGAAGGGAAGTAGAAGAAATAAACACAGTTATGCTAGGACGGCAGGACTACAGGTGACATCTTAAAAATCCTTTTTTCAGTTTTTCATAATAAATAAAATTGGATAGGTTGGCACAGAATGAAAAAAAAGCACACAAATAAAGAATGCTGGGTGAGCAAACACTATACAAAGGTCTGCTCCCTCTGCTCTACCTCCAGCACTGAGAACACACACCACGTCACCCAGGATAGACACCTGGGGCAAGGAGTATATCTCTCTGCCCTGCCTCTTGCTCTGAGGTTAGCTGTGAGTCTGCCCTCACACAGGGACACTACCATCCAAGCTGTCCTTCTTCTTCCAGGCTTAGCAGAAACAGGCTCCTTGGAGCATACTAAATGATGACTCACTGACAAATTAAAATAAGATTCCCCCACCCCCAGCTTCACACTCTTCCCAGCAACATATGTTCCTTGTTCTTTTTTCCAGCAGGAAAGGCCTGTGATTAGTTATAGGGAGATCCTGCCAGGCAGAGTTCTGGGGTCTTTCTTTGGGCACATAAAGATATTTTCTGAAGAGGACCCAGTGTCCCCAGTGATGGGTCCAGTCTACCTCAAATCTCTTCCCCTCATTTGTCCCCCAGTCACCCTGCTATGTTCTTCACTTCTCCATTGGGATCCCTTTCTTTCCATGTCATCATCACCCTCCATCCAGCCTCTGGAGCCTCTTACCTGGACTAGTGAGAGCCTACCAATGGGTCTCTGCCTCCTGGGTCCACCCACTGGGCCTTCCTATACATGGGACTCATCTCTGAAAACACCATTACTGGCAATGACACCGAATGGATATTTATTTCATGATGTTAAGGAATTGCTGTAACTTTTTAGGTAAATAATGGTATTACAGTTTTTTTAAAGCATACTTATCTTTCAGAGATACATATTGAAATGGTACAGATGAAGGGATATGATGTTTGGGATTTAATAAGAAATAAAAAAGGAAGATGAGAGCAAGTGGGACATAAATGAAACAAGATTGATTTTGAGATGATAATCATTGAAGAACGGGTGATGGGTAAACAGGGATTTATTATACTAGTCTGTCTACTTTTTAATCTGAAATTTTCCATTAAAAAAAAAAAAACTTCTACAGGATCGCTCTTGCTATGAGAATGTGTAAGGACAGCCTGAATCCAGCTTCCCACACAGTCTTTGTAATCGCATCTCCCACTATGCCTCATACTCCACAGAACTTTCTGAAAGTGGACCGTACTCAGGCTCCTGCTGGGCACAACACAGACGCTCAGAGCAGACAGACATGGTCTAGTCTCCTCCAACATCTCACTCAGGGACCCTCCACAGCCCTTTCTCCATCATTCACGTCTACTGTCCACCTACTACATGCCAGGCACAGCACACAGCCTCTGCCCTCACTGCACAAACAAGTTGGGGGAAGAAGAGTAAACCAGGTGTGGCCATTGAAAGAATACTGATGGACGGAAACCCAGGATGGAGGGAAGCACAGAGGATACCTAATCTGGCTGGGAGAATTAAGGAGGTAGGAAACACTCCCCTGCCCGTGGCAATGTGTTTTCCTCTTCCCCAAGTCCCACTTCCCCTCTATATAAATGCTTCCCTTCCTACAAGGTCAATTTATTATTATTATTTTTTAATCCTCACCCGAGGACATTTTTGCATTTATACTCAGATAGAACAGGAGGAAGAGAGGGAGGAAGAAAGAGAGAGAAACATCGATGTGAGAGAGACACATCAACTGGTTGCCACCCACACGACCCCAACCGGGGCCGGGGACAAACCGCAACCGAGGTACGTGCCCTTAGCGGGAACCAAACCCGGGCCTCTCTGGTCTGTACGCCCACACTCCAACCACTGAGGCAAACCGGCCAGGGCTCTACAAGGCCAATTTAAATCCTCTAGCACTGTCCCTACCCTCCCAAACAAGATGTGGCCTCAGCAGTGTCCTAGGACTGTAGCACTTACTGTTTATAAAGGGACCATATACTCAAATGCATAGAGAAGCTGGCCAGGTGCTGTGACTGAGGGTATAAGACAAGTCCAAGTCCAGAGGGTGCAGGGTTCTTATGGTAAACCAGAGGGCACATGTCCATTCTAAAGTGCCAGCCCATCATGGCTGAGTATGACTATGGACCCAGTGTTAACTGAGCCTCCACTACTTCAAGCAAAACTGGATTTTACATATTATGTATAATATAATTTTGTATTATATTATGTATAATATATTGTTTTATATATTACATAATATAAACATGCATCTTGTTATATATATTAATAATATACTAATATTTTTTCATATTAGAATTCATAAAAAATCCAGATTCTTATATTCTTAAAAAACTTTGGCTTCAGCCTGGCTCGTGTGGCTCAGTGGATTGGGCATCGTCCCATGGACTGAGAGGTCCTGCAGTCATGGCACATGACTGGGACTGGGTTGCGGGATTAATCCCCAGTGGGGAGTGTGCAAGAGGCAACCAATCAATGTTTCTATCTCGCTCTCCCTTCCTCTCTCTCTAAAATAAATCAATAAAAACATATTTAAAAAAAAATTTGGGCCCTGGTCGGTTGCTCAGTGGTTAGAGCATCAGCCTAACCACAGAGACCCAGGTTCGGTTCCCGCTAAGGGCATGTACCTTGGCTGCAGTTTGTCCCTGGCCCTGGTTGGGTCATGCAGGTGGCAGCCACTCGATGTGTCCCTTTCACATCGATGTTTCTCTCTCTCTCTCTTCCTCTCTCTCCCTCCCACTTTATCTGAATAAAAAATGGAAAAATGTCCTCAGGAAAGGATAAAAAGAAAAAAAAGTTTGGCTCCAATATTTAAAAAATATTTTGGTTTTTTTGGGCACAGAAACTACTCTGTAAGGGTGACTACATATCATTATAAATTTGTCTAAACCCACAGAATGTACACCACCAAGAGAGAACAGACTTTGGGTGATTATGTCTCAATGTAGGTTCATCGACTGTAACAAATGTACCACTCTAGTGGGGATGCTGATAAATGGGGGAAGATTATGTATTTGTGCGGACAGGGTGTATATGGGAAATCTCTGTACCTTCCACTGAATTTTGCTTTGAACCTAAAACTGCTCTAAAAAATATTCTACTAACAAAATAAAAACAAACCAAAAAAAGAAAACAATATTTTGTGGGCCAAACCAAATGTATCTATAGTTCAGATTAAGCCCCACACTGTAAGTTCTGGCCTGTTTCATGTTATTCGACATTTACCAGGTATTAACCCAGCCTTATTCTCATGTATGTGTATTTTTGTATGTAATAGGCTCCTTGCAGATAGAAATCATATTTCACCCCAATCACAACAGTGGGGCACTGAGAACCCTCAGGATCTGTGGGATGGGGACAAGTCTCTCTTCAACCAGGTACTTACTTCTGGCTGGCCTCCATCTCCAACAGGGCAGACAGAGCTGAGGTTCCCTTCTTCCCAACTGGGGGACCAGTTGATTCCAGGGAGTGCGTGGAAATGGGTCCAGTCATCTGTAAGCCTTTCATGGTTGTCCCTTTCTAAAGCAAAGAAAAGAAGACAAGACCATGAGCCCGAGTGGGTCCCTCAGTGGACGCCACTCATGCCCAACACACGCTGCTACATCTGTTATGTCTCAGGCTCTGGGAGTCCTGTTAACTGAGGAACACAGGTTCTCGGAATTCAGTAAATGCCAGAAAATGTCTTTCGATTGAATGAAAGATCCCAAATGCCCGGGGATTTGTTGTTGTTTTGTTGTTGTTAATCCTCACCGAGGATATTTTTCCACTGATTTTTAGAGAGAGTGAAAGGGAAGAAGAGATAGGGATAGGGAGAGGGAGAGAGCGATACAGAAACATTGATATGAGAGAGACACATCAATTGGTTGCCTCCCACACATGTCCTGGCTGGGCCGAGGATTGAACCTGCAACCAACCCAGGTATGGGCCCTTGACTGGGAATCAAACCCATAACCCTTCAGTGAGTGGGCTGATGTTCTAACCACTGAACCACACAGGCCAGGGCTCCCAAGTGCCTGCCTCTTTGAGGTGTTTTACACATATCATCTCATGTTACCCTCATCATAACTCTAGAAAGTAAATAACATCATACCTAATTTACAGCAGAAGAAATTGAGTCTCAGAGAAGTTAAACATCTTATCCCAAATCCCAGTTACCTGACTTCAAAACTAAGTTTTTTTCCCACTATACAAGCTCTCCCAGAAATGATGCCGTGTATATAAGGCAGCTGAGTAGGTTAAAGAACAATGGACTTGAGGTTAAAAACAAAAAAATAAAACATGGCCAATGATGGAGCACTACTCAGCAATGAAAAGAAATGAATTCAGCCCTGGCCCATGTGGTACAGTGGTTAGCACGACTGATATATGTGACAACTTAAATGAATCCCAGAAGCATGACACGGAGTGAAAGAAGGCAGCCATAAAAGGTTACATACTGTATGATTCCATTTACATGACACCTAGAAAAGACAAAAGTATAGTGATGGAGAACAGACCAGCGGCTGCCAGGAATTAGAGATGACAGAAGAGTGTGGCTATAAAGGGTGGCATGAGGGAGATTTTTTTGAGTGATGGAAACTATTCCAAATCCTAATTGTGGTGATGGTTACATGAATCTCTACATTTATGAAATTCACACACACACACACACACACACACACACACACACAAAGCTGGGCATCCTTAGAAATACCAGTGTACTCATTAGGTAGCATGGCCCTCAGTGTACTCATTAGGTAGCATGTGGTTGAATGAATGAATGCCCAAGGGTACTGGGAACTCTAAAAGTGATGTAAATGATATTGCTGATATTGCTGCTATTACTTTCTTAAACAAATTTCTTTTCTTTTTTTTTATCCTCACCCGAGGACATTTTTGCATTTATCCTCAGATAGAGTAGGAGGAAGAGAGGCAGGAAGAAAGAGAGAGAAACATCAATGTGAGAGAAACACATCAACTGGTTGCCACCCACACAACCCCAACAGGGGCCAGGGACGAACTGCAAACAAGGTATGTGCCCCTAGCAGGAACTGAACCCCGGACTCTCTGGTCTGTGGGCCGATGCTCTAACCACTGAGAAAACCAGCCAGGACTTAAGCAAATTTCTAATCAGTAGTCCAGCACCACATCACATAAGCAGCTGCATTCAACACTGGGTCCCACTTGGGGAGTACATGAGGGAGCTGTGTCCTCAGGTTACCCTGTGCCACAGAATACTACCCAGTGGTTGTCTGTACCCAATCCCCCCTCCTCACCCTGCACTGGAGATGAACACACTGTTTTGGGGTTTTTTGTTTTTTTGTTAATTCTCACCCAAGGATATTTTTCCATTGATTTTTAGATAGAATGGAAGGGAGGAAGTGGGGAGAGATGACAGGAGAGGGAGAAAGAGAAACATCAATGTGAGAGAGATACATGGACTGGTTGCCTCCCACACAACCCCAACCAGGGCTGGGGATCAAATCTGCAACCCTTGACCAGGAATCAAACCCAAGATCCAAAGGCCAATGCTCTAACTGCTGAGCCAAACCGGCTGGGGCAGAACACACTGTTTTAGATTTAAGATAAATGCTGGACAGTTGTAGAGTAAATAAACCAGCAAGTGAGAGGTCCCCGAGATAGGAGGAGATAGCTCCTGAATCCCAGACCAAGCACAGTCCCCAAGGAGCCCCCAGAACCCTCACCCGCATCATGCGATCTGAGCGATGGCGCCTTCGGATCCGGTTCAAGCCCTCCACAAAGCGGATAAAGCCATCCAGGAGCTGCCACTCCTCCTCGTCCGCCCGGGGCCTGTCCCCATAGATGTCGCAGTGGGCTTCCCCCTCCGTGATGCGCTTGGTGGCAGTGACACAGGCTGGCAGCAGCAGGAATCGAGTCCTCCAGAACTTCAGAGACTCAATCAAGCTGTGGAGGACCAAAGGAAGAAAAGGGGTGGTGGTGAGAAAAAAGCAGATAGTGAAAGCACTCCCGTGAACATACCACCTCCACCCTCTCTCTGAAATTGGTGTGAGGGTCCCATTCCCCATGATGTGCCACAATTCAGGGCTTCACTTAATACACAAGCTCATTGTATGTCAACGATAATTAAAAGATAAGTTAAAAACATAAAAACAAAAGCATAAGCTCAAAAAGAAGAACTCAAAGACTGCATTTACTTTATATCCCAGAGATGCCAGAATGCTTCTGTGCACCAGCCCAGTGAGTTGTGGCTTTTTAATCATCACAATCATAAATCACACACACAAATTAAAAACAAGACACCACAAAGTAATCAGGAAAATGTTAAGAACATCATCTGCACTGACATTCCAACAAAGAGCACATCACCACCAAGGGTTTTGGCCGTTGGTTTTTATGTGGTGACATGTACACAGCAAAGATGACCACTTCGCTGGTCCTTAAGAGCACATTTCAACGCATTCCGCACATTCACACTGTTGTGCAACGTCCACCCCCATCCATCTCAGCACTGTGTTTTTAACCCAATGCAGAATCGCTTTTGTTCTTCCATGTTTTTCTAAAGTAGACATCATTTTGTAATCAGAAAAAAAGGCCAGAAGTGTTAAAATATGGATACACTCAAAGCAGCCAGAATGGAAAGCCAAAGCACGCTCTCTGACCTGAAGTCCTCAGAGCCAGCGGAACAGATGTACTGATCTAAGTAATTCCACTTGTACTCCTCCAGCCGTTCGTGGGAGAATTCCACCCAACAGGACACAAATTCTGAGTCGGAGTGGGAAGGGCAGAGGCTGTAGGTGTAGTGGATCTGGGCAGATTCATAAGGGTACCTGAAAAAAAAAGGGCATGTCCGAAAGTCCAAAAGTGAATCTTCCCCGATTCCTCTCAGCCTTTTCAGTCTCAAAACACTTAGCACCATCCTTGGTATTCAACCCTTCACCATAGTAGCCAACTCATCCCCAGGGACTGGTAACAGAGATTTCTCAGATCTTAACTTTCTCATTCTTCTCTCCTCACATTCTTTTTTTTTTTTTTTTTTTTTGTTTTAGGTAGAGTGGGAGGGAGAGAGAGGAACAGAGAGAGAGAGAGAAACATCGATGTGCAAGGAACACATCGAGTGGCTGCCACCCGCACAACCGACCAGGGCCGGGGACAAACTGCAACCGAGGTACGCGCCCTTAGCGGGAACCGAACCCGGGTCTCTCAGGACCGCAGGCCGACGCTCTAACCGCTGAACCAAACCGGCCAGGGCTCTCCTCACATTCTTTATTTTTACTTGGCTTGTTAAGAATCAGGCTAAACATTATAAACTGAATCAAATCTCTTTTGGAAGTATGGGAGCTTTACCCCTAAAATAACCCTAGAAAACAAAACAGTAACTCCTGAAGAAAAAGCAATCACTCAACCTCCTCAGTTTGAATCATGTGTGATACACTTAATTCAGTATGTGGACAGTATGTGGACACAATTCAGAACAGTAGCTGAAAACCTTAAATATCCAAGGACTCACTTGGGAAGGTATCGTGTCACTGTGATCATCTTATCCTTCAGTGTCACCTTGTGGAAAGTTCTGCCCATACTCAGCCAGTATTGGTCTTCCTCCTCAGGGCGGTTTCGGGACACAAGGCCTAACAGAAAAAAAATCATTTCCTCCATTTGGTGAAAGGTCATTCTGTTAACAAGTAATGGCTCCTCTTCCATATAGTTTCAGAAAAGGAGAAACAAAAGAGGCAACATTTTCCTTTGAGGAGAAGGTTTATAGAAAAGCATTATCCTTGATTAAAACAAAGAAAGTCCTGAAATTGGCAGATTTTTCTGTTGCTGAACCAACCAGCAGCAGATCAGAGCCTGGGGCTGTTGAACAGCCTGTTCTGGAAAGTTCTTGAGATGTTAATAGGCTGAGGGATGATTGGGAGAAAATGGAACTCCACTCCACTCAAGCACAACTTGCCACCCTGGCATTTGAGGTCCTCACCCCAGGGTGGAGCCATGTTTACTGGCCTTAGCTCCCACAACTCCCACACTGCTATATCATATTCAGTCTTTTTTTTTTTTTATCCCCACCCGAGGACATTTTCCCACTTTATGTTCAGATAGAGTGGGAAGGAGAGAGAGAGAGAGAAACGTCATGTGAAAGGGACACATCGAGTGGTTGCCACCCACACGACCCCAACCAGGGCTGGGGACAAACTGCAACCAAGGCACGTGCCCTTAGCGGGAACCGAACCCGGGTCTCTCTAGACCACAGGCCAACGCTCCAACCACTGAGCCAAACCGGCCAGGGCTCATATTCAGTCTTAAAGGACCACTTATTTATTTGCTGCAATTTCTTTCTCCAGATATTTGTTCCTGGTGCTTCCTCTTCCTTCTCTTCCTGGGTGGACCACCATCAAAGTCCTGTGGATCATTTGAGGTCACCATCAAATGCCACTTCCTCGAAAACAGTGGTTCTCAACCTGTGGGTTGCGACCCCTTTGGGGGTCGAATGACCCTTTCACAGGGGTCGCCTAAGACCATTGGAAAACCCATATTTCTGATGGTCTTAGGAACCGAGACACGGCTCCTCTTTCCGTCTCCAGGCGGGCCCGCCCACATGCAGATACGCCCACATACAACATACAACATGAGGAACTGTAGTAAATGGTTGGGACATTAGGAAGGTTGAGAACCACTGCTTTAAAAGCTCTCAGACCCAGCAGCAGTCATACTACATACCCTGTATGTAGCTCCTTATGTGTGTGTCTCACACCCTCACAGACTAAAAGTTCCAGGAGGCCAGGACACAAATCTTGCTCACCGTCATATTTTCTGTGGCACCTGATAAAGTGCCATGCCCACAGTAGGCACTCAAAAGCATTAATTGAGCCCTTGCTTGTTCGGCTCAGCAGTTAGAGCATCGACCAAAGAGTCTCAGGTTCAATTTCGGTCAAGGGCACATTACCTGGACTGGTTGCAAGTTCCATCGAGCCCTGGCCCTGGTCAAGTTGTGCAGGAGGCAACCAGTCAATGTGTCTCTCTCACATCGATGTTTCTCTCTCTCTCCCTCCTTTCCTCTATCCCATACTATCTAAAAAAAAAAAAAAAAAAATGGAAAAAATATCCTTGGGTGAGGATTAAAAAGAAAGGATTAGCTCTGGCCGGTTTGGCTCAGCAGTTAGAGCATCAGCCTGCGGTCCCAAGAGACCCGGGTTCGGTTCCCACTAAGGGCATGTACCTTGGTTGTAGTTTGTCCCCGGCCCTGGTCGGTCGTGCGGGTGGTAGCCACTCGATGTGTCCCTTTCACATTGATATTTCTCTCTCTCTCTCTCTCTCTCTTCCTCTCTCTCCCTCCCACTCTACCTGAACAAAAAATGTCCTCGGGTGAGGATAAAAAAAAAAAAAAGTATTAGTTGAATTGAGTGGAACACTGAAAAGAGGAAAATAATGAAGAATCAAGAAAACTACAAGCTTTCAAGAGAGTAAAAATAGTGCCTAAATAAACAACCAAGCCAAGACAATTCCTATGATCTAAAAGTGAAACAGACCCCTCGCTCAGCCCTGAGAGATAGTCACAGTGGCCAGCAGCATGGGAGTTGTCAGAAGACAGGATAGCAGAGGTTGAAAGGATCTTCACTGTGAATAAAGAAATTTCTCACGTAATGTTTAGGGAGCAGCAGACAGGTTGCATATAAAAGAGACGAGGCTTTGATTCGGAGGACCTGGGTTAAACCCCAGTGCTATCATTTGCCTGCTGTGTGATCTTGGGTACCAAATCTCTCTAAGTCTCGCTTTCTGCAACTAGAAAGTGAGCTTGTCCCAATGCCGGCATTCTTTCATTCATGCATCAAACACCACATTGGTTGTCAGGAAGACAATGTGATAATGTTCATGACGATCTAGAATGGTACCTATACCCCATTCCTAATTAGGTACACCATACCTATTCCTGTGTTGTTTCTTTAAAATATGTCTTTATTGATGTTTTAGAGAGAGAAGAAAGGAGAGAGATAGAAACATTGATGTAAGAGAGAAACATTAATTGGCTACCTCCTGTATGGCCCCCACTGGAGATCGAGCCTGCCCTGACCGGGAATCAAACTGGGACCTCTCAGTCCATGGGATGATGCTCAATCTACTGAGCCACTCCAGCCAGACCTATTCCTGTTTTTATCCTGCATGACACTTCTCACAATCTGTGATCAAATATACACTTGTGGTTTATGACTTTAATTTCTGTCTCCCCAGTAGACTGTAAACTCCAAGGACAGGACCAATGCTGTTCTGTTCACTACTGGAACAGGGTCCTGCTCACAATCAGTTTTCAATAAATCTTCAATCAATGAGTAGCACAGGTCACTTATAGCGGCTACTTTTCCAGTAATTAAAATAATAATGGTAACATTTCTGTTGCTATAGAAATAAAAGCAATTAAATTTATCAAAGGAGAAAAACAGCCAGAAAGGGTACAATCAGGTGAGCAGCCTCTAGCCAATTAGCCATGACATGAGGCTCATGAATCAGCCAAAACAGAACCAGACACGTGAGGAATTACAGACCACTAATGGACATCCATCAGCTATTCCAGAGAAAAGCAAGTAGGCAGCCTGGATGGGACCATTGATACTAATGGCAAATTCACTCCACTACTCTTGGGATAAAAAAACAACCCTGGTCAGGTTTCTCAGTTGGTGAGACCGTCATCCCATACACTAAAAAATGTTGCAGATTCAATTCTCCGTCAGGTCACATACCTAGGTTGTGGGTTTGAGTCCCTGTCAGGGCACGTACGGGAGGCAAAACAGATGGTCGTTTCTCTCTCACATCATTGTTTCTCTCTCTCCCTTCCTCTTTAAAAAAAAAAATCAATAAAAACTATCCTTGGGTGAGGTTTAAAAAAAACAAAACAAACAAAGTCCTTCACATGGCCCTGCCAGGCCTGGATCTCCTGACATTTCTGGCATCTCTGGCTTACTCCCTATGCCCCACCTCGCCAGCCTGTGTCACAGTGCCTCTTGCTTAAGGACCTTTGCTCATACTAATCCTCTGCCTGGCACTCTCTTCTTACCTAATCCTGCCCTCCATCCCCATTTCTCTTACTAATGACTCCAGCACGTCCTTCACATCTCAGCTCAAACATCACCTTCTCCAGGAAGCCATCCGACCCATCACCTTCTCCAGGAAGCCAGTCCAGGTCCCATATTCAATATTCTCACAGCCATTTGGTTTTCCCCTCACAGTCTTTAACACAGAATGGAATTATATTTCATAGTTTGACTACTGTTATTTTTCCCCTCTGGGTTATATACCCCTCACCAAGCAGGAGATTCAAAAATACTATTGAATAAATGAACGAATGACTGAATTCATATGTTTATCAACCCATACTGTTGTATGCCAGGCACAGTGGTTTCCATTATAGAGGATTTTTTAAAAAAATGAAGTTAGCCCGGCTGGTATGGCTCAGTGGTTGAGCGTCAACCCATGCACCAAGAAGTCACCAGTTCGATTCCCGGCCAGGGCACATGCCCAGGTTGTGGGCCAGATCTCCAGTGGAGGGCATGTAGGAGGTGGCCAATCAATGTTCTCTCTCATCGATGTTTCTATCTCCCTCTCCCTCTCCCTTGCTCTCTCTCTAAATCAATAAAGAAAGAAAAAAAATGAAGTTAAAATAATCCTGGCACTCAGAGAAGTTTCTATTCAGTAGAGTCTAGAATATGAAAAGAAGGCAACAAGTGACAAATATCACAAGGGGTTTTCAAAGAAAACCCAGAGGGAGTCCAAACCTTCATCGTCAACAACGCGACCTGGACCACATGACCACTAAACTCCCTCCAACAAAATCACACTTCCCTAATCCTCTGGCCAGAGTAGGTTTAATGAAGCCAAAGATGGTCTGAGATTTTGAACTGGGTGGTCAGGGGAACAAGGGGGTCTCATATGCTATAAGGAGGAAGCAGAAGATTAACAGCTGCTCACTGATTATTCCAGGAAGTGATCGCTGCTTCTGATTCCAGGCACCGTGCTTAATTTTCTCTGCCTGAATTATTTTAGAAGAGCTCTCCAGAGCCTGGCTCTAACTCAATCAGCGTCACTGAGTCTCTGTCACTTAGCTTGTCACTCCCAGATGACCCACCCTTGCTTCAAGTCACTAAGCTTTAGTGACAAACAAGAGATGAATCCAGAATAAGTAAAAAATAAAATAAACTTCAGGTTTGGGTAACATCTGAGAACCTGCTGTATGTCAGGTACCATATTAGAAACAAATACAAGTTTCTGGGTCTAGAATATTCACAATGTATTTGAACATTTTAGTCATGGCTCAGCTGCCTGCTACTCCAAGGTGTTGCCCAAGCCAGGCTGTAACATTCCTGAACTTGGTCTTCCTTAAGAGGAGAGCTATAGATGAAAGAGAGTTTTAGGATAAATGTGTGCCTAGTGGAGACTTTATTCCTCCTATAAAGTAAAATTTAGAAAGAAAAATTTTGTGTTAAAAAACAATTACCCCTGAAGCTATCTACTCCTTACCATCTTGAGAGTCTACTTGTACAAATTTAGTACAAAAGACAAAATATAAGTTCAAAGAGAAGAACTCACCTCGGCTATAGAGGGGGCTGCTGCTTAGCGGAGGTGGGACGACAGGGTTGGGTTTCTGTGCCTTGGGCTGCACGATGATTTGATAGCCCTGCATGAGACGCTGGCAGATGAACTCTTCAAACACCTGCTGGGCCGTCATCTGCACACCCTCCTCGTCCCTCCTGAAAAACCAATTGATTGTTCACATGAATATGCTTAGCCCAGGCCAGAGTGACACTCAGGGTCCACAGTCCTATCCTCTCCTATGCTTCAAACCCACAAGCCAGACCTGATAACTATTCTATGGTGGTTCAAAAAACTAACAATTTGTGCTCTGGCTGGTGTGGTTCAGTGGTTAGAGCACTGGCCCACGCACCAAAGGGTTGCAGGTTTGATTCCTGGTCAAGGGCATGTACCTGGGCTGAAGGTTCAATCCCCAGCCCTGGAAGGGACACGTGCATGTCTCTCTCATATCAATGTTTCTCTCTGTCTGTCTGCCTGTCTGTCTCCCTCTATCCCTTCCACTCTCTCTAAAAATCAATGAAAAAAAAAATATCCTCAGGTGAGCATAAACAACAACAAAAAAAACTAACAATCTATAAACCAGTTTTGGGAGAAATGATCAGTTCAAGAGGGAAAAAGGCAGGTGCCCCACCGGTGTAGCTCAGTGTTTGAGCATTGACCTATGCACCAGGAGATCCCCGGTTTGATTCCTAGTTAGGGCATTGTTAACCGAATCCCCAGTAGGGGGCATACAGGAGACAGCCAATCAACGTTCTCTCTCATCGATGTTTCTCTCTCTCTCTCCCTCTCCTTTCCTCTCTCTTTAAAATCCATAAAGGAAAAAAAAAACAATAGAAGGCAGGTAATTTGATGCCCAAATGAGTAATCTTAGAAAAGAAGATCAGAACAACTATCATAGAAAACATGAGAAAGGATCAATGAAGAGAAATGGTTAAAGGAGGCGGGTCACAAGAACTCCAGAGAAAAATGAACAGTTCTTGCATCATAAAATTTCCTAAATACAAGAGGAAATGGGTTTGAAAATTCAGTGTTTTGACACACACCTGGCCATACCTGTACTCCCTGCAAACACCTTTCCTCTGACACCAACCTGTCCATGTCTGCTTCCGGAAGGAGGTCATAACAGCCCTCTGTGTAGTCGTTCTGCAGGCTCTGGCGGTCAGGGAAGTAGTCAGTGGTGAGGGGGAGGCACGCCGGAGTAGTGAGAGACTTCCAGTCCACTCCAACTGTGCAACAGAAGCCTGGCACTACAGGGGGAGCAGACAGTGTCAGAACTGCCTCGTGTAAATAGGGGGATAGGTATGTGTGGTCACCACGGCAAGCGTGGACAGTGGTGAGTAGGGGGAGGAGAAGAAGGGGAGGGTGGGGAAAAAAGTTCATGATGAAAGGTGATAAAATTTCCAGACATGGGGATGGGGAGGGAGAAAGAGAAAGAGAGAAACAGTTTGTTAGACAATGCAATGCGCGTGCTCATTCAATCCCATCATGCAAATGGGATTCAAAGCTGAAACTTCACATTTTCTGCTGATCGTGAGCTATAAGCTGCAATGCCAAGGAGGTTACTGCAGGGCAGGCAGAGTTACACATCGAAGCAAATCACATTCCAAGAGCAGAAGAGAGCTCAAGCTGGAGCCTCTCCTGAGGACTGCAGAATGGCTGGGTGGAGAAAGGAGGAGAGCTCAGCTGGGTTTTGGAGCGAACAGCACACGGTAGCAGAATTTAGGAATACTTTCAGAATTGCAAAAATAAGTCACAGATCTAAAAGTGTAAGAGGAGAAATCAAGGATGTTTGGGAAAGTTATAAGGCCAAAACTTTAAGAGACCGAGTTTAACAATCTAGAAAGGAAAGTTTCGATCGGTAGAGGGGCCTGACCACATGGGTCTGCCCACAATTGCCTGCTCTTTGGTTAAAGCAGGATTTCTCCTCCTCAGCACTACTGAGATTTTGGACTGAATAACTAACTCTGTGTTGGCAGGGTGGGGGGTGGGGGCGCTTTTCTGTGCATTGTAGGATGTGGAGCAGCATCCACTGATGCTACTCACTAGATGCCAATGGCATCTCCTGATTGTGAAAATAAAAAATGTCCACAGACATTGCCATATGTCCCTGGGGGACAAAAGAATCCCTAGTTGAGAATCACTGAGTTAAAGAAATAAGGCAGTTCTTTCTTTAAGTTATTTAAGTAAAGACTATTTTCCAAGTCTCTATACAAGGGAGCAATATGAAACAGAAACACTCCACATCTCTGCCTCTGAGTCCCAGGTGAGATCCTCATACACTTTATCTTTGCACAGTGCTATGTGGCTTTCAGTGTGGTTACCTCCGTTATCTCATCCACTCTCACACTGCCTCCTCAGAAGGTGTGGTGTTTTCATCAATCCCTTTAAAGAGTTGGCCAAGCCAAACCTCCTAGAGGTTATAGGACCAGAACCCTCTCTGTTCAGGAATCTTTCCACCCTACAGACACACACTAACCAGTGCAACCAAGTCCCACTGAACCCAGAGTTAAAGGACAAGAAGAAGACTAGTGTGCTCCGTCACTGCAGGAAATATGCCCCATACAGCACCACTGCCTTGTGGAAGATGATTTCACCTGCAACAGGCCTACCTCCATGGTCTACACAGGTCTTGGGGTCATTTTTAGTTGTCTGCTTGAATTTTATTTTATTGTGGTAAGAACACTTAACCTGAGAGCTACCCTCTTAACAATTTTTTAAGTGTATAATACAGTATTATTAATGTAGGCACAACGTTGTACAGCAGATGTCCAGAACATAATAATCTTGCATAACTGAAACTTCATGTCCATTGATTAGCAACACTCCACTTCCACTTCCTCCCTAAGTGCCTGGCAACCACCATTCCACTCTTCGATTCTACGAGTCTGACTGCACAAGTCTTGTTAACTCATTAACACTTTAAGAATTCAAAACATAGCCCTGGCTGGGTAGCTCAGTTGGTTGGAGCATCATCCCTGATATGCCAAGGTTTCAGCATCCATCCTGGTCGGGGCACATGCAGGAATCAACGATTGAATGCATGGAAGGGTGGAACAAGAAGTCAATGTCTCTGTCGTGTGTGTGTGTGTGTGTGTGTGTGTGTGTGTGTGTGTGTGACTCCCTTCCCCTCTCTCTCTCAAATCAATAAATACATTTTTTAAAAAGGTGTTGACCCATGCACAAAGAGGTCGCTGGTTCGATTCCTGGTCAGGACACATGCCTGGGTTGTGGGCCCGATCCCCAGCAGGGGGCATGCAGGAGGCGGCCAATTGACATTTTCACTCATTGATGTTTCTATCTCCCTCTCCCTTCCTCTCTCTCTAAAATGAATAAAGAAAAAAAAATTTTTTAAAGGAATTCAAAACATAGCCCCGAACAGCCTAATTAATCACCCCAATTTCTCCATATGGCAAATGAGGGGATGAGCTTATTCCTACTTTCTGATTAGAACTTGTAGTAGAAGGAGAACACCTGATTGAAGCAACATTAGGGAAGCCAGAAACAGAAGATAGTTATATCTTATTACCTTCTTAAATCCTTCTGGTCCTCATCAGCTTCCTGACTCTCAGGATTATAAAAACCTTTCAGAAATGTTTTCTGCTGGCACACAGCAAGATACAGAGAATTTAAATGTCTGGTCCAAAATCCCATGGTGAAAAAGGTCCCAATTCTTAGTTTAATGACATTCTTTCACTGGAAAAAGAGTGTGGCCTCTTTTCTAGCTCCAGCATCTTCAGCCCTGCCAAGACCTCTGAGGAGGTTCCATTTCAGAACCATCAAATTAATAATGATAAACACATTACTAAATCCAGTGCTGGCCCTGGCCAGTTTGGCTCAGCGGTTAGAGCGTCGGCCTGCAGTCCGGAGAGACCCGGGTTCGGTTCCCGCTAAGGGCACGTACTTCGGTTGCAGTTTGTCCCCGGCCCTGGTTGGTCGTGCGGGTGGCAGCCACTCGATGTGTCCCTTCACGTCGATGTTTCTCTCTCTCTCTCCCTTCCCCTCTCTCCCTCCCACTCTATCTGTACAAAAAATGGAAAAATATCCTCGGGTGAGGATTAAAAAAAAATAAATAAATAAAATAAATCCAGTGCTGGAGTTGTAGAGAAGAAATAGGCTCATCTATTCATTGCTGGCAGCTTTCTAGAAAATAATTAATGTGCCAACCATACTTTGGGAGATATATTCCAGGGATCTGAACCAAAAGCAAAAATACACCAACTGCACCATGCATTGTATCTATATTATATACTATCACAAAAACAAAACAAAACAAGAAACCACCCAAATGGCCACCTACAAGAAATTATTATTTTGAGCTGTGATATAGTAATTTTTTTGATATTGCCACTACAAATGATTAATATGAGGGGCTGGAAGAAGTAGTGAAAGGACTATTAAGTTAATCATAATGGGACAAAAAAAACCTCAGTGATGTATATCCACTGGCCACAGCTAAGTAAAATAGTCCATCTATCAGGTGGTAGGATCTTCTTCTGGTCTTTTGCTGTTGTAGATACTTCGATATTCTCTCAAATACAGCTGACCCTTCAACAACAGGGGTTTGAACTATATGGGTCCACTTATGTGCAGATTTTTTAAAATAAATACTATAAATGTATTTTCCTTATGATTTTCTTAATTACATTTTCTTTTCTCTAGCTTACCTTACTGTAAGACTACAGTACATAATACATATAATATACAAAACGTGTTAATTGTTTATGTTCTCAGTAGAGCTTCTGGATAATAGTAGGTATTGGTAGTTAAGTTTGGAAGGAGTTAAAAGTTATATGTGGGCTCTGGCTGGGTAGATCAGTTGGTTGGAGCATCGTCCTGATTCGATCCCCGGTCAGTGCACATGCAGGAGTCAACCAATGAGTGTATGGATGAGTGGAACAACAGATCGATGTTTATCTCTCTCCCTCTCTTTCTCTCAAATCAATAAATACATTTAAAAAATTTTTGTTTGAGTTATAAGTGGATTTTCTACACATGGGTCAGCACCCCTAGCCCCCATGTTGTTCAAAGGCCAGCTATAATTACTTGTTCAGCTATTTCAAGAGAAAAGGATGACCAAAACAAATGCAACCCAGTCAAACATTTTCAGCTACAAGTATGTAAATAACTCCAGTTCTCATTACTTGTTTCCAACTTTTCCCCAAAGCCATCATTAGGTAATTTAAGGGCTAACACCAGCTCTGGATCAGCACAAAAGCCTCTAGAAAATTCTGCTACCCTTCCCAGGTTTCTCTGAATCATATTCCAGAACAGGCCATTTGGCCACTTCCTTCTCACTCTCCATCCAAGAGGCTGAAGAGTCTTCCCTCACCACACTGCCTTCCGGTACCCCAGAGCCATGTGGACTTCTAGACCATTCTCTTCCCACAGGGCTCTCTCCTGCTTCCTCAGGCCCAGATCACCCCCCACCCCCCACCTCCTTTCAACCTTCCCCAGGCAGCCGCCCCCTCTTACTTGGGTCTGGAGAGGTAGAAACACTGTCCTCTAGAGAGTCCTTATTCTGGGTCCTAGGATTCATACCTATAAAAAGAGGAAAACCACTTGTTTTAATGAGGTTCATTCTTCAAAAAAAAAAGGTCTGATCAGTTGTAGTTTTAAAAGCCCAAAACTAGATACTCTGGTTTCTCTTCAGATCGCATAAATCTTTCACCTTTTAAAAGCCCCAAACTAGAGCTAAAAGTAAAAATGTAAATCAAGTATAAAATCTGTGCTGAGGATTTCCAACAGCACAAAAGAATCAATCAAAGAAAAATGATCACTCTGAAATTTGGGAATGAGCCAGAACTTCACTCTGAGGTTATCAATGCTATTTTTTGCCCAATGAGACCTTGCAAAGAGCAACTTACCACTTACATTAAGAAAAGGGAAGCATTTCAAAGTCATTTTAACTAATTAAAGCAATCTTTAGCAAGTATAAAATGACCTATTTAAATTTAGTCAACTCAACAGTCATCTTCTTCCCCAAATCATGGTGTTTTGAAGTAGTGCATCAAAACTCACTGAGAGAGAAAACAAAAAAACAAACAATGCTTTTACCTATAACTAGGCTGAAAGAAAAACAGATTCTTTAAAATGCAACTTATTGAATGAAGAAATGTAATAGAACTCACTTTAAAACACACATGTAAACATTTAAAAGTCCCTTTCAAAATATATAGTTACTAGAAAATTATACTATAAAAAGAACTGGAAATATCCTAACCAAACTGTCCACAGTGACGATCTCTGAGAAGAAAGCTGGAGGACGTGGCAGAAGGTAAATGAGAACTTGAGTTTTTTATTCTAAATACTTTGTGCAGTTCGAATCTTTATGACAAGAACAAATATTTGTAAGTCCCTTGTGAAATCTTGGAGAAGACAAACTACAACCTGGGGAAAAGCATCTACAAATCACATATCTGGCAAAGGACTTGTATCCAGAACATATGAAGAACTCTGAAAACTCATGAGCAAAAAAAACAACCTCATGAGAAAATGGGCAAAAGATTTGAACAGACACTTCACCAAAGGACACATAGAGAAGGCAAGTAAGCACATGAAAAGACATTCAACATCATCAGTCATTAGGGAAGTGACACATTAAAAGGACAGTGAGGTACTTCTACACATCTCTTTGAATGGCTAAAAGGACAGGTTGTACCAAGTGCTGACAAGGGTGAGGAGCAAAGGAAACTTGAATCCATTGGTGGCAGGAATACAAAATGGTACCCCACTTTGGAAAACAGTTTTGCAGTTTCTTTAAAAGTTAAGCATATATTTATCATTTGACCCAGCAATCCCACTTCTAGGAATTTACCAGAGAAATAAAAATGTATGTTCACACAGAAACCCATTATGTAAATGTTTACAGTGGTTTTATTCACAGTTGCCAAAACCTGGAAACAATCCAAATGTCTTTGGGTTAAACAAACTAGTGAGGACACCCATACAATGAAATCCAACTGGACAATAAAAAGGAATGAACATTACTACTGATGCATGCAACAACTTAGATGAATCTTTAAAGCATTATGCTGAGTGAAAGAAGACTCAAAAAGCTATATAACTGTATGATTCCATGTGCATAATATGCTGGGAAAGGCAATTTAGAGGGAGACAGAACAGATAACAATGGTTGCAAGATGGGGAGGGGTTGCGTACAAAGAGGTAGCACAAAGGAATTTGGGGGATAATGAAAATGTTTTGTTTCTTGATGTGTTTGTAGGTAATTATGACTCCATGGGTTTGTCAAATCTCATAGAACTGTACGCAAACAGAGTGAATTTTACTGTACGTAAATTTTAAAATAAATATTGTTTTAAATTTAAAGTGATGATGTCACTTGGCCAAAGCAATTTTTGGAACTACCTTCAGCAGATTTTTAAAAAGTACTAGTCATCATAAGAAGAAGATACAATTTGGTAAGTTAGAAAAATACAGTGTTTCATTTTATTCAAACCCACACTATGTGGCAGATATGAGGTAGGTATTATCCCTTTTCCACAGATAAAGAAACCAAGGCTCAGAGAAGTTAACTTACTAAAAAATCACACAGTAAGTGGGTGAAATCTGCACTTAGGCTCTTCTGCTTAACTCTACAGATGCTCTATTTCCTGACTATCCATCTGGGGCACCAGTTTTCAGCTACTGAAAATGTCATCTGTTCTTTGTCAACAGCCAAAAGCCATTTGGAGCTAACTTTTCTGAAAAGCTAGCTTGGTTGATTACACCCATTTTCACAAAAACACAAAGCCTGACTATACAGAAGCAATGAGGTAGATTTTCTTGTTCAGCCTAAGAACCAGTATGAAGGCAATCCCCAAATGGACATTACCAAAACATTAAAACTATTAAAACACATCACACCTCACAGGTTTGGATGCTAAGCTCAAATATTAGATCACCTTTTTCTTTTTTTAAGAAAACCAACCCAGACTTTGTAAGGACTGAAATTCTTACTCCAATAAAGAAACAGTTCAATTTACAATTGCATGGGCAATTGTTTGAGTTCAAAGAGCCAACCAATAAAAGGGTTCTCAGAGCAGCTTTGGCTCCTAGGCCAAGAGCAGACTTGTGCCATTTCTAACAGGTACAAGCACATTCGAGGCCAGTAGGTACCTTGAATGCTACACACACACACACACACACACACACACACACACACACACACACACACACACACTTTATTTTAAAGAAATAGCAATGAAAAAAATTTAAAGAAATAAATATTTTAAGGGCTTCTGCAAAGCTTATATGCAGCTTCCTTGTGTTTCAAGCCTAATTCACTGCCTCTCCCACCAGCTCTGCCTCTGAGGCTTATTTTCAGTTAAACAGACTTGCTATAGGCATGTGAAGAGCCCCAACAACCTGAGAGGATGGAGGTGACCTCCTGGTCAAGTCAGCTATGCTCCAACCTGATATTTGGGGATGAATCTTGTCAAAGTTCAAAGACAGGTACAACTTGGGAAGCCAATGCTGAGAAGAGTCATCTCAGTTCTGTCTCGTCTGACATCTGTTCAGAGTCAAGAAGTCTAAATGTAGTCTCTGGTTGTTAACCTCAGGCCAAAAAGGGCTGGTTCCAGGGGAATCTACAAGCCTGTGCCTGGGGTCAGTCACTTCTCCTCTCTGGGCTACATAGACCTTGCTTACCCTTCAAAAGCCCAACCTGCCTGGATGAGTGAGTCTGAGGCCCTTTCTTCTGGTCTCAGTGTGCCGTAACTTACTTTTTACTTTAGCTGTCAGGCCAAATCTGCCACATGGACCTCATGCTCAACACAGACACCAGCTTGCAGATTCTGGGTCCCAATACCAAAGAGAAAGAAAACTTGGCATTACTTATTTTCTTTTTCAAAATTATCTACAGCACTTACACCCAATGAAGGGAATGATGCTAACCAACAAGTCACAAACTGGTGCTCAGTTAAAGACACAGAGGGACAAAAAATATCTGCTCATTTCCAACAACTTGGTCCCTGCTGGGCCGCCTGTGAAAAACAAGTGAATAGTCCAGGTGCCAGGCTCCAGCCAACAATGCTCAAAATGAAATTCAACAGGGCAAGGAGGGAAACCCACAGAGACACCACTCCTGTGAATCATGACTCACACATGAGTTAAGTCCAAACACAGGAGAAAATCTGAGTCATGCTTGAGTGCCTGCAGATGGTGCAAACTGTCAAGCCTAGAAGGTGAAGGAGAGGCCACAGATGAGGTCTTCTATTTTCTAATAAATGAAATGTTAACTAGTTGTTTGTTTAGACCCCACCTTGTTCCAAAACAAGAACCCAACGTGACATTTTGTCCTTAAAGAACCCGATCTACTTTTGATTGTTACAGCTTTGCAAGGCAGGTAGGCAGGAAGGTAGGCAGATGAAAATCTTTATGCCCATTATATAGATGAAGAACCTGAGGCTTAGCAAAGGCTGAAGGCTAAACTCCAAAGGCCACGAGGAGTAGGGCGAGGCACTCAGGTCTGGACATTTGCATCATAGCAGGCTTCCTCATCTACCATACCATGATGCAGGCCACATGCTCAAGCCACATGGTATCACTGGAACCACTCACAGTTCAGCTCCCTGCAAGGGGGCTTTACTGTCATGATAGTCACCCCACATCAAACTTCTTCAAATAGAATCCCAAACCAGAGCACTTGAGGTGAGAAGAATCGGTGCCCTAATCATTTTGTTTCTTCTCAGGCCTTAGCAGAGGGCCTAGAGTTCAAGAAACGTTTTTGGAATAGGTAAGAGTTTGGTGGGTATGAAGACAGCAAACCATATTCTATGAGGACTGAGGATGGCTTAATAAGAGTCAATTCCAAACCAAGCAAGACAGAAAAAGACCGTCCAATGCGTTAAGAAAAGAAATCCTGTTAACTGTTCCAGAATGAATGCTGACGGTTATTAAGAGAAAACATTCTTCAGCAGAGAGAAAGCTAATCTCAGAAGGCTTTTAGTATCCATTCAACTACCTGATATGTGCCAGGAGCTGTTTTAAACCATGGAGATACAACCCTAAACAACAGCAAAAGAAACTATGCCAGGCGGAACTATGGAGAAATATTAGGCAGGGAAGATATGTGGAACTGCCAGGGAAGAGAGCGGTGGTTCAAGTAAGACCTGAATGGAAAAGAGCAGCTCTGGATAGGGCGGTCATATAACTTATCATCCAATCCAGAACACTTTTGAGAGAGGAATGGGACATTATTAATAATGATATAGGACAATGAATTCAAAGGAGGACCATCCTGGGCAAATTCAGACATGTAAGCCTCAGCCATGAAGATCTCTGGTGTTAAGGGCACAGAAGAGGATAGAGCAAGAGAAAAGACCTGAGGATCAGAGTGATCTGGGGAACCACTAGAGTAAGGTGAGAGGAGCAAGGGGCCCCATGGCACAGGGGGCTCTTTGGCGTTTACTCCGAGAACACTGGGAAGCCCTCGGAGGGTTTTGTGCAGATAAGTTTCACAATCTGACTTCTACTTTGGAGGGTCATTCTGAATTGCTGTGCTGAAAATAAACTATATGGAAAGGCAGTTAGCAGGCTACTGAGATAATTCAGGCGAAAGATGATGGATGGTATGTTGGACCGAGCTAGGACTGGTGGAGGTGATGATATCTCATAAGATTCTAGATATATCCAGATAGTAAATCTGACATTAATTGGTTATTGTATATGGTAACATAGAATGATTTTTATCTAATTTCTTCCTGTGGCTAGCTAACATAATTCGTCAGGAAGCACAAAATCAAAGATGAGAGTTCAATTGCATTGGAGGCTAATGCTATATAGACCACCTCCTGATGACCTCTGACCCCTTTGAAAACACGTGCTACTGGTCATTAAGGGACTGGGCAAGAGTAAGGATGCCTCTATTTAACTATATTACCCTGACTAGAAAAAGAACCCAAGGTTCCCACACCTTCTCTAAGAAGCTAAACATATTTTATGTAACTGAATAGTCACAAACCAACTATAATAATTTTGTGGGTCATTCAGATGCTTCACATGTGGCGCTTGGTCTTGGAAGTATAAGTTTACTTGTCCATAAATGTGCTAAACAATGCGGGGATGGATACAGACAAGCTCTTTCAGTCTGGTGGAGAGACAAGCGTGGAAACAGTGGGATCGGGATGTGCCAAGCACTACAATTGGGTTATGCATGTGAAGCTCTGTGGAAACATGGCTAACATCTCCGGTGAAGGTATGGGAAGGAGACAGAAGCACCAGAGAGGGCTTCAAAGAAGAGGTATTGTTGGAGCTGATTTATAAAGACTAAGCCAACATTTCCCAGGCAGAATCAGGGATTGAAGATAGAGAAAAAGCATATTCCATAGAGAGACTAGGCTACGCAAAGAAATAAGAGGACAGCCCAGCCAGTGTGGCTCAGTGGATTGAGCGTCATCCCATGAACTGAGAGGTCCCAGTTCGATTCCTGGTCAGGGCACATGCCCAGGTTTTGGGCTCAGCCCCAGCAGGGGGCGTGCAGGAGGCAGTCAATTGATGTATCTCTCTGACATCGATGTTTTTATCTCTCTCTCCCTTCCTCTCTCTCTAAAAAATTAATAAAAAAATATTTTTGAAAGAAAAGAAACAAGAGGACAAAGTACCACATTGTTCCCCTCTGGGCCTCTCCTAATTGTTTATGTGGAGGTGGGTTTGCCCTCACCCCACACAACTGAAAGCTCTTTGGGAGCAGAGATCACTCCTACTCTGGCCCTGGCACTGCCCTAAATGCTAAGCTCATAAGCTGCCTTCAATCACGACTCACTGACAGACCAATGACAAATGTGACTTGACCAGCATGTTCCTGGCTAAAAATGTAATGTGCAGCCCATTTATAATTCCATGCATTATAAAGCACTGTTTCTAAATAGGTCACCCAAAATTGTGGCTGAAATGATCCCAAAATAGTCATGGCCCTTCTTTTCTAGTCCCCATGTCATTTCTAGATGTGAGCCTGCTCTGAGTATCCCAACTCTGTTACCCTTTGGATTGGTTACCTGCACCACTGTTGCTAAGCAGGCTGACAGAAAGCTCTTCTGTTCCACTGAAGTTCAAGAAGGACATGCCATCACCAGGCTGGCGGGACGTGCTGTGCCTGCAGAGAACAGAGCCCAGCCACCTGGCTTAATGCAGATCATTACTTCTTTGATCCTGCTCACCCTGTATCCCGGGGCATTTTCATCAAAACAGGCCTGCCCTGGCTGGTTTTGCTCAGTGGTTAGAGCATCGGCCTGCGGACCAGAGAGTCCTGGGTTCAGTACCCGCTAAGGGCACGTACCTCAGTTGCGGTTCGTCCCTGCCCCTGGTTGGGGTCGTGCAGAAGGCAACCAGTCCATGTGTCTCTCTCACTTCGATGTTTCTCTCTCTCACTTCGATGTTTCTCTCTCTCACTTCGATGTTTCTCTCTCTCTCTTCCCCCTCTCTCCCTCCCGCTCTGTCTGAAGATAAATGCGAAAATGTCCTCAGGTGAGGATACAAACAAACAAAAAACAGGCCTGAATATTCAGCCACACAGGCTGGCAAACACTGGGATCCATATCACAGGCTAGCAGGGTGAGGCACTTGGTTTACCAGCTCTGGCCTCCTGTGACCAGCTCCTCCTGCCCAGGCTCCTTAGCTGCCATTGCCACGCTAGATTCCCTGCCCTCTCTGTCCTGAGCCTCCCCCTGCTAACACCAAGAGGAGGATGTGAAGTGCTTGAATAGAGGTACCAAGTTAACCTGGTAAAGATGGTCACATCCAGACTGTATCCCTCATCCATCCCACGGGATGTCAAGGTGAGTGAAAAAGGGGTCAAATATTACTCTTTGAAAAGTGTTTCCTAAAGCATCACAGTGAGTCCAGGTGTAACCTGGGCTCATGCTTATCAAGGTTTAAATGACTTTCGTCCTGTACTGAGTTTCTTTGGATGCCTGTAACACATTCAGAATTCTGGTTCAAAGAGTTATTTTTAAAAACACAGGCCTTGATTTTCATTGCTTTTAGTATTAACTTATTCTAAACTCAACAGTAAAATTTCTCAATGACCAAAATGACAAAAGTCATAGAATGAATGCCTAAAACACACAGCACAAATCACCAGTCTCAGCATCCATTTCGCCCTTGACTGAAGATTAGAAGAAATTCATGCTTGAGGTTTACAAAGTGTGCATTGAATTACACCTAAAGCTACAGCAGGGCCTAGGTAATATTTCTGGCAAAAATGTCAGGTTGTTTGCTTTGCACTTGGACCATTGAAGGGAATGATGCTGTCTAACAAATGAAGACCCTGATCTCACACTATCTCTTCAAATCTTATAAACATGACATTTTGTCAGTGGTTTGTTCCACGCACTGTCTTGGGTGCTGAAGAGTGATCTCGAGGTACCATCCGGAGCCCTGTACACATTCTCACCTTCCGGCAGCTTCATGATATGCTAACTCCAGCAGCTCTGCAGAGGAGTGAGTTGGGTCCCTCTGCCCGCTGCCCTGCAGCTCCGCCATATTCTGTCGGGTCTGGTGATGGATCTGGATGGCCTCTCCGGATGGTCCTACCCAGACAAAGATCCACTGAGCAGCATTCCCACCTGACAGCTAGTGTTGTGCACTTAGCTTCAATCTTCCTTTCTGACTGCTGGATATGGGTGTTGGAGACATTGAAAGAGTAGACCACAGGCCACACACACAGAGGAACATTATGTACATTCAGACTGTATCCCCCAAAGGCTCCACTCTGTACCCACTGTATCCACTCTGGCTCCCACAAAGACATCTCTTCAGAGCCACACTCATCCACCTGTGTGGGCTCATGTTTGTCATCCTGTTCAGCCTAAGAATATTTAAAGGCCTCTTTCTTATGTATGACAACTGAGGCACCATAGAGAAATATGGAAGAATAGGAGGCAACAGCCCTTCCTAGGAAGCTTAACACACACTAAATGAAAAGGAACACACAACTAAAACACCAATGACTCTGTTGATATATAAGACAGCAACAACTGTGACTCAAAGTAGCAGAGGATGCATGAGTGCAAAAATGATTAGTAGGAAATGATCAGAATTAGTCAAGTCTACTAAAAAGTGCTTCCTAGAGAAAGAGACATTACAGAGTGTTAAAGTTAGCAGGGGCTGAGGAGAAGATATCTGGGTAGAAGAAATGACCTGTGTGAAACCCCAAGCACGGAAGAGGGAAGACAAGTGCAGGAGCCCACCAGATGGGCTTGGGAAAGAAAAGCTCTGAGGATGGCGGGAGGAGATGCAGTGCTGGGAGCCCAGCAAGCGAGGGCCTGAGCGATTAGAGGCCCAGGTGGGCAGGATGATGCAGTTTTGAAGAATATCATTTTAGTGAAGGGTTACACGTTGGGTGTCTGGAGGAAAAGCACAGAAGCAAGAAGAGCAGAGATTCACGAAAGAAACACCAGTAATTCTCCTAGGAGAACCTGAAGCGAGCCAGTGGGGGTGACAGTGAGAAGAAAGAGACACCAGGAAGAAACAAACCATGTGGTTGATTATGACAGCGGTAAGGAGGGCAAAAAGGGGTTTAAGAATGACCCCCAATTACAGCTGAAAGAACCAGATTCACTGCTCACTTATTTAACTTTTAACACTAAATCAAGTATAAAATAATAATAATAATAACTAGACAGTTCTAGGCAGTCAGAAGAAAGGCCTCTATGAAGAAACCTGGCATTTAATGCACCTGTCCCTTCCCAGCCCAGTAAGAATCCATTAAGCTGAAGTTTCATTTTAGCCACAGCTTTATAAACCTTACTGTCATCTTTAGGACAGAATACAGATCAGGACAGACTAGGAAAAACTGAATTCAGAGGGGAAAAAATTATTTTTTTAGTTGTCAGAGACCCCTGTGAGAAAACAAAGGAATATAACTGTGTACCTAAAACAGTAACATCAATATCCAGAGAGATCCAGGAAAGGAAGGAATGAATGAGAATGAAAGATATTAGTCTTAGGAAAGAAAGCAGGTGGCAAAGTACAGTCTCTTTTAAATTACAAAAACAGAAGCCCTCAGGTTGATACAGCTAATTACAGTCACAAAGCCCATTCCCAAGTGTACCTCAGAATCTTAACAAGAATCCCTGCAATAGGCAAAATGGGCATGGTTATCCCCATCTTAGAGATGGGGCACCAGAGGTGCAGAGAAGTTTGGATACTTGACTGGTCACGTGTGATTAGTGCTGAGGACCAGGACCAGGAACTCAGTCCAGGGCTCTTTCCTGAGCCACCAACTTACCCACAGGAAAGGTGTGCATCCAGCGCCTTCTGTTGGACGTGAGCTTCATGGGCATTCGTGAGGGGGCAAAGGGGTTGATCAGCGCCCGCTGGGGTGTGTATCCCCCTGGTCGAACATGTAGCATGGATTCTGCGCTGCCTACGTGGAACCGCCCTGGCGCGCTGGAGTCTCGCTGCGGTGGCTCCATCATGTTCTCCAGGACATCTGCCAGTTATTGTAGAATTGAGACACAGACAGCATCGAGCCACATTGAAACCAGAGCTAGGCAGACCGATCTGCCAAGGCTAACAAGAATCTTGGACATCATACATGTTAAGCAGTTAGGGAAATGAGTAAAATCACCAAAAGAAAAAGAAATAAAATATTGGGTTTGTTTACTTTTTAAATTCTTAGTTTGCTCCCCAGATTACTGGCCCAATGAAGCCACACCCAAACTTGATGGGGTGGACCACACATCACCTAAAGACCCTGGACTTGAAGCTAGTTATAAGTAAAGGGTAGGACTTGAATTGCCTCCATTGGAGATGGGGTAGTATATTCTGTATGCGGGAGGAACAATAAAAATCCATATTTGGCCCAGCTGGTGTGGCTCAGTGGTTGAGCATCAAGCCATGCACCAGGAGGTCACCAGTTCGATTCATGGTAAGGGCACATGCCCAGGTTGTGGGCCCAATGCCCAGTGGGGGGCATGCAGGAGGCAACCAATCGATGTTCCCTCTCCCTTCCTCTCTCTCTAAAATCAATAAAGAAAAATTATTAAAAAAAAAATACGTATGTGGTGACCAGAGAACAGACTCTGACAGAGACCGTTGATGTGTTTGCTAAACTTGTTTGATTTTCCTCTTAGGCACACAACAGGACTCTAGTTCCCAGCCCCTTTGCACTAGGGCCAAATAACTTAGCCAACTTTCAGCTACTGGAACACAGGTAGAAATGACATGCTCCAACTGAAGAGCTGGACCACAAATATCTCCACACATGATCTCCATTCTATTTTCCCCTGCTGTGGCAACTTTGCAGACCAGTGTTGATGACCACGGCATCCAGGATGAAAGGAGTCTGGGGCCCTGAATGACTGTGTGGATCAAAAACCCCTCCCATTGACTCAGTATCTTGGAACATAAGTAAGCAATCAAATGTTACTGTGTTTAAAAATATATTCTTGGGGAGAAAAGAATGAAGAAATGGAAGCATCCAGCCTTAACCAGGCAAGGAGGTGACATGATATTTAGACTCAGCCTGTCCTGTTCAATGACAGGCCGGTCCCTACTATGGAGGTGGAGGCATCATGCTAAATACCCTGAGCAGATAAAAGAGCTGACCCACAGCCAACTCTTATGTTCACCTCATGTTCACTAAGCAACCACCAAGGTTAGAAAGTGGGTCCAGAAGATGTAAAATCCATGGCATCAAGGGTTCTGTCTTGTCCACCATTATCTACCCAATAAGAGCCTGGGATAGAGTAATATTTAATTCCTCAAACTAGTGTACATGCAAGAAGAGAACATTCAGATCTCCATGAAAACTATTTTTTCATTGTAAATTAATGAGTTGATGCTCTGGTTTCCAAAATAAACAAGAATATGGTCTAGCTAGTTAAAGAAATAAAAGGAGAAAACCCAATTTAAAAAAAAATGAGTACAGCCCTGGCCAGTTTGGTTCAGCGGTTAGAGCGTGAGCCTGTGGTCCAGAGAGACCCGGGTTCAGTTCCCGCTAAGGGCACATACTTCGGTTGCAGTTTGTCCCCAGCCCTGGTTGGTCGTGCGGGTGGCAGCCACTCGATGTGTCCCTTCACGTCGATGTTTCTCTCTCTCTCTCTCCCTCTCCCTTCCTCTCTCTCCCTCCCACTCTATCTGTACAAAAAATGGAAAAATGTCCTCGGGTGAGGATAAAAAAAAAAAAAATGAGTACATACTTCAAAAAGTTTGAGAAACAGGACTAAGGGATAAAATAGGTCAAAAATATGTTAAAATCAATTCTAGTATTCAAATCATTTTGAAGAAAACTATTTTCAAGGCTACTTGGATTAAAACCAGCATCATCTCCTTAGGGGAGATCTGGCTTTAGAATAACAAAGGTTTTTAAAGGACTAATATTTAGTTTAATTTAGCTTTTGCAACAGACCCTTATAAAAATATTTTCAGCAAAATGGGAGTCACTGTCATGTAAACTTAGAAATTACCAGAAGGTGGGAAAAAGCTAACCTAGAAATTTTCAAATGTATTAAAATTCTTTTGAATACTAACTCTAATTAATTATTTAAGTCATGTAATTAAAAAAACAAACCAAACAAAAACACTTTTTTCAGCAGTCAAAAATTTTCCTAGGCCCTTGGCTCAGTGTGTATGGTGCTAATGGATGAAAATGCCCTGTTCCTCTGTCCTGAGGCCACACCAGTGGCTTCCCCTTCAACATGCTGGGTCATGGAAAACACTCCTGCCCTTTGGGAAACCCTCCAGGGCAACAGGAGACAGCTGTGTATATACAACATTCCCAAGTCAGTGATCAAGTCAGAAGGGCTGTGCTTCCCTTTATATAACCTTCTTAAAATAACAAAATTATGGAGAAGGAGAATAATTAGTGGGAGGGTGTAGCTATAAAGGGGTAGCATGAAGGATCCTTGTGGTGATAAAATAATTCTGGATTTTAACTGCAGTGGTGGTTACAGAAACCTTCATGTGATAAAACTGCATACACACGCACACATACACACACACACACACACACACACAAATGGCTGCATATAAAACTGATGAAATCTGAATAATCTCTGTGGATTACACCAATGTCATTTTCCTGATTTTGATATTATAGTCTAGTTATGCGTGATGTCACCAATGAGGAAAATGAGTGAAAGGTGCACAGGCCCTCCCTGTATATTTTTTTTATGATTTCCCATGTATCCATAATTATTTCAAAATAAAATATTTAAAAAACCAGGAGGGACCTGTACACTGTAGTTATTGGTTCTGCTGGATGGGAAAAATAGGATACAGGAAAGGCAGCACTTGTCTTCCTTAGTGTAAGCCAGGGTAACAGATAACTACAAGGAGAAATCTTAAAATGGAATACAGGATAGAGACTGTTTTGAGTATGGCACAAATAGAAATAAGGAAATAAGCAAACATCTTTGACCCTAGGCCTAAGAAAAGCTCAACTTTAACATATGGAAATGTAGGAAGTTACAGGAACAGGGGAAGAAAGGGTAGAGACAAAATTAATATAATACACACATACATACAGCTCAGGTGATTTGTACTCGTTGCACTGCATGGAAATAATTAAAATGTGGGACTTACACCCCACACCTGGCCACAACCCCCATCCCTTACTCCAGGAAGGAAGCTGGGCCCCGCTCTCTGACCTCGAGTGCTGGTGTAGCCCAAGGAGCTGCTGACTTCATACTGGTGCAGGTGGGGGAGTGGGATCATGAGGATGTTGGCGCTCCGGCCCAGAGAGCTGTCATCAGAAGCCTGGCTCCTCACTTCCTCAGTGGGCAGCACACGGCTGGGCACGGAAGGGCTGGATGACACGTCACAGGAGCTGGCACTCTTCCGATTGTGACTCTCCTGCTCTCGCACAGACCTGGCCCAAGAGAGACAAATTACCACCTAGTAAGGAATGCTGCCCCCCCTAGAGTAAAACATCAAAAACTGTCACCAGCCCAAGCTACTTGGAAACCAACAACAATCCCCAATGAGATCTATGAGCAGACATAATATAGGAGGTACTTTGCCCAGAGCAGCTTGTAAGAAAGAAGATAAATGACAGACAGTTTTCAAATGGCCAAAGTCCTGGGATCCCAGCTGTAAAGAAGTAATTGCTCTGGTCTGACCTCACCGATCAATCTTCTATCACTAAAAATGGGGTAACCAGATGGGACATGACATGATGCCACCTGAGGAGTCTTGTTGCACCAAAAACTGAGCCTAAGGCTAATCGAGCCTCTGGAGATAATTGCCAGCTTACAGAGAATTTAGACACCAGAGGAAGAGTTAAATTTTATGGACTAGCCATCAGAGGATAGAAAAAAATTAATGTTATTTGGTCACCAATGATAAGGTACTGTTTTGGGGTTTAAGTTTAAGTTTTTTTTAGTTTTTATTTGGTTTTTTTTTAGTTTTTATTTGTTTTTTTTTTTAGTTTTTATTTGTTAGCAACATATACTGAAATATTTACAAGTGAAAAAAATGGAATGCCTAGGATTTGTTTTAGAATATTCAAACACTTTTAAAATGTGGGGGAAAGCGATGAAACAAGGCTGAAAATGCGCTGACAACTGTCCATCACACACGTCTCTTATTTGCACGTTTGAATATTTCCTTAATAAAGGTTTAAAAAACAGTACACCCTGATTAAAACATAAAACTCCCTAAGGGGAAAACCTCTGGAAGCAGTAGGAAGAAGGATCAGAAAGGGAGATGCCCAATGGGGGAAAAACCCAGAATGAAAGAGTCAGTAGCCGTGACAGGGCTGCCCCTCCTGCATCAGAGCTGTTCCCTTTCTGCCCGGAAGGGTTTTGTTTTCAGTAATAGCCTCAACAGAGCCTGAAAACAGATCCTAAGGGCTGACTACACATTCATTATTTCAACAGTAAATATCTGAACACAGTATATGCTCAACCCTGCACGAGGGACAAAGCACTGATTAAGACAAAGTCCGGCCCCTCAAGGAACACACAACCTGGGTATTTGAAACACCATGTCTTGGCATCTTTCATTAGAGAAAAAAACCCAAGGATCTTGGACTGGGAAAGCATTTTAAGATAAGCATGACTGAGCCCCTGAGCAGAGTCTATGTGTACAGGAGCTTCTGTTAATAGCTTTTACTCATTCTAAGGTCCAAACATTCTTAGGATGAGACATTAGGATGGGATAAAGGAAAAGGACAGAAGACAATCGTGTTACCATTACAAGTTCATTTGTCACAATGTGAAGAGATAAACTAGTGTTAAAATCAATTGTATTTAAAGTTGCATACTTAAGAAATCTGGTAAATTTGATCAAGTAGGAAAAAAATCAGCTAGATTTCTGTTTCACACATTAATAATCAACTTCTATATAATGAACTAAGCCTAAAACCAAGACTATGAAGTATTGGAAGAAAGTGGTAACTAGACTTACCAGGGGGATCACTTTGTAAGTTACATAAATGTCTAACCACTATACTGTACACCCGAAACTAATAATATTGAATGTCAACTGTAATTGAACATTTTAAAACAAATTGTTAAGTATGAGGAGAAAATATAAAACACATCTCTAACCTTGAATACAGAATGAATACATTGGTAGATCTGACTACATCTCAATTACTATATGACCAACACACCATGGAGCAAATTTAAAAAGCAGGAACAAAAGAGGGGGAAAACAGTATCTTTCCCTTTGGAAATAATAAACCTAAAATAAACTCTGGGCCCTATGCGGCAGCAAAGTAAGAATAAGTATCCAGATTTGTGAATTGCTTCTCTTGGCTAGAAAAAGCAGAAGAAAGCTCTCCTTATATGGGGACAATACTTCATAATGAGCAGAGCTAACAAAATGGCAGATCCAGAGAACCCAAAAACAAAATCCCTAACACTCTATATGGTGTGGTTTCTCTTAGGCTAATTTTAATTTAAAACATTCTCAAGACTGTTTTCACAGAAGTCCCTGCTGGGCCTCCCATTTTCCTTAGCAGTTTTTATATCCACCCCCAAGTGAATCTGGCAGAAAACCTGCAGGTGGCGAGACGCTGAGCCCGGGATGGGCCTGGCAGCCTGAACACTTGAGCATCGTAGGCATCATAATCTACTTGGATGGGAAGGGCATTCTCAGATTCTTTTGGAGTCCCAAGAGCTGAAATACACAAATATGAATTGACATCAAAACATATTTCAACCAGATGCCTTCACAGGGTCTTCACCAAAAGCTGCAAGGCACAGGTGATCATCATCATCATCTCCCCCTGAAAAAAAAAAGGGGGGCCTGGCTGATTTGGCTCAGCAGTTAGAGCATCGGCCTGCGGTCCAGAGAGACTGGGGTTCGGTTCCCGCTAAGGGCACGTACCTTGGTTGCAGTTTGTCCCCGGCCCTGGTTGGGTTGTGTGGATGGCAGCCACTCGATGTGTCCCTTCCATGTCAATGTTTCTCTCTCTCTCTCTCTCTCTCTCTCTCTCTCTGTCTCTCCTTCCCTCCCTCCCTCCCACTCTATCTGAACAAAAAATGGAAAAATGTCCTCAGGTGAGGATAAAAGAAAAAGAAAAAAAGGGATAATAACCCATTCATCAGGTTGTTGAGATCAATGACTTATATGTCAAAGAATGTAGAAAGAGTATAGCACTAAGTAAAGGCAAGGCGATGGCAGTATCTCATTCTTCTGTGATCCCACTTTTAAAATATCATCTTAATATGAATGTTTAGTACTTTGAAACTTTCTACCTGACCCCTACAATTGACCTATGGAAAAGAAAATTGAAGTTTTATTATCATCCACTTTGTAGCTGACAAGACGAAAACATACAAGTTGGTTAAGGAACTTTCCAAAGGTCACACAAGGGGAACTCAGGTCTCCCAGCTTGGCTGTAAACTTTAATGTGACCTCACATAATCTTGTTCCCATCGGCTAGCTGACTCTTATTAAAAGAGATGAAAGGAGTAAAATACTCACACGTATCACGGCCATTTTTCGCTTTCTCAGTGGCAGGCTGTAAAGTTAAATAGAGAATTAATCACTCCCTTGTCTGCTAGAATAGAACTTTCACAAGAAACAGTATGTAGGTGGCCGCTCCCCAGGCACAAACCATGTCTTACTCCTCACTGTGACTGATGGAAAGGCAGGAGCTAACACCAGAGACCTACCTACCACAGTGTCAAGCCCTGCCCAGTCCTTTACTTCCTACCTCACATCTTGTTCACTCTCACAACTCTATCCAGTGGGGGCATGGACCCCACTTCACAGGTGAGGAAATTTAACTCTAGAAAGAATAAGGGACTTGTTCAAAGTCATGTAATTAGCAGGTGGCAGAGCCAAAATCTAGGATCAGCTCTTCAGACTCCTGGCCAACCCACTGGCGTAATTGTCCTATCATGACTAGGTTTTACCTGTGCCAAACTCTGCATGCCTCCCCTTCACCATGGTCTTGTCACCTGTCTGCCTATCCCACCAGAGCTGAGTGCCGCTAGATTGCCCAATTTGCTGAAATGAAGTACAAAGGTAGAGGAGAAAACTAAAAGAACTATCACTTTTTAAAAGATAAATCTTTTGCAGGACACTTACACCTTCCGTAACAATACTCATTCTTTCTTCTTTAAAGTGATCATGTGCAGAGAAGTTCCCCCTTGCTGAGAATGACTGTGGTGAAGGCATAAAACCTCAGAAGGCAGGAGAAGAACATTTCTCCTAGCACCTATTAGACATGGCCTATTTTAGGAGTTTTCATATCTCCAATTAATATTTTCCCTATTAGAAGCATAAGATTAACCACCCTGTCCAAAAAAAAGGGGAAGAACTGGCCCTGATACTACTAATGTAGCACAGTCAAACGGGGCAACTTTCAGAGTTCAGCTTTGCTAGAAACAGGCAGATAGATGAGAGCACCCGAGTGTGCAGCCTCCGTACATAACAACCTGTTTTTCTCTTCAGGTCACATTAAAAAGGCGTCTTCAGATTCTTCAGAGTGGCATTTTTATTGGCTGCAAATATATTCCATCAAGTGGCTATTTCGTGGTTTATTTAGCCATTTCCCTATTATTTTCAACTTGTCACTATTATGAATAACACTAGACCAAGATCTATTCAGATTCAACAGCCTCAATTATTTCGTTAGACCACATGGCCAAAAGTGAAATGATGTGGTCAAACAGCATGACCATTTTGCACTGTTCTTGAAACACATGACTGAACTGCTTTTCATAAGAATCGAACACCAACCAAATATTCAAGCACCAATTTCACAGATGTTTTGGTATAATTATTAATACGTTTAAACCTATTTGGTAAGCAAAAATATTAAATCCCTGCTCCTGTTTGGATTTGTCTTTCTTTAATGACCTGCTAAGATGTAATCTTTTTTATTTTAAGTTTCTTTTCCCATTAATTTTTTTAGAGAGAGTGAAAGGGAGGGAGGAAGAGAAAGAGAGAGAGAGAGAGAAAGACAGAGAGAAATATCGATGTGAGAGAGACACATTGATTGGTTGCCTCCCACACAGGGATGGAACCTGCAATCCAGGTATGTGCCCTTGACCAGGAATCAAACCTGTGACTACTCAGTGCACTGCTGACACTATCCACTGAGCCACACCAGCCAGGGCTAAGATGTGATCTTTTTATCATATTTCCCCTTTGCTGCAACATGTGGCTGTGTCCTTGTCCCTACCAGCATCTGACAGGTCTCAGTGTGTGAATAAACCAGTCATATCACACTAAAAATAGTTCTTTTATTATTGAAGAACTGAAAATAGTTCTTTGTCATACTTTTACCAAAAATATTTCTTACATATGAGGGGTTTACCTTGTTTTTTATTTACTTAATGTGGAAAATTGTAAAGTTCTAAAACAATTTCTTAAACTCAGTTATTACCCTGGGGGAAAGGGAGTATCTCAGGACCAATATAACCACATGAGTGTATGACAGTCCCTGAATGTTCTGCTGGTTGGTGACACCTACCTTCTTTCCTGCCAGTTTTATCCGTGGGGTGAAACTGTTACAAAAGAGCTGGCTTTTGGAAGTGTAGAAACTGTAAAAGAAACAAACAGGGTCATTAATCTAAACCTTTTTTTAAAAAAACCTCAAGACAGTGAAATCCCAGCCATGGATCAGCCCTCTCATGAAAGCCTTTGTCTCAAGCCTAACTTCTTTTGTAATGCCTTTGTCTTCCCAAGCCTAACTTCTTTTGTAATGCCTTTGTCTTCCCAAGCCTAACTTCTTTTGTAATGCCTTTGTTTTCCCAAGCCTAACTTCTTTTGTAATGCCTTTGTCTTCCCAAGCCTAACTTCTTTTGTAATGCCTTTGTCTTCCCAAGCCTAACTTCCTTTGTCTTCCCAAACCTAACTTCTTTTGTAATTCCTATAAAACATTAACTATGTTTTAAATTGTGTTCTATCCCCCCACCCCTATAAATTGTTTTGTGCTAGTTCTGATTTCTAAGTGGATTAGAACCTCCTCCTTATGGCAGAGATAAATCTATTTACACCATAATATTTCTTCACCTAGATACTTGACATGATGCTGGGCCCAAGGGAGGTCTTTATTACTCCTTGGTTGATCAGCACTTAATGAGCAAGAATAACCCAGGCAAGAAAATTTAAAAAGTGGCCCTCAAGAAAAGATGGCAGAAACCATGAAGTCTCAATCCCTCTGAAAATCATGTAATGCAGTCATGTCAGGCACACAAGAAAACTAGAGACCCAGCCTTGCCCAGGGTTGAATGAATAAGTGAATAAAGGTTATGCAGCCTTTTCTATTCTTTAGACATCTCTCTGTGTTTTTCTTTTTTAATTAATTAATTTTATTTATTTATTTTTGTTACAGATAACACCCCCCCATTGACACCCTCCTCCTGTTCCCACCCCCATGTTCTTTATTTTAATGTATAGTTAACTTGTGATAACAATGTTATGAATATCCCCATCTCGTATCATAACTCTGATCATAAACAAACAAAAAAGGCAGACAATCAGTGGACTCTGGGGCAATCCTAGTGGCACAGTAAGTACATAAGAACATTAGAATAGTGTCTGCCACAAGACCTAGAGTCCAGCTAGCCTCTGGGACTTGGCCTCTCACAGTGGTACCAAGGAAGATACCAAGTAGAGGAGGCTACTCTCTTTCCAGACATTAATTGTAAAAGCTGAGTGGTGAAGTGATGTCCATCAGAAGAACGGGTTTCTATTACAAAATATGAAATTGCTGTGTTTGAAGGTCTAAGACAGTCTAATATCATAATTTCAAATGGTTCCTATCAATGGCTACAGCTTTGCCATGAACTTGCTGGTCAACCCTCAGCAAGCCCCTTATCCTCTCTGGAACTCGGATTATAAGCTCCAAGACAGATTTCAGTAATATCCTGTGATATCTTCTAAACCCCAGTTTTATAATTCTTATGGATATGGTATTAATTTACTTTTTAAATCCATTTTAATTATTAGCCAATAATACTTCGGGAGTAATAAGCTCTCACTGACGACAGTTTGATTATGCTCAGTAGGGTCTCTGGCCTCACTACAGTGGGAACAATCTGCCTGCTTCTGAAGAGGCTTTGCTGACAGGATGAGAACAATGGCCCCTGTGAGCAGCCACCCATCTCAGGCCACTGTCCTCTTGTTGCTGTCCCCAAGTGCTCAAGCAACAAGGCTCACAATGAGATGTGAAAAACAGGCCTCGGGCCCTCCCAGCTCTCAGATCTTGAAGCCCCTCAGGTGTGGATCTATCTTTCATCTTAACTGGAATCAGAGAACCAATTTAGGATGAAAACAGTGACAAATTGGAACACCTTCAAGTTATTATGAAGATTTGAGAAACTGTAATACTTAAATTCATATACAATTTTGTATGTGTTATAACAACTTTTTCCCTTGATTATTTCCAAAACCATGAAATGTGGTATATAATTAAACAGTAGCTGTTTTCTTATTGGCAAAAGAATCTGAATGTCTATTCAAAGATTACAAATCCAAAAATAATTAGAGGGCTCACAAAAAAAGAAGATACACTGTCTCTGAAATACATGAAAAAGAAATAAGCTCAAAATGCTCCTATTTTGCCTGAACCAAGTTTTTAAAATAATAGCAACAAAAACACAAGATGAGAAAGATTCAGAAGGCATTTCATTATGAAGCAGTCATTTTGTCAAGGTGATGTCAGGCAATACAATGACAACATCTAAAATTGAACATCATTCAACAGTTGTATATTCACACATGTAAAGAAATAACATGGATGACCAGCCAGAGAGTCCCCCTGAAAAGAGTAAGACATACTTAGAACAGGATAATTACAATGTGATCGCTCTATCTTTACGAACTGGCCAAATGACTATTTCTTGCTCATGAAACTGATTCTTAACTGACCAGCAGCAACTATCATACCAGGGCAATGTGGCCCATAGCAAAGTAAAAAAAGACTACAGGCTGAAATCAGCATTTGTGATGAGTTTTCAAGCTGGTCTCCAGCAATGATTTGCAACTAAAAGAAGTTCTGTTGAGCTTGAGGGATGAGCCAAGTGATCTTCTTTTTAAGACAGAGGACCCAGAGAGGGGCAGAATGCTCTGGAAGCACGGAAGAAAACGCGGCTACTGGCTATCAGGGGTAGCACAGGAAGAAGAGAGATGTTAGGGCTGGCCTTTGGGAGGGCAAGGGCAGGTGGAGAGGCCCACTAGGTGGAAAAGCTCACATGTGAGAGTGAGATGTGGTATGTGCCCTGCAGAATGAAAGAGGGCAAGTGGTGGGAGAGGAGTCAAATGCTTAAGTCTGTAGTAAGCCACACAAAAAAACCGGAGGACAGTCATTTTAGTTTCATAAATATGGTTCTGGCAACCAAGTCAAGCAGTGCTTGACAGATGCTGGTCCCCAGACGCCCCGTGCTTCTGGGTGCTACATCGGGGCCTGCAGTGCGAGGCACAGCGGAACACTAACACTTTTTCGCTTTTATATGCTTGGTTCCAAGTAATACTTTTACTTGAAGAAAGGGCCCTGTTGCTTAGGAAAAAGCACCAGTGTAAAGAAGTGATTCTCAATGGGCAGGCAGGAGGGGTTTTGCCACCCAGGGGACATGCGGCAAAGTCTGTAGATATTTTAAAAATTGTTTTTAGTTGCAATGATTTTCCCTCCCTAGTTTCCAAAGGTTTCAAATGAATTCTCCATAAACCTGCAGTCTTTTTTTTAAATCATAAAACATTAAAAAGAAGTAATAGCCCAAGTCTTTTTACTTTCGGCAGGTTTCTTCGAGGACATCTAGTTCTCATAATTAGTTTCCAAAAGGTATGATCTCTACCTGCAGTGTTTCAAAGAAACAACTGAACTTTCTGCAGGATTTTTTATAGGAAAATTTACTTCACCACTGTTTCTGCAGACAATTTTGGTTGTCATAGCTGGGAGTGGGCGCTGTCAGGATCTAATGGGTAGAGGCCAGGGACACTGCCCAACATCCCACAATGCACAGAAAAGCCCCCCAACAACGAAGAATAATCTGGCCCCAAACCTCAGTAGTGTCAAGGTTGAGAAACCCTGGTCTAAAGGATGGACTGAAGGAAAGAGATCAGAAATAGACACACTAAGATCACTGCAGTTGTTCGATAAGATTAGGACTGGGAGAAGGCAGTGGCACAGGCAGAGGGATGAGAGACACCACCTTGAGCTGGACTCAGCAGGAACACTGAGGCCTCGTCTCATGTAAAGAAGGGGCCTGGGGAATTTTCTACACATGGAGGAGGTCAGGCACAATGTTGGTCTGCTGTGGTGTGTGGGAATGGGGAATAATAGGAGCTGGCAACAGTAGCGGAAATAAATCCTTCAAAATTTGCTGTTGTTTTTTTTCACCATAGACTGTTCTTATGTTAATGCCACAGCTCTGCACATAGAGAAGCTATAAGCAAACATTAGAACTTTGGTTTCCACATCCTGACAGAAGTTTTTATAGTAAGAACATAACAGACTTGAAGAGAAAATGGCAAGGAAGTTATTCAAAATTCTTATCACATTCTAGGAATCAAGATCACACCCACCTGTGGTTTATCCAGTGAGGAATATTATAGTCATTGCCCAGACGAGAATCGCAAGGAGCGCTCCGATTATGCAGCTGAAAGAGAAAAAGTCAGGCAAAGATCAGCTAAAAAAAAAACAAGTTTTAATGAAAACTACTGTCAAGATCACCCTGGCCCTGGAAACTGGCCCTTAGTAAGCAATCCAAAATCGAATTACCTTGAACAACGGGACAGCATGTAAAGGTTGCTCCCCCATGCACACCAAGTCCACACCAATTCCTAAGAAAGAAAAGACAGAAAGAGTTTGGATAGGAGAGAGGCGGGGAGAGGCAGAGATAAGTGCTCCAATCTATTATCAATGTTATTTCACTGGATCAGGAGATGAGGCAAAGCCAATTTACCATCCTATGATTTATAATCTCCTCAGTGCTGCCTACGCAGCAAAGAAATAAACAGAACAAAATGTATTTTGTTCTTTCTCTTTCCCTTTACCAAATCCTGTCACACCTGCCACTGTTCAGTGCTTGACAGCCAGCCTCTGCCTTGCAGATCAGGATTCGTCACAAGGACAACCAGGCCTCCATGACTCATGTCAAGGCCCGAAAGGAAAAGGAACCTCATCATCTCAGCAAAAAGCGAAACAATCGACATCACTTAACAGAGCTTCTTTATTGGCAATTAGAGGATTTGCTTTCCCAACCCCATCTTGTTGTTGAAGCACAGATTAAATGGGGGTCTGGGGTGCAAGATGGGGAAGCATGGCACATCACAGAGGGAGGACTGGGCTAGACAGTCTGATGGTACTTCCCATTAGGGGCTGAAGGACACTGGTTCCTTGAAACAATCCCCCCAAAAAGGTTTCTCCAGTATCAAATATGTTTGGGAAACTCAGTACCAGTTAAGTCTTTTAGAGATAAACAGGGCACACAAGTATATTAAAATCTGCAATTAGGGAATGGGTCTAACTGAACATGGCTCAACATCTCCCAAATCAATTTGACCATGGAACTTTTTTTGTCCCAGACCTGCGATGCACGGAGCCAGGGAAAGCTCAGAGGTCTAAGGGTAAGTCAGCACGAACCAGGGAGCATTACCGTTATCTATCATCCGCTGCTTGGTCAAGATCATGAGTAGACGGTCCACTTCAAACACACCCACCCCAGGTGTGATCACCACGGACATCTGCCCAGTTCGGTCAAAGTTGCGGTTGATATAGTGTTTGTCAAACACTTGAAACAAAGCAAAAAGTCCTCCAATGGAGATATTACAGCTTTTCAGAAATCAGCCACTGGCAAGCATCTCTGTGCTCTCAGAGCATTTTATCCATATTTCTTTTATAGCAATTGCCACATTCTGACCTGATTTCTAGTTAGTCATGCTCAAGCCTGTCTTTCCCCTTCTACATTAAGAACTGCTTAACGCTCTGGCCAGTTTGGCGCAGCGGTTAGAGCGTCGGCCTGCGGTCCGGAGAGACTCGGGTTTGGTTCCCGCTAAGGGCACGTACTTCGGTTGCAGTTTGTCTCCGGCCCTGGTTGGTCGTGCGGGTGGCAGCCACTCGATGTGTCCCTTCACGTCGATGTTTCTCACTCTCTCTCCCTTCCTCTCTCTCCCTCCCACTCTATCTGTACAAAAAATGGAAAAATATTCTCGGGTGAGGAAAAAAAATAAAGAACTGCTTAACACAAGACTATGTCACTGTCGCCTTTGTTAATCTCTCTCCATCAATACTTGCCTTGTATAGCCAGCCTTACAGGCTCAAATTTCATGTCATTATTTCATGAGTCTGTACTAAAACTTATAAGGATCAAATATTAATTTTAGACAATATTTAAAAGAGGTGGACCTGAATCTTGTGATGACTTTGTAAATTTGGGAAGTTAATTTTTATTTCTGGGCTGTGTAATTCTTACTCTGGAAAATCAGTGACATTCAAATATGACAAAAAGATTTACTAATGAAAGACCCCATGTTCTAGAATGCCTAGCACCTGAGTGCAGACCCATAGGAAGGTGATAAGCACAGTGAAGTGACCACACATGATCACTTCCACCACTGGCCAGTGCCAGACAGAAGCCTAACTGGAGGTGGTCCAATCAGATGCGCTCTGCTGGGAGTGGGATTCTGAACAAAGAGCAGACAGGGATGCTGGGATATGAACACAGTTCTAGGAATTCCTGCTGCTGCAGTTCCCAGAGCCACCCTGGTCCCCACATTCTTCGGCATGGTATTCAAGCTTTATGACTGCCCTACTGAGCCCCTGATTTCCTTAGAGTACATTTTCCTTTTTGTTTAAATGAACTTATTTGCAAACTAAGTATCTCAGGTAACACATAAAAATAGGGACAAACATTCAGAAGAAATCACATCACACTCTTAACAATGGTCTCTCTTGGAAGGAGCCTGACAATGGAAGGAGGAGGAAGATATTTATTTTTACTCAATATATCTCTCCATTACTTAAATTCACTTTTGTAATTTAAAAAAAAAATAACCTAGGAGCAGTTGAGGGATGGGGTAAAAAACAGAATATATTTTAGTAAAACAAAGAGCATAAGGAAGATTCCCTCCAGCTCTTTCCTCTCAGGTTACCATGAGAAACAGATGAGAACAGCAAGTTAATTTCCCAAAAGAAGACCTCAGAGCTAGATTTCGGCCATCAGAAGTTAATGCTTTCAATTAATTTGGGGGGTAGGTGGTGTGAACATCAACTAGGTCTGGGTCTTTGGGCATTAGTAAAGAGAAGTTCATAGTCGCCCTGGCTGGTTTGGCTCCATGGTTAGAGTGTAGGCCTACAGACTGAAGGGTTGAGGGTTCAATTCCCAGTCAAGGGCGTGTACCTGGGTTGCAGGTTTGATCCCTACCCTGGTGGGGGTTGTGCGGGAAGCAGTGGTTCAACATGTCTCTCTCACATCAATGTTTCTCTCTCTCCTTCTCTCCCTCCCACTCTATCTAAAAAACAATGGATATACATCCTCGGGTGAGGATTGAAATAAAAAGTTCATAGTCACGAGGTCAGCAAGATGCCTGCTCACTGTGGTGGTGTTCTTACTCACCATTGAATGACAGATTGATGGCCTCTAGGTAGTTTCCTTGGGCTGAGGTAGAATTGTCTCCTTGAGGAAAGCCCTCTGAAGCAAAAGACACAAGAGGAGGAAACAGCTCATGAAAGATAAACTCTTAAAAAGCAAGTGGAAGGTGACTGGTTCCAGAGGGCCCCCTACCCTGTAGTAGGGACATTACTGAACCTACTGTAGACGTAGTGAACAATTGGACCTAACCAGAAATAGAAACCTGACAGAAGCAGAAACCACACACAACACTGGAAGGAAAATAAGCTTAACCTTTTCACCTCCCAGCCCCCACCCTACATCTCCTTTCCCTGCCGCACCTTCTAGCACATGGATGCAGTACCTGCCTGTTCCAGTCGCACCAGCACTGGATACTGGATGAAGAGCTTTTTAATGGTCACAAGGAGGGAAGTCCACTCTTCTCTCCTCTCATTCTGTACCACCACTCTGAAAGGAGTATTATCAGAAAACAGATATTGAACCAGTATTACATACAGGACATCAGATCACTAGCAGGGTTACGAGGGAAGGAGAAAATGGGACTCCCAAAGTTAGGGGAATTTACCATATAATTATAAGTGATATAGTCAAATACATTTAACAAACATTAAAAAAGAAATGTAATCACATCAATAGTCACATAGATTGAAAATAAGGTAACATTTAAAAATTGCCTTGAGATTGTATTAATACCCACCATTCAGCTGGGATATGAACATTTCTCATATACTAGATTACAAGTACAATGAAAAGCCTTAATATAGAAGATCCATATATTTGTCTTACATCTATATCCAATAAATATATCTACATCAGGAAACTAGATTGGTGGAAAGGGATGATGAAATCTGAGAAAAGTCTGAAATTTAGTCAATAGTAATGTTCTTGTAACTTATACCTTGGTTATGAAATGTTAACAGAAAAATTAGATGAAGGGTATATGGGAACTCTGGATTATCTTTGCAACTTCTTTGCAAACCTAAAATTATTCTAAAATAAAAAAGGTTAAATTTTTTTTAAAGCTAGGAAAGAGTCTGGCCAGTGTGGCTCAGTGGTTAAGTGTTGTCCCATGGACTGAGAGGTCCCAGTTCGAGTCCCAGTCAGGGAACATGCCCATGTTGCAGGTTTGATCCCCAGTGAGGGGCATGCAGGAGGCAGCTGATCATGATGTTTCTCTCTCATACTGATGTTTCTATTGCTCTCTCCCTTCCTCTCTCTCTCTCTCTCTAAAAAAAATCAATAAAAACATATTTTTAAAAGTTTTTTTGAAGTTAGGAAAGAAATCATCAAACACAGGGTTGGGAGAGGGGGCTAGTAAAGGACCCAAAACATACTTATAAAAGTCTTCATAGAATCGCCCCTTGTGATCCTGTCGAATCGAGGCTCGGTTTACTTCAGGAAATTCATCTGAAACAGAGAAAACAAAGTATGTAGATCAGATTGAAAAGAGAAACTCACAATTTCTCTGCCCCCACTTCTGGGTTGAACATTTGCATCACAAAAATAAATAAATATAATTATATATCTATTAAATTGTTTTTAAGACGAATCACAGCCCACAGACTTCTTGCATCTACTAATGGACTATGCCATTTGCTATTTGCAAAAGGAAAGAAGATAATAAGGACTGAATGGGGGTGGGGTGTGAGAAGCAAAATAAAAAAATAACTGGGAGAAAGACTGACTCACCAAGAGATTTTGCATCATAGAAAGTTCTAGAAAATAGGACCACTGTCACTTCATGACTACAGTTCTTCTCCTAGGCATGAGTAGAGAAAAAGAAGGCTCAGGTTTATTCCATTTACTTCAGTATGAAGCAACCTACATGAACAGAGTATTCTCAGTTCTAGGAGGCATCATGGCAGTATAGCATTAGATAACATCAGGTAATTATAGGTTGCATAATGTAATGAACAGAGCACTCCTGGGAGTCAGAAGACATGGATCCAGCCATGGCTCTGAAACTTACCCTACATGTAAGTACCTAAAGTTCCAGGAATGTGGCAAATGCTCTGAAAACTGCAAATCACCTAAAAGTATAGGTCCCCGACTCCAGCTTTTGATTTGGCATGAAATCAGCCCAGAGGATCATGGGATTTGTATCTGCTTCAGTATTTTTTAATTTCTACGTATGTGTAGTTTAGGGAACAAGAACAGAACTGATGGTGGCAGAAGAAAGAATCAAAGACACGACACTCCCACATCCTCCCATTGTGATAGGATGAGGACTGGGGGCTGCTCCAGATGTAGGGGTTAAAGCCAAGACAATGAATTACCTTTAGACTGGGACAAGGACTAGTGAGAATCAACATTTCCATGGAGTCTGGAGATCAATGTTCTGGAAGTAGAGTGTTTACAGATGGCATAAAATTTGGCTTGCACCAGGGAGCCAGCAAGCTGTTTCAGCCCCTGGATCTTTGAAAATAACAGCCTATACTGACCAGCCATCTCTAACCCAACTGTACTTACTGACTACACAATTCAGCATTCACCATATAAGGTATACAACATGACCCTATCTATCCTTCCATGGATCTACCTCAAATGAACAGAAATTCCTAAATATAGGCCGCAGTACCAACAGCAGAGTTCTACGAAAGAACAGACCTTCATTAGATACCAACTAATTTATTGGACTCCAGTGCTCCAAAGTCAGCATCTTTATCTGATTTTGCTATAAGTGATATACAGAAAAGATGTCTTACAATGGGCTGGTATGAGCATATGAGCCTCTTAACTCATGTGTGATGGGAAAGATACACAACAATGGTGACATGGCCTGGGATTACAGAAACAGACAAGACAGCACAGGAGTTATGATCTTAGGCTAGCTCTGGGTGAATGGATGGAACAAGCTTTGAATCCTCAGTCTACTTTTACAGGCTGCTGATCATGGATAAGTTAACTAACTTCTTAGGGCTGTACTTCCCCTACCTATGTAACAGGAACAAGAGAATTAAGTGAGATAATATGAGTAAAACACCATGATACCTGCTATGTCAAAATAATAAATATTAACTAGGAGTACTACTATTACTCCTACCACCACTATATTTCAGGCTCAGAAATGAATTAATAAATTCCCATGCTCAATCCTGCTGTTCAACAGGATATATGAATAACTTTCACCAAACTTCATTAAATCAATAGTGTGAATACAGAAAGTTATTTCCAGTTTTTGCTTTATAACCAATTTCTTGATTAAAGAAAAATAAACAAGTCCTAAGAGCAAAGTCCTGTAAACTAAGGACTGGGCTTATGTTATATCTTGTCCCTACATTTAATCATACATACACTCACAAAGTCTTAAGTTAGGAGACATCTAAAGGACCATATAGCCAGACTTGAAATGGAGGTTTGCATGGACCCAACACTGAAATGGCCATTATGTGGTCCTAGGTGACCATTATTCAACCCACTCCTAAGGCCTGGCTTCCTGCAGCCCCTGTTGTTTGTGCTCTCCTCAGACCCCATACTCAGGCAGACTCAAAGGCCTGATCACCCTTAAGCCACATGACTGCAGAAGCGTCCTGGATGGTCTGCTTAATTCCATCTAGTCTGTCCCTTCACCAAATTGCTTCTGGCCACTAGGCTATTCTTCCTCAAATTCTCTCCAACTTTGATCACATTGACCCCCCCTACTGGAGAATCTCTATAGCTCCCAGTTCTTATCAACCTGTTCAATCTAACCTGTCGGCTTGACCTGACCTTATCCTTCTAATCCAATCTTGTTACTTCATTGTTCCCCTCACAAACTCTGTGGAGTCACCTAAGACCACATCCCATTCTCACACTTATTTTCATTCTTCTGCTCCTATGTTTCTCTTCATCTGAAATGACCTCAGTCCTCCTTTCCAACCCTCTGAGCCTTCCTCAGTCTTCCAGGTCCAAACTCAAAAGTAAACAAAATTCTAACCCCTAAAATGTATGGCTAAAATAATAATAAGACGAAGAAGAAGAATAAAATCAATTAATTAAATGTATGGTTAGCTGTTGTTTCAAATACATATATCCAATCTCCCCAGCAGGTCTGCAAGTTCTCTGAGGGCAATCACCATATTTCTATTTCTTTAACCTTCAGAGCTGAAGGATCTTTTCCCTATATTGCTGAGGAAAGAGAATGAGACCCCAACCCTACTGAGACTTTACTATGTGCAGACAATTTAAAACACCTTGTGGCGTAGGGATTATTATTCTCTCCATTTTGCAGATAAGAAAATAGAGGCTCAGAGAGACTGAGTATTTTTTTTTTTCATTGAATGTTGATTTTTATTTTATTTATTTTTATTTTTTTATTACTTAATTTTTGTTACAGATGTTTCTCCTTTTTCCCCCACTGATTCCCCCTCCCCCTCCCTCCCTGCCCTGTCCCCCTGAGTACTTCTTAAATACAAAAAAGCAGAACCATAATTTGAAATCCAGTCTGTTTTAATCCAGACTCCATGCTCTTTTCTGCTACATATGTGACCTCAAATACTTCTTGATCAGGATGATGTTTCCATGTGAAATCAGGGTAGGGTAACTGATTACAGTAATTTTTGGTGTTTTTTTAAACTGTGTTAAAATACATATAACATAAACATTACCATTAGTGACATTTAGTACATTAACAATGTTGTGCAACAATCACCACTATCTAGTTTCAGAACATTCCCATCCTTCCAAAGGGAAACCCCATACTGATTAAACAGTCATGCCCCAGCCCCAGGCCCTGGCAGCCATGAATCTATTTTCTGTCTCTATAGATTTCCCTATTCTGCACATTTCATATAAACAGAATCTTATACTATGTGGTACTTTATGTCTGGCTTCTCTCACTTAGCATATGTTTTCAAGGTTCATCCATGTTGTAGCACTCCCCTGTATGACTGAATAAAATTACGTTCTATAAATAATACCACATTTTGTTTATCCATTCATTTAGCTGACAAACATTTATGCAGTTTCCACTTTTTGGCTATTATGAATAATGCTGCCATGAACATTCACATATAAATTCCTGAGTGAACATATTTTCAGTTATTTTGGGTATTTACTGAAGTATGGAATTGCTGGGTCATATAGCAATTATTTAACTTATTGAGGTGCTGCCAAACTGTTTTCCTCAGCAGCTATACCATTTTACATTCCCAACAGAAATGTACAAGGCTTCCAATTTCTCCACATCCTTTCCAGCACTTGTATATTCCATTTTAAAAAGTATTATAGTCATCCCAGGGGATATGAAGTGGTATTTCATTGTGGCATTAGTTTGTATTCCCCTCATGACTAATGACCTTGAGCATCATTTCATGTGTTTATTGCCACTTATATATCTTCTTTGAAAAAATGTTTATTCAAGTCCTTTGCCTATTTGTTAATTGGGTTGTTCCCTTTTTGCTGTTGAGTTGTAAATGTTCTTTATATATCCTAGATACTAGACTCTTATCAGATAGATAATTTGCAAATATGGTCTTCCATTCTGTGTGTTGTCTTTTCACTTTTTTGGTAGTTCCTTTAATGCACAAAAGTTCTTCATTCTAATGAAGTACATTCAATTTATATTTCTTTGGTTGCTTGTGCTTCTGGTGTCATATCTAAAAAACCCTTGCCAAATCCCATGTCATAAACATTTCAGTTTTGTTCTCTTCTAAGATTTTTATGGTTCTAGTCCTCATATATAGGTCTTTGATCCATTCTGAGTTCATCTTTTTTATATGCTGTGAAGAAGAGTCCAAATTTATTCTTTTACATATGGACATTCAGTTATCTCAGAACCATTGCTGAAGAGACTATTCTTTGCCTCACTGAATGGACTTGACACCCCTGTCTAAAATCAAGAGCATAGATGTATAGATTGATTTCTGTACTCTCGATTCTATTCCACTGATCGATAATATGTCTATCTTTATGCCAGTACCACACTGCTTTGAGTATTAACTTTGGCATGAGTTTTGAAATGAGAAAATGACAGTCCCCCAACTTTGTTTTTCTTCAAGATTATTTTGGTTCTTCATGATCCCTACAATTCCACATAAATTTTATAATCAGCTTTTCTATTTCTGGAAAAAATAAAAGCCACTGGAATTTTGATAGGAGCTGTACTGAGCTGTACCTTGCTTTGGGTAGTACCGCCATTTTAACAATATTAAATCTTCTAATCCATGAACATGGGTTAATTTTCATTTATTTGGGCCTCTGTTAATTTCTTTCAACAATGTTTTGTAGATTTTATTGCACAAGTCTTGCACCTCCTTCGGTAAATTATTCCAAAGTATTTTATGCTGTCTGATGTTCTTATAAATACAATTGTTTTTTACTTCCCCTTTAAAAATTTAATTCCTTGTTTAATTTCCTGTTCAATTGTTCATTGCTGATGAAACATGACTGATTTTTGTGTTGATTTTGTATCCTACAATTGTGCTGAATTCATTTATTAGCTCTAACAGATTTTTTAATAGATCTTTTTAAGGATTTTTCTACATATAGGATGTCATCTGTCTTTTTTTCCAACAAGGATGCCTTCTATTCCCCCTTTTTTTTTTTTTTTTCATATTTATTGATTTTAGAAAGAGAGAGGGAAGAGGGAGAGAGAGAGCTCTGTTGTTCCACTTTGTTGTGCATTCATTGGTTGCTTGTTGTATGTGCTCTGACCAGAGATCAAACCCGAAAACTTGGCACATCGGGATGACACTCTACCCAAATGAGCTACCTGGCCAGGGCCACTATTTCTTTTTCTTACTTAGTTATTCTGGCTAGAACTTCTAGTATGACATTGAACACCAGAGGTGACAGTAAGCATCCTTAGCCTGTTCCTGCTCTTAAGGAGAAAAGTTTTCAGTCTTTCATCACTGGGTATGATATTAACTATAGGTTTTTCATGAATGCCATTTACAATGTTGAGATTATTCAAGTAATTTAAATCTAGAGTCTTATCAATTTAGGCTTTAGCTAAGATACCTCAATTAAATGTAGCTCAATAGCCCTGGCCAGTTTGGCTCAGCGGTTAGAGTGTTGGCCTGTGGACCAGAGAGTCCCGGGTTCAGTTTCCACTAGGGGCATGTACCAAAAATAAATAAATAAATAAATAAATAAATAAATAAATAAATGTAGCATAATAAAAATAGCATATTTTTAAAATCTGCATTGAATAATGTTTGCTCAATGAGACTTAGTGCATAAGAAGAAATGTACCTTCCACTTGGTAAAGAGATCGGCAAGGAAACCATTCACAGCTTTCTCAAAATACAGATCCCCTGAAAAGGAACAAGAAGAGGGTGAGGATTATCTTTAATTATTACTTACAATTTCTTCTCTCAGTAAAGTAACAGGAATGGGACTAGTCAAAGAGAATGTGGGTTCTGTTTATGATCCTAAATCAAGATCATAAAAGCCAGATATATATAAATGGTTTCGACCTAGACTGTCTGTGGAGTCAAATTTAACATTTACCTCACTCAGTAAGAGGCCATGGCTTCAAGGTAAAATGCAAGATTGAAAAAGCTTGATGACTGGAAAATATGGTACATCTTCAAAATAAGAGAACCATCTAATTTCCAAACATGATTATTTTCATAGTGATGCTTACAGTTTGCTAGTAGATGACCTGGTAGACCCTGGGCATTCACTGAATTACCATTTTCAGTTCTTGCTGTTTTTGAGTGACCTTGATGACCCACAGCAAAATTTACTTTATAATTTTGCTAAAAACAAATCTAAATTATATGCACCATGAAGCTGGTGTGTTGGACACAGTATCCACATCTCACAGCAGCTTCACTGTTCTCTACTTATTGTGTAGTAATTCTAATAAAAAGACAAATTTGGTAATTTCTGTGATGATAGGACGAGCAATGAACGATCAAAGAAACTGTTGGTTCCTCGCCAGAGAGTCACTCTCTTTCTCTATGACTTTTGAGCCTGTAGTTGCAGAACAATTAAAGATCTACTGACATTATAAGTGATGGTGCTTTTATCTTTTTTGTTAACCTTTTAATACTTCACCACATATCATGTAATTCACTATATACATATAAAAGATATAAAATGTTTGTTTTAGCCTTTGAGGATTTGAAAAAAATCTCAGGACACATCATTAGAAAATGTCAAGAGCTTACTGTAAATGACAACAACCTGGGAGAAACCAGAAACTTCTCCCCATTAGCAGTTACAACCAGCATTTAGGAACAGTACCATAAATATCAAAATCCCACATTTCACAGCTCATCTGAATAAATATGTAAACCATAGCCGACGTAGAACGGAACACCACCTGAAAGTAAAAAACACATAATTGCATTTAAAAAAAAAATGATGTAGAGTTTCAGTTCTGTAAGACAAAAAAGTGCTGGAGATCTGTTTCACAACAATGTAAGTATACCTAACACTACTACTCTCGCTATCTCTCTCACTCTACTCCTCCCTCCCGCCCTTCTACTCTCCTCTAAAAAAAAAAAATCAATAGAAAAAAGATCCTCGGGCCCTGGCCGATTTGGCTCAGCAGTTAGAGTGTCGGCCTGCGGTCTAGAGAGGCCCAGGTTCGGTTCCCACTAAGGGCACGTACCTCGGTTGCAGTTTGCCCCTGACCCTGGTTGGGTCGTGCGGGAGGCAGCCACTCGATGTGTCCCTTTCACATCGATGTTTCTCTCTCTTTCTCTTCCTCACTCTCCTTCCCACTCTATCTGAACAAAAAATGGAAAAATGTCCTCGGGTGAGGATTAAAAAAAAAGATCCTCGGGTATGGATTTTTTTTTTCTTTATTGATTTCTAGAGAGAGAGGAAGGGACAGGGAAAGAGAGAGAGATAGAAACATCGATGAGAGCCCTAGCCAGTTTGGCTCAGCGATTGAGAGTCGGCCTGCGGACCAGAGAGTCCCGGGTTCAGTTCCTGCCAGGGGCACGTACCACACACACACAAAAAAAATACATAAAAAGAAACATCGATGAGAGAGAACATCCATTGGCTGCCTCTTAATGCCCCCAACTGGGGATCGGGCCCACAGCCTTGGCATGTACCCTGACTGGGAATCAAACTGGCGACCTCTTGGTGCATTGGTCAATGCTCAACCACTGAGCCACACCTGCTGGGCCTCGGGTGTGGATTAAAAAAAAAAAACAATGTTAACTGTGATCATCTCTGGGTATTGGCATTGAGTGATTTTTTGGATTGCCTTTTAAAATTTGAAATATTTCAGAGAAACAAACAGAAAGATACACTAAATTTTTAATAATAAAGATACAATGATCTTACAATTAAAAAAGTTACCTTTTAAAGATAACTTCTTAGGCAAAATTATTCTAGAGACAGAAGCAGATCAATGGTTGCTGTGTGTATGGGGGATACTGACAGCAAAGGGGCACAAAGGAACTTTCTGGGGTGATGGAAATGTTCTATATTTTATCGTGGTGCTGGTGGTATATATACATTTATCTAAATTCAAACTATACACATATAATGGATGTGTTTTACCGTATAAAAATTATGTTTTATTAAGTAGATTTAAAAGATACTTTTCTAACCCAGCCAGTATGGTTCAGTAGTTGAGTGTCCACCCATAGACCAAGAGATCCCAGGTTCAGTTTCCGGTCAGGGCATGTGCTCAGGGTTTCAGGCTCAGTCCCTGGTGGGGGTCGTGCAAGAGGCAACCAATCAATGTTTCTATCTCAGATCTCCCTCTCCATTAAAAAAAAAAAAAAAAAAAAAAAATTAAATAAAAAATACTTTTCTAAATATGGTTAACAAATTCCATATTTATAAAGAGTGTGTGTGTGCATGAACATAAATATCTAAAGTGCTATTTTTATTTATATGTGTATTTTAACATTTTGAAGCATTTACTGTATTTGAATGTCTTAGAGATACTTTGAAAAATTCTAATTAATGCCAATTAGAACAGTACATGTGTCCTTCACTTTGAAACTGTAAAAGTGTCAATTACTGTTATATTCAAATTACCCCCCTAACGATCCTTTCCTTTTTTGTTGTTGTTTAGACTTTTTAAAGATAAAACTCACATAACAAAATATTCACCATTTCTAGTGAATTCAGTGGTTTTTAGTATATTCACAATGTTATGCAACCATCAGCACTAATACCAGAACATTTTTATCACTCCAAAAAGAAACACCATACCCATTAGTAGTTACTCCCTCTTACCCTTACCCCGGCAACCACTAATCTACTTTCTATCTCTGTGGATTTGTCTTTTGTGAATACTTCACATAAATGGAATCATACAATATGTGATCTTTTGTAACTAGTTTCTTTCACTTAGCATAATGTTTTCAGCCATAGTGTTGCATGAATCATCACTTCATTCTTTTCTTATTGAACAACATTCCATTGTATGGCTACACCATATTGTGTTTATCTGTTCATCAGCTCATGGACATTCCTAGTTTCCATTTTTTGGTTATTGTGAATAATTCTGCTACAAACATCTGTATGCAAGTTTCTGCATGAACATCTATTTTCAATTCTATCAGGCATATACCTAAGAGGTAATGGCTGGGTCATTTGGTAATTCTACATTTAATCTTCTGAGGAACTACCAAACTGTTCCACGGTAGCTTCACCATTTTACATTCCCCCACCCCCACCCCAGAAGTGTATGCAGGTTCAAATTTCTCCATATCCTAATGCTTGTAATTTTTCCTTTAAACATTATTTTTTCTTTATTGATTTTAGAGAGAGAGGGAGAGGGAGATAGAAACATCAATGAGAGAGATCATCGATTGGCTACCTCCCGCAGGCACCCCACTGAGGATCAGGTCCATAACCTGGGCATGTGCCCTGACCAGGAATTGAACCAGCAACCTCTTGGTGCATGGGTCAGCGCTCAACCACTGAGCAACAATGGCCAGGCCTAAAATTTTTTATTTTTATTATGGCCATCCTACTGTATTTGAGGTGGTGTCTCAGTGTGGTTTTGATTTACATTTCCCTAATGACTAATGATATTAAGCATCGTTTCACGTGTTTATTGGCCAAGTGTATAGTTTTTTTTTTTTGGAAAAAAATGTCTATTCAAACCATTTGCTCATTTTTATTTTTTGTTATTCCTCACCCAAGGATACTTTTCTATTTATCATCAGCTAGATTGGGAGGGAGGGAGAGAGAAAGAAAGAGACAGAGAGAAACATCAAATGTATGGAGCCACATCGAATGGTTGCTTCCCGCATAATCCGACCAGGGCCAGAGACGAATGGCAACTGAGGCACGTGCCTTTCACCAGAATCAAACCCAAGACTCAGTGGTCCGCGGGCCAACTCTCTAACTACAGAGCCAAACCAGCTAGGGCAAATTTGCTCTTTTTTTTTAAATCCTCACTCGAGGACATTTTTGCATTTATCTTCAGACAGAGTGGGAGGGAGAAAAGGAGAGAAAGAGAAAGAGAAACATTAATAAAAGAGAGACACATCAAGTGGCTGCCACCCACATGACCTCAACCGGGGCCAGGGACAAACTGCAACCGAGGTACGTGCCCTTAGCGGGAACCGAACCCAGGTCCGCGGGCCGATGCTCCAACAGCTTAGCCAAACCGGCCAGGGCAATTTGCTCATTTTTTAATTAGGTTGTTTGTCTTCCTTCTTTTTTCTTTTTCTTTTTTTTTAATCCTCACTCAAGGATACTTGTCCATTGATTTTTTTTTTTTTTTTTTTGGTATGTGCCTCTAGCGGGAACTGAATCTTGGACTCTAGTCCGCAGGCCAATGCTCCGACCACTGAGCCAAACCGGCCAGGGCTCCGTTTATTTTTTTTAGATAGTGTGGAAGAGCGAGCGAGAGAGAGATCAATGTGAGACAGACACATTGATTAGTTGCTTCCTGCACGACGCTGACCAAGGCCAGGGATTAAACCTGCAACTCAGGTACATGCCCTTGACCAGGAATTAAACCTGCGACCTTTTGGTCCTCTGGCCAAGGCACTAATGGCTGAGCCAAACCAGCCAGGGCATGTTTTCCCTCTTTTTTTTTAAGTGAATCAATCATTTACTGTATCTCAATATCTTTAAAGACACTTTCAAAAATTCTAGTTAATGCTAGTTACAACTTTTTCTATCGTATTTTAATATTTATATAGAAATATAGCCATATCTATACAATACAGTTAATGTCATTCTTCATTTAGAATTTGGGGGTGCTTTTTGTTATTTCATTATAAAATTTTCAAACATACAAAAAATTTTTTGAAAAATCATACAGCAAACACCCACATACCCACCACCTAAATCCTGTACTGAACATGACATTTGCTTTACCATTTACCTATCACCATCTAACTATCTGTTTATGTATCGATCAATCCATCTTATTTTTTCTATCTAAAAATAACTTGCAGACATCAATACTCCCTTTCTTTTCATGTTTGTTTCTTCTAATGTTTGTGGGCTGGAAAACCAGGTAATTGAACTGGTTATAAAGTTTAACATAAGAGAGCTTTGTGCCATTAGTTAAACTTTACAGTGTTGATTTCTTTTCGTACACTCAACTCTTGTTTTCCTAATCAGAGTATGAATTCTTGAATGGGGAAAGCAGGTCTAAAATTTCATTCAACAAATATTTGACAGACTGCTAAGTGCCAGGAACCATGCCAGAGAACTTTGGGACATAAAAGTAAGATACAGTCCTTGCCCTCACAGTACTTGCATTCTAGTAGGAGGCACGCAAACAAACCACAGTGTGATAAGTACTAACATACCCACATGTCCGGGGCATTACGGGGGAACTTCCACCTGATGGAACCAAGGCTTTCCAGAAGCATGAAAGCCTGAGACTAATGCTGAGAGGTGGATAAGTGGCTTGGGAAAGGGAAAAGGCAGAATCTATCCCAGGTGGGAAAGAGCAGCCTACCCAAAGACACAAAGGCAAGAAAGAACACGGAATGTTTGAGGAACAAGTTATGGTTCCCAGGGCTAGGATTTATTGGGGATGGAGATATGGGAGAAGTGATTAAATGAACTCCAGACTCAACTGCCTCCCCTGATTCCTCCACTCAGATGTCCAACAGGCACTTCACAAACTGAGATTGTTAATTTCCCCCAACCATCTCCTCCCCAGTCTTCTCCATCTCTTATATGTTACATGATCTATCTACACAGCTGCTCAGTTCTCTTTCTTTCACTCCTCATATCCAATACATCAGCAGGTTCTGTGGATTCTACCCCAAAAGTATCTCAAATCTGCCCATGTCTCTTCATTGCTACAGCTCCCACCCAAGTCCATGCCACCATCTTCTAACTCCCTAACTCGTCTGCTTCTACTCTTGTCCCTACAAAGAACTCTCTACATCAGAGCCAGAGGGGTGACAGCAGGTACTACGGATGCCTATCAAATATCCTTCCTTCCCAAGGAACAAGAAACTGATTCTATTCTGGGAGGCAAGGGACCCAACCAAAGGACTAAAATAAACCTCCCATTCCCCTAAGCAGCTACATTTGACTAAATTCTGGCCAATAAGATGTAAGTGGGACAATGCACCCCTCTTTCTCACCCCACCCCCTGCATAAAATATGGACATGGCTACAGCAGCTCCAGATGGATCATGGAAGCCCAATCCTGAGTATGGCCCAACAGGAAGACAGAAAGGAACCTTAGATCACCAATAATTGTGACATTGTCATACCAGTCATGAACTGCCTACTCCTGCACTTTTTTCTTTTTTTTTGTAATTTTTTTTCTTTATTGATTTTAGAGAGAGAAGGGAGAGGGAGAGAGAGATAGAAACATCGATGACAGAGAACATTGATTGGCTGCCTCCTGCATGCCCTCCACTGGGGATTTGGCCCACAACCAGGGCACATGCCCTGACCGGGAATCGAACCAATGACCTTTTGGTGCATGGGTGCACGCTCAACCAGTGAGCCACACCGGCCAGGCGCACTTCTTTTATAAGAGAGAAAAAAGCTGACCTTTAAGCATCAATTAGCCACTGTTACTTTGTTTTTTTTATGCAAAAAAATTCAACTGAATGACTAAGTCATCTTTTAGAAACATAATTCATGTATCACACCCACACTTAAAACCCTTCAATGAATTCTAATTGTCCTGAGACTAATGGCCCTCAAGGCCCTGCATGAATTGGCTGGAACCTGCCTACCTCCTCACCAACATCCTTCCCCTAATTGTCTCCTATGTTTCTGCCACAAGGGCCTTTTAAATTGCTCCCTCTACCTGGAACACTCTTTGCCTCAACCTCCACAAGCTGGTTAAGTCTCACCTTTCCAGTACCTTCTCAAAGAAGCCTTGCCTGCCACCTTTATAAAGAAAGTTCTCCAGAGTGGTGTACAGACTGACAATCCCCAGAAGAGGGGGTGGTGGGGGAGAGATAAACCATAGAACTTACATACAGAAACAATGGACATGGACAACAAAGCTGGGGACAGGGCAGGGAGGGAGGGGGAAGGGGAAATTAGTGGGGGGGGGGGGACATCTGTAACAAAAATTAATAAAAAAAAAGAAAAAAGAAAGAAAGTTCTCCAGTTATTCTCTACTCAATGCCCTGTTTCCCTAAGAATTTTTCATTTATCTCATATGTTCACCAAGGAGTCCACCTTCAGTTAGTTCTTCTCAATACCCAATTAATTTCCTTTGAAGTTCTCACCATAATCTGTAATTACCACATTTATGAACTAGGTGTCTAGTTACATCTGTCTCCCTACTAGGGGATAAGCTCCTTACCAGGAAGGATCTTGTTTGTGTTGTTCACCCATGAATCCTTGGGAATGGGGATTCCCTTCCCCCTTTGAATTCCCCTCTAGAATGAAGGTTGTTCACTGATAATGTTCTGTACCACTTTTTTTTTTTTAATGGAAAGAAAGCCCAGTAACTAACACATAAGAGGTACTTCCATATTATTTGTTAAACAAAGGATGGATGAGGCTGAAGAGGTAAGCAAATGCCAAATCATCAAGGTCTTTGGAAGTCATGCTTAAGAGTGAATTTCTAGAAAACTGGGGGGAAAGCAAATTAAGATCACTATAAAATACCAATGTATACCCACTAGAGTTGCAAAAACTTTAAAAATTTAAGACCAGGTGCTGGAAAAAGTGAATAAAACACAGAAGACTTTATATATTGCTACTAGGAATATAAACTGATCCAAAGAATTCACAAAATAATTTGGCATTACAGAGTGAAACCTATAACCCAGCAAATACACTCCTAATTATAGATTTAAAATATAGTATGAGCCCTGGTCAGTTTGGTTCAGCGGCTAGAGCATCGGCCTGCGGTCCAGGGAGACTTGGGTTCAGTTCCTGCTAAGTACCTCAGTTGCAGTTTGTCCCTGGCCCTGGTTGGGCCCTGTGGGAGGCAGCCACTCGATGTGTCCCTTTCACGTCGATGTTTCTCTCTCTCTCTCTCTCCCTCCCACTCTATCTGAACAAAATATTGAAAAATGTCCTTGGGTGAGAATTTTTTAAAAAACGAAAAAAATTAACTAATTAATTAATTAAATAAAATTTTAATTGGAAAAAATAATTTTAAAAATAAAATATAGTATTGAGTACAGCCCCGCCAATATGGCTCAGTGGTTGAACGTCAACCTGTGCACCAAGAGGTCGCTGGTTCGATTCCCGATTAGGGTACATGCCCAGGTTGTGGGCACAATTCCCAGTGGGGGGCATGCAGGAGGCAGCCAATCAATATTCTCACTCATCAATGTTTCTCTCTCTCCCTCTCCCTTCCACTCTCTCAGAATCAATAAAGAAAAAACTAAAAGCAAAACAAATAATATATTACTTGAGTAAAATATACTGGGGTGGGCAAAAGTAGGTTTACAGTTGTGAGTATGCAGAACAGTTTATTCTTGTATTAGTTATTATGTATTACTTCATGTTTTTCCATACAAAGAGCTGTAAACCTACTTTTGCCCACCCTGTATATGTATTACCACTATGTAAACAATAAGGAAATTACAAATATAAAATTCAGAGGTTACCTCTGAAGGTACTGGCTCTCAATCGGAGCAATTTTGCTCACTCAGAGGACATTTGGTAATGTCTAGAGACATTCTGGTTGTCATGACTTGCATGGCATTTAGTGGGTAGAAGCCAGGGATGCTGCTAAACATCTCACAATGCACAGAACAGCAACATTAAGACCAACATTAAGACCAGCATTTCTTTATTGGCTGTCCTATACATTGAAGCATGTTTAGCAGTACCCTCCACACACCGCTAAGCTGTGAGAAGCAAAAATGTCTCCAAACACTGCAAGACCCCTGGGGAGGCCATATCTCCCCAAGCTGAGAACCACTGCTCTCAGGGGAGACAGGTGGGTGGTTTCACCACCATGGGTAATGGTCACAGCTGTTAAGTTTGGATTTTTCCAACCAGAATAAAGAGAAAAGGAGATTCATTTGCAAAGGTCTCGCTTCATGTTTACCAACACAATCTTCTACCATGTCTAACTTTTCCTATGTATTAGTGGGCAGAGAGGCCTGCAAGTTAGACACTACATCTCTACATCTGATATTAAACAGACCTTCTTCAGAAGAAGAAAATGAAGATTAACCCCAAATTGAACAGCTCCAATTGTAAAATATTAGAGTATCAGGAGTCCCTGACAATATTACAGTATAGTCCACCTGGTAGGCAGACAGACAGTAGCCATCATGAGAGTATGAAGTTTTTGCTTATTTCTGTTTTGTTTTTTAATTCAGGACTCAGACATAATGATTTGGAAAAACAACACCAAAAAAGCATTTTCTCAATCTTACCCTGGTATCTTCACTGATATAACCACACATGACCTTCTCATTCTTGACCCACAGCTCACCAGCCTGTGCCCTGAAAGGAGAAACCACACACAAGTTATTACAAGTCTTACATGAACCACAAAGAAACAGTGGTGACTTCAGGGTGACTCATTCTACTCTGTTACTTATACCCAAATGACCTGGTCACACATAGATTTCCAGAGATAGTGCCATGAACAGATTACAAAATATCAAGAATTCTTAGAGCATATTGAATATGTACAATAGGAGCTATAAATCTGAGAGTCCATAAACAACATGAGGCTCTAAAAAAAGGGCTTCAGGGCCCGGTCGGTGTGGCTCAGTGGTTAAGCATTGACCCATGCACTAAGAGGTCACTGGTTTGATTCCCGTCAGGGCACATGCCCAGGTTGTGGGCCCGATCTCCAGTGGGGGGCATGCAGGAGGCGGCCAATCGATGTTCTCTCTCATCGATGTTTCTATCTCTCTCTCTCCTTCTCTCTTCCTCTCTCTCTAGAATCAATAAAGAAAAAAAAGAATTAAAAAAGGGCTTCACCGCCTGCGGTCCGGAGAGACCCGGGTTCGGTTCCCGCTAAGGGCATGTACCTTGGTTGCAGTTTGTCCCCGGCCCTGGTTGGTCGTGCGGGTGGCAGCCACTCGATGTGTCCCTTTCACATCGATGTTTCTCACTCTCTCTCTCCCTCCCACTCTGTCTGTACAAAAAATGGAAAAATGTCCTCGGGTGAGGATAAAAAAAAATTAAAAAAAAAAAAAAAAAAAAAAAAAATGGCTTCAGGCCCTGGCTAGTTTGGCTCAGCAGATGGAGCATCAGCCTGCGGACCAGAGAGTCCTGGGTTCGATTCCCGCTAGGGGCACGTACCAAAAAAATAAAAAAGGGCTTCAGGGAACCCATGAACCCTCTGAAATGATGCAAAATTTTCTAGGCAGAGTATTATAGCTTTTGTCAAATCTTAAAAGAGTCCATGTCATAAAAAAACAACTAAGAAGAACGGATGAACAATTTTGCTAATCCCAGCTTTAACACAATGAGTTCCAAAAGGAACAAAATCCATCTTAATATCAGGATTAGAAGACAAGTGGTTGGGAGGCAGAAAAGATGGGGTCCCTATTCAATGGAGGTCATTCTGGTGAATAATTTCCATGGCAACTTGCTATTGTACTTTGGGAGCTTGTTGTTTTCCCCTTTGCAACTTAAGATTGTGAAATGGATAGTACAGTGAAAGAACATGGCCTTTAGAGCTGACGAGCCTGGAGTGAAATTGACCTAGGCAGGAATCTCAGTTCAGTAACTCTGTGAGGCTCAGTGTCCTTAAAAAATGAGATATAGCCCTGGCCAGTTTAGCTCAGCAGTTAGAGTGTCCACCTACAGACCAAAGAGCCATGGATTCAATTCCGGTCAGGGGCACATACCTTGGTTGCGGTTCGTCCCCAACCCTGGGTTGTGCAGGAGGCAGTCAATGTGAACCTCTCACGTCGATGTTTCTCTCTTCTCCCTCTCTTTCCCTCCCTCCCACTCTATCTGAAGATAAACAGAAAAATATCCTTGGGTGAGGATTAAAAAATAAATTAGATATAGAGCCCGGCCATTCTGGCTTAGTGGATCAAGTGTCGTCCCATGGACTGAGAAGTCCTGGGTCTGATTCCTGGTCAGGGCACATGCCAGGGCTGTGGGCTCAATTCCCAGTAGGGGTGTGCAACAGGCAGCCAATTGATGTTTCTCTCTCACATCGATGTTTCTATGTCTCTCTCCCTTCCGCTCTTTCTAAAAAAACAATACAAACATCTTTTTTTTTTTAAAGAAAATGAGATGATACCTACTTCAGAGTTGTTTTGAGAATTAAACTAGATACAGATATGCTGTTCAGGACAGTGCTGGGATAAGAGACACTCAATTAAAAGTACTAGTGGCACCCTGGCTGGTGTGGCTCATTTGGTTGGGCATCATCCTGTGCACTGAAAGTTTGCAGGTTCGATTTCGGGTCAGGGCACATGCCCAGGTTTCAGGCTCCATCCTTGGTAAGGGGCATGCAGGAGGCAGCTGATCAATGTTTCGCTATCATATCAATGTTTCTCTCTCTCTCCCTTCCTCTTTTCCTAAAAAAAAATCTATTAAAAAAAATACTAGTAGTTATTTGTATTAGCAAGAACTATAACAATGGGAAAACAGTACCACAAAATGCTATCCCACAGAAGTATTGGTAGCTGTTACCTGAGGACCCTATAATCATCTCTCAACAAACCATAAAAGCCCTTCTCTTCTACCAATCCCAATGCATTTTCTTGCCTGGCCCTAAGCAATCAGTTCTCATTAAAAAAAAAATTTTTTTTTAGGAGGAAAAGATAAAATAAAAGCAAGGAAAATGTTGTGTACCATGAGTCACAGCTCAGGCTACTTGGGAAACAGTGAACAACTGATCAGCCTTCCCGGGCCTCCCTCCTATTTGTAAAATGGAGAGGGCTGAACCAAGACCATGTTCTTCAAATACGCTTCTTAGGGTCCCAGCCCTGCTTCCACCAAGAGGAGTGCCTCTGGGTACTCCTTTGCTCAAGTATGTCTGTGAGTGAACAGATGCAGCAAGCCTGACTTGAGAAGGGACTTCTGTTCCTTTAACATTATAAGGAAGGATGCAATGTTTCCATGATCTATGAAATCGATTAGCAAGAAGTACCATACATACAAGCTACCAACCACCAAATTAACCAGACCTCTAAAACGAGCTCGCTATTAGTGCACTCACTCACCAACTTCTACTAGGTCTTTTACTGAGCCCATCTTTTTTTTTTAATTAATATGTTGTGTGGTCTTATTATTATTTTTTTTTAATAAATGTGGTTAAGAAGAATATTGCCCTCTCCGTCTGCTAGAGTTCTTGGGAGGACCAAATGAGGAGAGGATTTGGTAAAATACACAACAATTAGGATTATTCTGATGGAAATGGTTCTCTTTTTTTTTTTCCTTATTGATTTTAGAGGGACTGGAATGGAGAGGGAGAGAGGGGAACATCGATGAGAGAGAACAGTGATTGGCTGCCTCCTGCATGCCCCCCACATTGGAGATTTGGCCCACAACCTGGACATGTGCTCTGACCAGGAATTGAATTGGCAACCTTTTGGTGCATGGGTCAATACTCAACCACTGAGCCACAATGGCTGGGCTGGAAATGGCTCTTTATGAGAGAGAGAGAGAGAGAGAGAGAGAGAGAGAGAGAGAGAGAGAATGAATATATGAAATCTTGACCTTTCTTAGCCCTTGCCCATACAGGAACCAAGAACGGCCCTGAGGCAGCATCTCTTCTCTTTTCTGCTGGTTCAACAGAGAAAGAAATTCCACTGATGATGCAAATGCCAAATCCATACCCCCTAGGAAACAACCCAGGAGCACATAGGCATTCTCATAAGAGAGGCAGATGGCACACTGCCAAGCCCTAGCCCTTGATTAGGATCTTGGGCAGGTCATTTCCCCTTCCTTCTCTATCAAATGAACTATTGGGGATCAGTGATCTCCACTGTCCTTTTCCAGCTAAGTTTTATCATTCTGTGAATAAAAGATTAAAATAAATGCAAAGTATGGTCACTGTGGTGTCATTTGAATTATATACCATTGAATACCTAAATGTCCAGCAGTGGCAGATCAGTTAAGTACATTATGGTGTATCCAGACAACAGAATATCATAGAACCATTAAAATAAAGTTTACAATGAGTTGTTGTTTTTTTCCTCACCCGAGGACATTTTTCCATATTTTGTTCAGATAGAGTGGGAGGGAGAGAGAGAATCATGTTCAGATAGAGTGGGAGGGAGAGAGAGAGAGTCATCGGCGTGAAAGGGATACATCAAGTAGTTGCCACCCGCACGACCCAACCAGGGCCAGGGACAAACCACAACCGAGGTAGGTGCTCTTAGTGGGAACCGAACCAGGGTTTCTCTGGACCACAGGCCCACGCTCTAACTGCTGGGCCAAACCAGCCAGGGCTTTACAAGGAGTTTTAACTTCACCAGAAATGTTTATATGCTTTTAAGTGGGAAAAGGATACAAAATAGTATACACTGTATCATCATCTACATAAAGATGCGTGGCCCAGTGTGGCTCAGTGGTTGAGCATTGACCAATGCACCAAGAGGTTGTCGGTTGGATTCCCAGTCTGGACGCGTGCCCAGATTGTGGGCCCAATCCCCAGTGGGGGGCATGCAGGAAGCAGCCAACTGATGTTCTCTCTCATCAATGTTTCTTTCTCTCTCTCCCCCTCAGTTCCTCTCTCTCTCTAAAATCAATAAAGGAAAAAAAAAATTTAGAAAAAATTTCTGTTTTTTTTAAACAATGATTTTTAAAAAACATTTTAAAGAATACATTAGGGCCCTGGCCAGTTTGGCTCAGCAGTTAGAGAGTCGGCCAGCGGTTCGGAGAATCCGGGTTCGGTTCCCTCTAGGGGCATGTACTGTGGTTGCAGTTTGTCCCCAGCCTCAGTTGGGGTAGTGTGGGTGGCAACCACTCGATGTGTCTCTCTCGCATTGATGTTTCTCTCTCTCTCCCTCCCACTCCATCTGAAGATAGGTGCAAAAATGTCCTCGGGTGAAGATAAAAAAAATTTTTTTTTTAAAGAATACATCAAGGCCTAGCCAGTGTGACTCAGTGGTTGAGCTTCGACCCCATGCATCAAGAGTTCACGCCAGTCAGGGCACACACCCAGGTTGTGGGCCCAATCCCCAGTGGGGGACATGCAGGAGGAAGCCAATCAATGTTCTCTCTCATTGATGTTTCTATCTCCCTCTCCCTCTTCTCTCTCTAAAAATTAATAACGGAAATTTTAAAAAAAGAGAATACATTAGAAATTTACTCAGAGAAAATCAAAATATTTATCTTTTAAGGAAAATAATGTTTCAAGGTAATAAAATGCACATATCCTTGTTATTGACTAAATTACCAGGTTAAAAAGGCTAAATTACAGAGAAAACCCTTAATAATTTATTATGACTTTATACAAATGAATATTTTTTCTTTTATCATATGAGGCCCAGAGCATCTTTTTTTTCCCCCCATGCCTTTCTGTGGTTAGGAAAAGTCGCTTTTCATTTAGTGTAGGAAGACTATAAATAAGTCTTCTGGACAAATAATAGAAGATTTGTGATTTGCATTTAATCATGAATGAATAAGCAAAATATTCAGACAGAGCTTTAAAAGGCTAAAACTGCCCGCCCTCTACATCCCCAAGGGTGTATTATTTCTTTTCACCCCAATAAATCTTGTCACTGTTCTTAAAAATAAAATAATAATACTGCCTTTATGTCAATGTTTTCATTTCTATGTCTAGCACTATGTATATGAGGGTTTCTATATAGAGAAACAAGGAATTTAAGAAAATTAGGTTTCTAAACCAGGGCTCACTCACTGAACTATAGCCTATAGGTTAAATCCATCCCATCTCCTGTTTTGGCCCTCACTTAAGAACAACTTTTACATTTTAAAATGGTTGGAAAGCCCTGGACAGTTTTTCTCAGTGGTTAGAGCATTGGCCTGCGGTCCAGAGAGACCTGGGTTCAGTTCGTGCTAAGGGTGTGTACCTCGGTTGCAGTTTGTCCCCAGCCCTGATTGGGTTGTGTGGGTGGCAGCCACTCTATGTGTCCCTTTCACGTCGATGTTTCTCTCTCTCTCTCTCTTCCTCTCTCTCCCTCCCACTCTATCTGAACAAAATATCGAAAAATGTCCTCAGGTGAGGATAAAAAAATAATAATAATAAATAAATTAAATAAAATGGTTGGGAAAAAAAAACAAATAATTTACAACAGAGACCTGAGATCTATGTGGTCCAATGTCTATAATATTTACTATCTGGTCATTTACAGAAAAAGATTCTAAACCAACCATTTCATTTTGCAGATGAATAGACTCAGAGACACCCCCACCTGCCTGGCATTGCCCCGCTCATCAGTGGCACTGTAGTGTAGCATATAGGTTTCTTGATTCCTGGCCCACTAGTTCTGAGAGACTAGCTTGTATTGGGAGGCATGAATCTAGGCTGTATTTCTTGCTTATTCACTTTTTTTCTTTTGGTATGTGCCCCTAGTGGGAACTGAATTTAGGACTCTCTGGTCTGCAGGTCGATGCTCCAACTGCTGAGCCAAACTGGCCAGGGCTTGATTATTAGTCTTAGGTTGTGCTTTAGTTGCTAAGATTTTTCAAAGAATTTTGAGCCCAGCTAGTGTGGCTCAGTGGATTGAGCACTGTCCCATGAACTGAGAGGTCCCAGTTCGATTCCCAGTCAAGGCACATGCCCAGGTTGCAGGCTCAATCCCTAGGAGGAGGCGTGCAGGATGTAGCCGATCAATCTCACATCAGTGTTTCTATCTCTCTCCCCCCCTTTCTCACTCTCTAAAAAAATCAATAAAAATGTCATTCTTTGTGTCATGAAGTGAGTCAACCAGATGCAAATATGCTTGTATATATACAGTAAATTTCAGGAAAGACAGTTCCTTCTAAGGAGAAGGATTTATATTTCATTACATACTTCTTTTACTGACAGTTTTACTATGTGGATGTTATGTTTTAATTTAAAGGGGGTTCAAAAAGTCTCTTTTTCTCTTCTTTTTTTTTATCCTCACCCGAGGATATTTTTCCATTTTTTGTACAGATAGAGTGGGAGGGAGAGAGAGAGAGAGAAACATCGACGTGAAGGGACACATCGAGTGGCTACCACCCGCACGACCAACCAGGGCCGGGGACAAACTGCAACCGAAATACGTGCCCTTAGCGGGAACCAAACCCGGGTCTCTCCAGACCGCAGGCCGACGCTCTAACCGCTGAGCCAAACCGGCCAGGGCTCTTTTTCTCTTCTTAACAAACAGAAATATAGAAATAATTTTTAATAAATCAACAATTCAATACAGCTAAAAAGGCAGCCCTGGCTGGCTTTGCTTAGTGGTTAGACCATCAGCCCTCAGACCAAAGGGTCATGGGTTTGATTCCTGGTCAAGGGCACATACCTGGGTTGCAGGTTCAATCCCTGGCCCTGGATGGGTCATTTAGGAGGCAACCAATCAATATGTTTCTCTCACATTGATGTTTCTCCCTCCCTCCCTCCCTTCCACTCTAAAAATCAATGGAAAAATATCTTTGGGTGAAGATTAAAAAGGGGGGGGGCAGCAAATCAGAACTATTGTGCTAGTCATTTTATGTCTCCAAATCTGTTTCTTAATCTGTAAGACAAGAAGGTTTGATTAAGGCTTTTTCCCATTCTAAAATTATTAGTCTAGACTTCCATTGTTACAGAACACCAGATGGCTTCAGAAATTGCCAGTACTCTAGTGCATTGTGGGAGTTTTTTGGTTTGTTTTAGCTACAATAGAATCTAATATTTTAAGCTATTGTGTATTTTATTATAAGAACATCCATATACCTCAAATATTCTTTGTAGCCCCATTACTGTATTAGATCCTATTCCCGTTTACTAGCAGATAAATCAAGAATCTTGAAATAGCTACCTGATGCCAGCAAATTCCACCTTCTGAGTGATATAGGCACATGTGCTGACCTAAAGGATGAGAGAGAGGTTCAACAATACATCAAGGCCATAAAAGGTCATAAAAAAGTATCCTGGCTTTCTAATCTCTTCTAACAACCCAAAGTTCAATCAACATGAAGTAACAGATTTATTCCATTAGAAAACCTGCTGGGGCAGGTATAACAGTAGGTTCTTAAGAGTTTGGCAAGTACAGACAATAGTAAAGACCAGATGGATAAGTGGCCAGTTTCACCAATATACTTATCCTCACATATGTTTGCATACTTACCTACATTTACATACTTATTTAAATGGAGAATATTTAGTTCTCATTTTAGAAAATAGAGCACTTCTTCTACCATTAAAAATGAGCAAAGATTCTTTTTTCCTGAAAATATACACTATATAGAAGTTCTACCTATAATTTGTTGTTTCATAATACTTAAAAAATCCAATAAGAAAAATTTTTTATCACCACCTCACAATTTTGATTAACTCATTATTTATAGTGGAAAATGTTAATTAAAAATAAAATAAGAAAAATGGGAGGAGGGTACAGCAAAAGCAGTCTAACCTGGAAGCAGCAAGATCTGGACTGACTGCTTAGTGTGAGCTCAGTGTTAACTGCTTACTAACTTTCTAGTCTTGGCCAATCACTTAATTTCTCAATCTCAGTTTTCACATCTATAAATTAGGGGAAATAAATACCTGTCCACAAGGAGGACATGTGAGGTGCAAATGAAATCAAGTGAAAATCTTAAAAGTAGAGTCTCATTCAAATGTAAAATAATATTGTAATTTCCCACTCAAAAATGCAGAGTAAGCCCTGGCCAGTTTGGCTCAGTGGTTAGAGCATCAGCCTGCGGTCCGGAGAGACCCAGGTTCAGTTCCCGCTAAGGGCATGTACTTCGGTTGCAGTTTGTCCCCGGCCCTGGTTGGTTGTGCGGGTGGCAGCCACTCGATGTGTCCCTTTCACATCGATGTTTCTCTCTCTCTCTCCCTTCCTCTCTCTCCCTCCCACTCTATCTGTACAAAAAAATGGAAAAATATCCTCGGGTGAGGATAAAAAAAAAAAAAATGCAGAGTAAGAATCTCTGACAATAAACAAGCAAAACAAAGACTAAAAAACACACACGTACACAATGAAAAGAGCTCTGGCTGGTATGGCTCAGTTCATTGGAGCATCGTCCCATGCCCCAGAAGGTCATGGGTTCGATTCCTGGTCAGAGCACATACCTAGGTTTCAGGTTCAGTAGTTCCCGGTTGGGGAGCTGACAAGAGGCAACCAATTTATCACATCAATGTTTCTCTTTCTCTTTTCTCTCCCCCTTCCTGTCCCAAAAACAATAAATATATCCTCAGGTGAGAATTAAAAAAAGACAAAAAAACAAACAAACAACAAAAAAAAATGAAGAAAAGAGAATGGAAGAAGATACATGAAGTGTTCATAATAATCGTTTATGACGCTGCAATCTGAAATTATTGTAAATTCTTCTCCCTTACTAGATCTGCTAATCTCTATGAGAACATGGATTATTAATATAACAAAAAAAGCCAGACTTAAAAAAAATCATCTTACCAAACTTTTCTTTAGTCGCCACATATCCCCACGGCCAATATACTGATCCTTAAAGGTTAATTCTACTAGATCAAGGGTCACATCCTAAAAGAGATAATCAAATATACTTCTCTGCATTACTCTGCCACACTTCATAGTCATAAGATAATGCCCATTCACATGGCGAAAGCTTTTGGCAAAAAAGAACTATTGGAAGACCATTCAATAGCAGAACTCTGACAAATAAATTTTATCCTGCCATAAAAGGCTTCTGAGAACAGGTGATAGGTCTATAACAGATGCTACAGCAGCTGTATCATAGTTAAGTTCAAAGAGTACCAGAATACTAATTCAGTGTTTTAGTCTTTTTGGGTTTTTTTGTTGTTGTTGTTTTTCCTTTTTATTAAATATATTGGGGTGACAGTGGTTAACAAAATTATACAGGTTTCAGGTGCACAATTCCACAACACATCATCGGTACACTGTTTTGTGTTTGTTGTATTTTAGTCTTTTTTTTTTTTCCCCCAAATAAGAGCTGTTCATTAGCGGCTGGCGTCTGACTCCGAACACCCCTATGACAGTCTTCGGAATCTGCCTTGTTTTAGTCTTAATTCTGACACACAAACATAACATTGAGCTTCATGCTTTATTTCTCTAGATAATGTCAATGATAATATCTTCTAGATAATAATTTTTACCTATTGTAGCATCATTTCTAGAAGGAAAGTGTGAGAATACATAAAGAAATTTTAGTATTTTAATAGGAAATTTTACCTTTAGCTTCACAAACACACACACATACACACATACATACGTATACAAAATCTTTTAAAAGTGTGGAGGAAGCCCTGGCCAGTTTGGCTCAGCTGTTAAGAGCGTCGGCCTGTGAACCAAAGGGTCTCGGGTTTGACTCCTGGTCAAGGACATGTACCTGGGTTGCAGGTTCAATCCCTGGCCTCGGTTGGGGTCAAGCAGGAGGCAACTGGTCGATGTGTCTCTCTCACATTATCCTTCTCTTTCTCTCTCTCTCTCTCACCTTCCCTCCCTTCTTCTCTTCCATTCTATCTAAAATATCATTGGAAAAATATCCTCAGGTGAGGATTAACAAATAAATAAATAAAAAGGGAGAAGCAAAGAATAAATACATACATACATAAAGTTAAAAAAAAAAGACTGCATCCTTATAAAAAGAAGGGCAAAAAAAGGGGAGGAGGGCATTCTAAATGCACCTTACATACTATCTATAATCTAAGTTACCTACATAGAACCACATATTTAATAGTTTAACACTATACTTAAATAACTCATTGTTTCCTTAGAGACCTAATCTTGAGGAAAGGTGATAATCATCTCCAAAAGATATTCAAGTACAGAACAAAGATATACCTTAGGGTCTACTACATTCACATAGACATCTTGATAAGGTCTTAGACGAAACACTTGGGTCACGGTCTGGTCCACACTGATAGTTTCTGAAACAAAGAAGAAATCTAATAATACATTATGGAAAAAAGCAGGTAAATATATATTAATCTATAAGTACCCAGACATTGGGTGGGGGCGGGGGTAGGTGGAGGGGGCAAAAGTGGGGGGAAGTGGGGGCATCTATAATAGTGTTAACAATAAAAATAAAGAAAAAAAGACTTATAAATACTCAGACATTCAACAAGCAACACAACTGACCCTTTGCCAGGGACAAGGCACATTCTCTGCCTCTCAGGAGCTTAAAATATAGAATTCTCTGCTTTTCAGGTGACACAAGCAGGTAAAGTAAGACCTGAGCCCAAGCAATTAAAAAATGAGAGAGAGCGAGCGAGCGTGCACAGAGAAGGAGAAAATAATTTAAGAAGCAACATAAAAAACTTCAAAGAGCTGTGAAAATTCAGAAGAGGAAGAGATCCTTTCTTATTTGGAATTAAGTAGTGATGGTAGTTCAGATAGAAATAAGAAACACACAGGTGATAGGAGATGGACACTCCTAGGATTTGGGTTTTAGAGAAATCTTAAATCTTAGGATTTGGGTTTTATAGAATGCTTTCCCATCAAGTTGAAATATAAAAAAGCAGTTGACTCAAAATCCTTCAAAGCAAATTAGAAAGTTTTTTTTCTTTCCTTTTCCATCCCCGCCTCCTCCCCCCGCTGCCCGCCCTGGTTTTTTTTTAAATGTCTTTTAAGTACTAATTAGGGCATTACCTTATTTGCTAATATCTTGGTTTCTAGATCAGCATGGTATAGTCATTAAAAAAAAGAAAGGGTCTGGATCCAGAATGAGTAAGCAGAGTCTAGGTTGTGGCTCCTTCACCTACTGACTTCAGGCAAGCCAGTTTATCGGCGGAGGCTGTTTCCTCACCCACTCAAGAGTTGGTGGGAACCTTCTTCAGTCCTCCTGAGCCCACCAGCCTGGGCTCTCAGGCCCTGCACCTGACTCGGGTCCAGCTCCCACCACTGGGGTAGGTGGCCCCTCCTGGCTTCTCTCCCCACGCCCCACCCCAGAAATGGTGCTCTCATGGCACTAGCCTCTGGCCCCTTCCTGAGCTGTTGCCCCCTCAATCATGGGGCACTTCTGGGCTCCTGACCTAGGCCAGAGGGAGGTCCAAGCCCCTTCCCATGGCCATAGGCTACCAGGACCCTGCTCCTCAGGCCACTCCCCCTATCCTCAGCCCAGGGGTAAGAGTCAGCCCATCATTCCTGACTCTCTGACATCCCCAGGTGTACCATGCCTGCCCTCTCCTCTCAGCTGCAGTTGAAGGCTTTAACTCTATACATTTTGGGTCACAGTTCCATCATTGTACATTAAATAATCTGAATAAACCAAGAGATCTCAAAAAACAGAAAGAGAGAATAGGTGGGAGGATAAAGAGATATTACAAAAAGCTCACGGGACAGTACAGTGCCTTACACACTTTATAGGTAACCATCAGGATGTTTCTTTCTCTGCCTCACCCAGAGTAGGTACTTAAATATTGTGTGCAAAAACATAATATTTAAGAAAGCATGCTTTGCCAACAAGTATTTTGGAATTAAGTGTAAAGCTTCACCTCTTCCGATTAATTTTCTTCCTGACACTAAATTAGGATAGTGCCAGATGTTAACAAGTGAGATTCATTGGCATTTTGATAGGGGACCATTTTTAAAGAGGGAACACAATTTGTTTAGGAGAGAAGTACTGTGCCCTCATTCCCTGAGATTATAAAGAGGTTTCTTGCAGTTTCTGGGACAGTAAAGTGTAAAAAATCTTAGGGAAAAAAAAGGAATTCTTTCTTACCTTTCTGTAAATCTTCCTTAAGTGACTTGACCTGCAAAAGCAGAGGGCTGAAAAAAAAAGCAATAAAAAATGGGATGACTAACTTTCTTCACATGCCTCCCCTCCCTCCCCACAAAGGCAGACAGACCACTCTGGACATATTGTAACTTGCAGCAGTAAGCATAATGGGAGAAAGTTCTCTTAGAAACAAAGAAACTCTGCACCTGTACTCAAGGAAATGGAAAAAAACTATTTATAAAAAAAAAAAAAAAAAAGAATTTTTCGCCCTGGCTGGTTTGGCTCAGCAGTTAGAGCGTCGGCCTGCTGTCCCGAGAGACCCGGGTTCGGTTCCCGCTAAGGGCGCGTACCTCGGTTGCAGTTTGTCCCCGGCCCTCCTTTCACATCGATGTTTCTCTCTCTCTCTCTGTTCCTCTCTCTCCCTCCCACTCTACCTGAACAAAAAATGAAAAAATGTCCTCAGGTGAGGATAAAAAAAAAAAAAAAAATTTTCAGAGTTGTCAACTCGGCTTTAAAAAGAGAACAAAATGTACCACTTTTTGTAGGATTGTTGGTTTACTGAATCCTAGAAGGCAGGAGCATTTTTATCCAAAGGCAAAGTGCTGTCTCGCCCTTCAAGCCCCTTAAACAAAATATCATCTGGAAACAGCCACCCAATTAGCTTCCTTGATCCCAGTCAGACACTCACCTGTATTCATCGTTGGGGTGAGCGATCTCAACAATGTCTCCAAGCTTGATGTGAGGAAACACTTTGGGGTTCACGACCAGCTCATCATCTGAAAGACAATTCAGTAATCCCAAGCAGAAAACACACTCACTTAGGTGACAGGTCATGGTGTATATTCTCACATTGGGTCCTCACAACCTCATCAGGTTGGTATTACAGGACAATCCCTTATACTTATCCAAAATTATGCAAAAATACTGTCTTAATGTGACCCTCACAATAAATCTTTGGATCTAGCAGAAATGAAGAAATTACATAGAATAAGTTAAGGGCAGACAGCTAGTAATAGCACAGGCAGCACTGATGACTGACATGCCCAGAGCTCCTTCTACCTAAAGCCCACCACCTCTCATACATCATAAAAATCAAGCCAAATAAAATGCTCTTTCAAATACAATATACTCAGAACCATAAAGATGGAATGATTTTTTTTTTCTCTTTTGATTTTTTGGGAAAGACATAGATGGCCTTTAATTATGCCAAAATCATGACAAATAAGTATATCTAGATTTCAAATATAATCAGACCCAATAAAAATTCAGCCTGGGAGCCCGTGGCTCAGTAGATTGAGCGTCATCCCATGAACTGAGAGGTCCAGGTCCAATTTCCCATCAGGGAACGATGCCCAGTTACGGAGTTACGGGCTCAATTCCCAGTAGGGGGCGTGCAAGAGGCAGCTGATTGATGTTTCTCATCAATGCTTCTCTCTCCCTTCCTTGCTCTAAAAAAAAAATCAATAAAAACATATTAAAACAATTCAGCCTGGGAAAGCAAAGCACTGGGTTAATCCAAGATTATATATTTTTTATATATTTTTTTTAATTGATTTTAGAGAGAGGAAGGGAGAGAGAGAAACATCAATGTGAGAGAGAAACATCAATCAGCTGCCTCCCAAACACATCCCAACTGGGTGGAATGAGCCTGAAACCTAGGCATGTGCCTGGACAGGGAATGGAACTGGAGACCTTTCAGTGCACAGGACAATGCTCAACCAACTGAGCCACAATGGTCAGGGCTTATTTGGTATGTTGTTTCCATTTAGTTTTATGCCAAATCCTCTGTGAAGTCTTCCCCTAACTTTCATAGTCTGAATTAAACTCCCTGAGCATGTATTCCATTCTGCTTCATTTTATCATTTCCTTTTTGCATGCCTATCTCATTAAGCTGAATGCCCCTTAGGGACAAGGGACCTTGCCATATTCATAACCTGTATGTTTGGCACAAGTATGCAATTAATATATTTTTTCTTTTGCATTTATCTTCAGATAGAGCAGGAGGGGGGGAGAGAGAGAGAGAAAGAGAGAGAAACATCAACGTGAGAGAGACACACTGACTGGTTGCCACCCACACAACCCCAACCAGGACGGGGGACAAACTGCAACCGAGGTACATGCCCTTAGCGGGAACGGAACCCGGGACTCTGGTCTGTGGGCCGACGCTCTAACCGCTAAACCAAACTGGCCAGGGCACAATTAATATTTTTTTTAATTGATTTTTAGAGAGAGAAAAAGGGAGAGTGAGAGCACCAGCCCATGGACCAGAGAGTCCTGGGTTTCGGTTCCGCTAAGGGCACGTATCTCGGTTGCAGTTTGTCCCCAGCCCCGTTAGGGTCATGTGGGTGGCAACCACTTGATGTGTCTTTCTCACATCAATGTTTCTCTCTCTCTCTTCCCCCTGCTCTCCCTCCTGCTCTATCTGAAGATAAATGCAAACAAAATGTCCTCAGGTGAGGATAAAAAAGAAAAAAATATATACCCTTGGGTGAGGATTAACAAAAAAAACAGAAACAAATTATGGGTAGTAAACTGGCAATATCCACAGTGTTCCTTAAAAGGCAGAGTGCAATGCTTTTAGGAAAGGCCTGCACTCTCTGCTCTTACTGCCCTCCCACTACTGTATTATACTTGCTGCTTCATTCAGACAAGTTGCCTGTCACATAAGCCAGTGTGTAATTTTCAAGGCAGAACCTCAGCCAACTTACACAACTCCCAAAGACCAATCAATACTGACCACTGCCCCCAAAGCCCTTCTTGTGGATGACCAGTTTGTAGACCTTTGTTGTTCTCATCTTGTACTATTGTTTCCTTCAGCTGTTCCAAGCTTGGGGGAGAGAAGTCATCTTGCCTCTCTGCCATGGAAACAAACAAAAAGACTGTCAGACTTTTCCTTGCAACTGCTCTTTGAGTTTAGCTTGTGAAAATACTGCTGTTGCTCAGCTAAGAGGTGGCACCAACCCTTGAATGAAATCACTCCTTCAAGTGCAAGGAGGGATACAGAACAAATAGAACCAGAGAATCTGGGAACTAAGGGGAATTCAGGCTACGCTCTAGCCCAACGTCCATGAAGATCTCTCTATCACACTTCTGAAGGGAAAACTTCTAGGAATGGGACATTCATTACCTTGCCTCTATCTAAACCAATTAACACACAAATAATAAAGAGGTCTTAAATGGTAAGCACACTCATTCCGTAAATGAAGAAAGCATGGGCTAGTTCAAGGAACTTGGCCAAAATCACTCAGAGAATGAGAGGCATAACCACAGTTTCTGTTTCACCGTCAATGCCTTGGGTAAATAAATGGGAGGAAGGCAAGGTTTCAGTTCCTGAACCTCCATATACACAAACTCTCAGTGGATCATCCCCACAGACAATCATTTCACAGCTGAGACCACTGAGGTTCAGAGAGGTAAAGAGTCTTGTCTAAGGTCACACAGCGGGTTGGGGGTGGGGCCAGAACTCGAACTAGAGCCTGGGCTCGCTGTCTCTTGTTCCCCAAACCCGGGCCCCGACTGGCAGCTCCACTCACCAGCGGCTCCAGAGCCCCTTCCCCCTTCAGGCCGGGGCCCCACGGACCGGACCCTCGTCAGTCCCCCGCACCTCCTCGGGACGCCCTGCCTACGCCCCGACAGCCTGTGCAGCTTTCGTGCCCGAGCTCCAAGCGCCGAACGGCCAGCCCCAGCCAAGGAGCGCTCACCTGAGAACCCGCGCCGCTCCGGTGGCTCCGCCCCGGGGATCAGCCCCCTTCCCGCCCACCAGCCCCGGGCCTCTCTGGCCCGGCCTCCGCCTCCTCTCGGTGTCCGCACGACTTCCTCATCCGGGGCTTACGCCGGGGGCGGGGCTGCGCGCGCGGCCTGCAGCTCCAGCTTCCCCCTGCGTCTCACGCATGCTGGCCATAAGACCTTAAGCACCGTAGAGGAAATAATTTACCTTCTAGACGTTCGTAAACAAATCCGAGCCAGAGCTCTTCGTTTCCAACTTAGTGGTCTCCCTACAAGGTAAACTCTGGAGAGTCTCCCGGATCTATAAAGGGAATGTTATACACCCTTGCTGGCCTCACCACGGCTAGCTGCTGAGAGGCACAAAATAATTTCTGGGAGAATTTTTGTAAAATGCAAAGGGCTGAGCACGTGCGACTTAGTGCGATCACCCCTGCTGGAAAATATCCATGTTTGAGGGGCTTTTCAAATCCTTCCAAACCCCAAATGACGTTCGTGTTGGTCTGGTTATTAATAATAGCTACCATAGCTTTCACAGACTCCTTATGTAATCGTCACATCCCTATTAGGTGGCAAATACTATCATGTTTCATACACGAGGAAACATGCTGGGGACACAAAACTCCTCCGAAGGAAGCAAGGACAGATCCTCACCCAATCGACTCCAACTTAACTCCAAAGGCTAAACATTTAACCAGCCTCTTCATGTCACACCCAAGGGCTCAGCCTAAGCCCCTATAGGTAGAGATATTTTCTCTCCCCAAAGAGAAAATAAAATCTGTGTGGGTTGTACCTGAAACTGGCCAAAGGCTCCTGAGAAGATGCCATCTCCATCTGATTGTCTATGGTTTTTGGAAAAATTCTGAATGCTTGAAAGAAAAAGGCATTGCATACCAATAGGAGACTTGGGAGTGGCAAGACAAGTAAGAGATTTCTTAAGCATCCATGCTTTTACTTTAGGATTCAAAAGTTAAATAAATATTTGTAATTTTTTATATTTAAGGGAAACATATAATCAAGTGCACTACAACAGTTGCAAAATTTTTCAGGGACAAAATGTTGCAGTAAAACACTTTTTATGTTGCCAATTCAGGGACACACCCAGATCCCCCAGGCTGTTTCCATCCTTAGCATCAGTGGCTAATGGTAAGCCCTTCCAACCCAGAGGTAGCAAGACAAGTAAGAGCTTTCTTATGTTTTTTTGGTGGTACGTGCCCCTAGCAGGAACCGAACCTGGAACTCTCTAGTCTGCAGGCTGACGCTCAACCGCTGAGCCAAACTGACCAGGGCTAGTAAGAACTTTCTTAAGCATCCATGCTTTTACTTTAGGATTCAGAAGTTAAATAAATCATTGTAACTTTTTATATTTAAGGGAAACATATAATCAAGTGCACTGCAACAGTTGCAAAATTTTCAGGGACAAAATGTTACATGTAAAATACTTTTTAATGTTGCCAATTCAGGGACACACCCAGATCCCCCAGGCTGTTTCCATCCTTAGCATCAGTGGCTAATGGTAAGCCCTTCCACCCCAGAGGCAGCTTATTGGGATTCTTCTTGCTGCTCCTCAGAGGAGTTTGATTGCTTCTCCTGAGAGCTGTCCATAGTTGATATCATATCTTAGAAATGCAAATATCCCACTTTTTAATTTGGCAAAAACTTGTGAAATACCTTAACAAGTTTTGAGATTTTTAAAAACTTGTCTAAAGCCCTGGCCGGTTTGGCTCAGCGGTTAGAGCATCATCCCATGGACCAGAGAGACTCGGGTTCGGTTCCCATTAAGGGGACGTACCTCGGTTGCAGTTTGTCCCCGGCCCTGGTTGGGTCGTGCGGGTGGCAACTACTCAATGTGTCCCTTTCATGTCGATGTTTCTCTCTCTCTCCCTCCCACTCTATCTGAACAAAATACTGGGGAAAAAATGTCCTCAGGTGAGGAAAATAAATAAATAAATAAATAAATAAAAATTTAAAAAATAAAATAAAAACTTGTCTAAAGCTGGTCAAGTTAAGGAGAGGTTGGAGCTCCCAGACTGGGAATCCAACTGCCTTGGTTCTACAACCATTGTGCTACAACCACCAACAGGATGTATCAAAAAACTCAGTGAGCAAGATATATAATATATTTTTTAAATGTGTATGTTTTTATTGATATTTTAAAGAGAGAGCAAGGGAGAGAGAGATATAAACATCGATATGATAGATACATCGATTAGCTGCCTCCTGCATGCCCACTTGCAACCTGGGCATATGCCCTGGTGGGGAATCGAACCAGGACCTCTCAGTGCATGGGATGACACTCAATCCACGAAGCCACACCAGCTGGGCAATAAATAATATTTTTAATGCAATATTTTCAAATAAAAATTAATACAAAAATCCATGATGAATAAAACAATCACATTTAAATAAAGACAAGATCAATAATGGTGCTGTGCAATGATGTTAGAGCCTGAGGCAGAAGGACAACCCTACTATTAATACTGGGTTTCTCAGATCTCCTTGTATAGATAAATAGTTGCCTGAGGAAGTATTTGAGGAAGCATATTTTGTAAATGTAGAAATGTTTTAATGTGAATTTCTAGTTAATTCATCCCAACCGCATCTGTAGTAGCCTATAAATGAACTAACCGTACATATGTAGAGAAAGACTATGTATGGACTCACAGGCTGTAAACAATAGGGTTGGCATTGTTGTTGTTGTTGTTCTTTGTATGTTTGTTTGTTTTTTATCATCCTCACCTGAGGACATTTTTCCATTTTTTGTTCAGGTAGAGTGGGAGGGAGAGAGAGGAACAGAGAGAGAGAGAAACATCGATGTGAAAGGGACACATTGAGTGGTCGCCACCCGCACAACCAACCAGGGCTGGGGACAAACTGCAACCGAGGTACATGCCCTTAGCGGGAACTGAACCCGGGTCTCTCCGGACCGCAGGCCGACGCTCTAACCACTGAGCCAAACTGGCCAGGGCTGTTGTTGTTTTTTTATAACAGTAATTTATTAATGCTCACTAGTTACTATTATTATTATTATTTAATCCTCACCCGAGGACATTTTTCCATATTTTGTTCAGATACAGTGGGAGGGAGAAAGAGAGAGAGAAGCATTGACGTGAAAGGGACACTTTGAGTGGTTGCCACCTGCATGACCCAACCAGGGCCAGGGACAAACTGCAACCGAGGTATGTGCCCCTAGCGGGAACCAAATCTCGGTCTCTCTGGACCACAGACCGAAGCTCTAACCACTGAGACAAACCGGCCAGGGCAGGGTTGGCATTGTTAATGAAAGGGAACCTGGTCCTGAGCAGGTCTGCCTAGGGCCAGCTGGTAGTGTGTGAGTTCTTGACTTTGTGCAGGAAAGGTTTCACAATACAAGTCCAGGTGAATTTCCAAGGATGTTTATTAAAGCCAGGGACAGTCCGGCAGGTGTGGCTCAGTGGCTGAGCATCGACCCATGCACCAAGAGGTCACCGGTTCCATTCCTGGTCAGGACACATGCCCAGGTTGTGGGCCCAATCCCCAGTGGAGGGCATGCATGAGGCGGCCAATCGATGTTCTCTCTCATCGATGTTTCTATCTCTCTCTCCCTCTCCTTTCCTCTCTCTCTAAAAGTCAGTAAAGGAAAAATAAAAAATAAATAAATAAAATAAAGCCGGGGACAGTGAAACAAGGAAGGACCTAGGATAGAAAAAGCAACAGGAGAGAGACTAGGTGGGGGGATGGACCCAGGCTGAGCTGCTTTGGCTCACTAAAAGTCAGAGTAAACAGGGCCTTGGGGACAAGTTCAGGGGATTTGCCAGGGACAGGACCAGCTGCCACTGCCCATTGCTCCCTGGTTGCAAGTCTCCTAGATTCCCTTAGAGTTAGGAGATGTGTGCCAGTGGCAGGGCGGGGGGTGGGGTAGGAAGGGAAAGGCACTTGCTAGGACCTTGTTTTGAAGAGTTTTAAAGGCTGTGAATTTAGGGGAGGTTAAGGGGAGAATCTCAGTAGACTATCAGTTTTATGCTGTTGTGCCAAGTTGAGATTTATTCCCTTTGACTTCATCTGTACTTGGATGTGGCTGGCAAATGGCAGTAATGGGATTTCCACTCTATCTCCCTGAATAGGGTGATTTAAGCTATTTACCCTCTGGTTGGGGAAAAGTGATAACCATTTACTCTTAAGTGTCCTTCATTATAGAAGATAGGGTTTTGTGATTTACTAGATGGCTGAAACTGTTTGGCCATTCAGCTATCTGTCTGTTTCCCTATTCTGCTTGTCCTGGCTTACTAACCTGTCTTGGCATTTGGGTATTTGTACATCTCCATGCCTAACTAAAGCAGGGAAAACCATTATCTCCGCCCAAATAGTCCACATGTTGGCTGGCTCAACGGATATCTTGATCAAGGGGCACATTCTCCTTCCCAGGAGCACAGGCATTTCCGTCCACCCACCTACCCCCACACACCTTCTTCCCCCATAGGTATGCTTCTCCTAAACTCTAAGGGGCCCCACAGGCTGGCAACCAAGGCAGCAATGAGCAGCAGCAGTTCCTCCCCAAAACCCTAAACCTGTCCCCAACGCACCGTTTTCTCTGACTTCTTAGTGAGCCAAAGCAGACTAGCCTAGGCTCACTTCCCCAGCCCTTTCTTATTTCACTGCCCCGAGCTTTATAAACGTCCTTAAAAAAAAGATATCTTGATCAGAAAAGGGAGAATTAAAGTCTCCCCAAACCTCCAAATCTTCCTTCAAATGTCTATTCAGTGTCTACTTATGCAGGACACCGATAGGTGCTGAGCCGAGAATGACGAACAAAACACACAGGGGTGAGATGGGACAGACCATAAAGAGTCAATCAGGAAATGAAATGGGGCAATTTTAGCTGATGTTAAAGCTATGAATAAATGAAAACAAGACGCCTTGCCTTAAAGGACAGGAGGCAGAGAGGTGCTATTTAGATTTAGCTGTCAATGTGATTTGAAGGGAGTGACATGACCTAAAACACTAGTTCCAGTTTTAAAGATCTCTTGT